AGAATAAAATATTAATGGAGGAAGTAAAACTCTGGATGGAAAGACTAAAAAAATAATAATAACAGTGTTACTAAGTTAATATATGGATTGAACATACTATTGGTTACATTACAAAAAGGATATTTTATAAGTTATGACAAACACAAATGGGATGTATATGGAAAACTCATTATAGACGTTCAGACACTAAAACAACACTTGTAAGAGCTGCTTGAAAGGGGTTTTAAAAATGGGATATAGGTTTTAGAGCTAGATCTAAGTTTATAGAAGATTTCTAGATTTTTTTAAAGATTATTTATTTATTTGAGAGAGAGAGTGCATGAGCCGGGGGTCGGGGCAGAGGGAGAGGGAGAAGCAAACTCCCTGCTGAGCATGGAGCCGACTGTGGGGCCCCATCCTAGGACTCAAAGATCATGACCTGAGCTGAAGGCAGACACTTAACTGACTGAGCCACCCAGGTGCCCCGAAGATTTCTAGATTTAAAAAATAGGAATTAGTTGGGCCGCCTGAGTGGTTCAGTCAGTTAAGCATCCCACTCTTGATTTCTGCTCAGGTCATGATCTCAGGGTCCTGGGATCAAGCCCTGCTTGGGGCTCTGCACTCAGCGGGAGTCTGCTTGAGATTCTCTCTCTTCCTCTCCCTCTCCCCACTCTGCTCCCCCAGGCCCCGTGCTTGATTACCTAAGATTACCTTAGTAAGATTACCAAAAAAGGGAAAATTCCATACTTCCCTGTACTCCCTCACTTTGCCCTCAAACTGTGGCCTCCCACCACTGTCTTGTGGCAGACAGTCTTCGCTTTGCTGTCCTGCTGGCCACTTCCGTAAACTTTTATCTCTGTTATTCTGCCTTGGGTGAATTCTTTCACCACCTGTACCCCCAGCCTCTACCTGATTGGATCACCCCACATTTGATGGCCCCCCCATTTGATTGGGAGACCCCACAGTAAGGATAATCAATAATATTGTTGCTATTAGTCATAGGTATAGCACTTAAATTTGCAAAGTACTGTTTAAATGCTTCATAAATGGTAATTCATTTACTTCTCATACCAATCCTAAGGGGTAAGTACTGTTATTATTCCCATTTTACAGATGACTCACAGAAAGGATAAGTGACTTGCTCAAAGTCACATGGTAGAGGATTCAACCCAGGGAAGAGTGTATGCTCTTAGCCATTATGACATATTGAACTTTAAATATATCTCTTTCAAACTTATATACACTAAAATGTAAAACAAATGTGAATAATTTTTTAAAAATGAAAACTCAAAACCAAAAGTCTAAAAGAACTAAACCCAAAAAATACCATAGTGATAAATATAAATGGGCTAAGCTCATCTCTTTTTTTTTTTTTTTTAAGATTTTATTTATTTATTTGACAGAGAGAGACACAGCGAGAGAGGGAACACAAGCAGGGGGAATGGGAGAGGGAGAAGCAGGCTTCCTGCAGAGCGGGGAGCCCGATGCGGGGCTCGATCCCAGGACCCCGGGATCGTGACCTGAGCCAAAGGCAGACGCTAAATGACTGAGCCACCCAGGCGCCCCTAAGCTCATCACTTAATAGAAAAAAATGAGGCAGTCCTATAAATCAGCAGCGTGCAGAACAACATTGGAAGAAGACAAACAATGAAGTTGGTCTCTTTTGTAAAAGTTTAAAAACAAACACACCAGAAACTCCTAAAATATATGTACATGTATAAATGGATAGAGGTCACGGGTATACAGCATTAAATACAGTGTTTACCTTTTAGGAGGAGAAGAAACTTAGAAGTAAAGAAGAGAGACTTCTCATCTTTACTCTGTATATATATGTATATATTTATATATATTTTTTGAAAGATTATTTATTTGAGAGAGAGAGAAAGAGAGTGGGAGCAGGGGGGAGGGGGAGAAGGAGAGAGAGAGAATCTCAAGCAGACTCTGTGCTGAGCATGGAGCCAGTTGCGGCGCTCAATCCCGCAACCCCAAGATCATGACCTGAGCTAAAACCAAGAGTTGGATACTCAACAAACTGAACCACCCAGGTGCTCCTATACTGTATATTTTTATGTTGTTAAATACTGCCAAAAATGTAACTAGTAAGTTTTTTTTTTTTTAAAGATTTTATTTATTTATTTGACAGAGAGAGACACAGCAAGAGAGGGAACACAAGCAGAGGGAGTGGGAAAGAGAGAAGCAGGCTCCCCACTGAGCAGGGAGCCCGATGTGGGGCTTGATCCCAGGACCCTGGGATCATGACCTGAGCTGAAGGCAGACCCTTAACGACTGAGCCACCCAGGCGCCCCTGTAATTAGTAAGTTTTTTTTTAAAGTTTGTATAGGTAAGTAAATAATGTCAACAAGAAAAGATTCCACACTGTTAGTACTAAATATCTCTGAAAAGTAGAATTGGAGGTAATGGAAACAAGATTATTCTTCCCTTTTTTTACTCTACCTACTTCTGTATTGTTTGAATTTTAAAATGTTACAGTGAGCATCTTTGAATTAGCAAATAGAGACTTATGTGATCATTTTCTCTTGCATTTCCTCTTACATTAATTATTTGTTCCTGTGCTTTACCTTTACCTAACGACTAGATAGTTTTTACATATTTCATTGGAATATTGTCCATGAGTAGACTTCAGGAAGTATGGATTTTAATGAGATTTACAGTTTAAAGTCTTGGCCAGCATCTTAATGTTATATAGGTCTTGCCTTAAATGTTACCTCTTTGGTTAAGTGGGACTTTTTCCGACTATCAAAGGAGCCTTCTGGGGGTGCCTGGGTGGCTCAGTCATTAAGCATCTGCCTTCCACTCAGGTCATGATCCCAGGGTCCTGGGATCGAGCCCCACATCGGGCTCCCTGCTTGGCGGGAAGCCTGCTTCTCCCTCTCGCACTCTCCCTGCTTGTGTTCCCTCTCTCGCTGTGTCTTTCTCTGTCAAATAAATAAATAAAATCTTTAAGAAAAATTTTAAAAAAAAGGAGCCTTCTGGTATTTATCACACTCTCTTGTTATATTATCATTATAGTGTTGTCATTATCTATTCTTTGCTTATTTTTTTTGGTAATTTGTTTTCCTCCACTAAAATATAAGATCTGTGGGCGCCTGGGTGGCTCAGTTGGTTAAGCGACTGCCTTCGGCTCAGGTCATGATCCCAGGGTCCTGGGATCGAGTCCCACATCGGGCTCCCGGCTCAGCAGGAAGCCTGCTTCTCCCTCTCCCACTCCCCCTGCTTGTGTTCCTGCTCTCACTGTCTCTGTCTCTGTCAAATAAATAAATAAAATCTTTAAAAAATAATAATAATAAGATCTGTGAGAGGAAGAATGTGCCTTGGTCATCTTATAACACAGGGCCTAAAATAATTCTTGGCATATAGTAAGCATTTAATAAATACTTCTTGCTTACATGAAAAAAAGTAATATTCTTAAAAGTTCAGAAACTTAAGTTTGTGTTAGGCCATCCTAGAATGGTTTAGCTTTGGGGAACTAATTGATGATAATTCATTGTCATCTAATAATCAGAATACCAGTTTGTTTATTTATGATGGTGATATAAGTAGTATAAACAAAGCTGGATATACATTATGGGTTATTTTCCTTAGCAAGATTATGCCACAACCAAATTTTTATCAAGAATAAAAATTGACTAACACATGGGAATTGGGAAAAAGAGAGTTGGGTGGTATTAAAAAATACTAAATACTATAGATTATATTGCTTAACAAGTACCTTATCTAGTAAATGCTTGTTCTTGGTCCTGAGAGTTGTGAGAGAGGCAATATGAAGGATTTGGTTTTGCTGCTCCAGTCATAAAAACAATAAAGTGCCAGCCCAGTTGGATGGTGGATTAGATTGTATACCTATGTAAACAAAGAGGAGCATTAAGTTAAACTTGTATTTTGTTACAGATCAAAGAGCAAAAGTATAAAACATAAGTGGTGGTTCCATGAGAACAATCAAAATAATAGATAAGTACTCATTAAAGCTCACTATTTTCCATTTTTCTAAGTAGAATAAACCCTGAAACTGAATCAGGTTTTGCCCACAAGTCAGAACTACACCATTCAATTTGAAAAGACAGAGGCAGATATTTAAAAAAAAAATCAAAAACCAAAAAAAAATTTAGAAATATTTGGAAAAAATAGAAAAGTGCTACAACATATTAGCATTGCTTAATTATTACTTTTCATGCACTCTAATGTGGTAGACAGGCAGTGTAGAATAGTAGTTAGATCTCACTGTATGCCAGGGATTCAGTTCTAGCTCAGCCTACCACTAGCTGTGTGACCTTAGATAAATCACCTATTTTCTCTGTGGCTTAGTTTCCTCATCTTGGGGTAATAGATCCTTTTTCATAAAGTTGCTGGGAGGTTTAAACAGGAGTGTGTGTGTGGGTGGGTGGGTGGGTGTGTGAGTGTGTGTAGTTTTACAAAATGGTGCCTGGCAGATAATACAGTACTACGTAAGTAATAGCCACTACAATTGTTATCCAATAAATACTGAGTGTTACTGTTAGTCACTGTGCTGAGGATGGGAAGATCCTGCCCTAAAGGAGTACAGAGTTCATCTTCTCGACTTTCATCCCAGTTCTTTTTTCTATATCTATATCCAAGAGAATAAATTCAAGGTACATAGTTTAATCTCAGTCTAATTTTTTCTCCAGTGTTATTGATGTATAGTTAATATATAACATTGTATTAGTTTAAAGTTTACAGCATAATGATTTGATAGATGTATATATTGTGAAATGATTAGCACAATAAGTTTAACATCCATCACCTAACAGAGTTACAGATTTTTTTCTTGTGATGAGTACTTCTAAGATCTATAAGATAAATAGTTCTGGGGATGTAATGTACAGCATGGTAACTATAGTTAAAAATATATATTATATATTTGAAAGTTGCAAAGAGAGTAGATCAATCTTTAATTTTTACCTGATATTTAAAGAGATGGTTAGGAAATTGACCTGCTGCCTAAAATAAAATACTTCAAAGTCATTTTAAATCTTGTTTCATAGATGTTTATTTACTAATGGGTGTGAGCAAGTTAGATATTCTATACCGGAGACTTCTCCTCACAAAACTTTTTATCAGAGGATGGGGGAGGCCAGAAGATCTCAAAAGGTAAGCATTTTTTTTTTTCCAAATTCGCTTATTCTAAATTTGTTGTAGTAAACATTTAAAATTGTTTTTCAGTGATAAAATCCTTTACTATAAATATAAAGTGACTGGCAAATTAAGCATTGAAGTATATGAAACGTAATTATTTCCTTTTGTCGGTTGTCTTTTTAATTATTTCTCTTAAGTTTTAAACCGTATAATCATAAATTGAACTATTTTAAAAGTAATTTTAAAATTAAATAAAATTAAAAATAAAGAGCTCTTATATACAAGCTAGATTTTTAACTTTAATTATTTTTAAGTTGCTTAGAGTTTCCAGGGACCGAGCTTCCTCGGGTAACTTGAATTTGTAATAACAATAAACTGAGCTATACTGTAGCTCATGGAAATATCTGGACTTAAGAAAATGAATTTTCAGGATTTATGGCTTTAATTTTGAGTCTTGTATATGTTAACTGCTTTCTGAACAATGATATTTCTCACATATTTTATGAGACAAAATGTCCAGCTTGAATAAAAACCAATAGCCTCATCTTTTTCTCTAATGATTCAAATTAAATTTTGACATGGCTTATAAATTGGACTTGCAAATTTTTCAGCATTATACACTCTCAATACAATGGGCATATTGAATTTTTCCTTTCTCCCCCCTTATCATAATAGACTCTTCGAATTCAGAAAGATGATTGGAAATCGAGAAAGATGTCAGAATCTGGTTTCAAGTGATTATCCAGTACACATCGATAAGGTATTTAAATAAAAGAAATGAAGTTCCAGAAATTCTGGTTTAACATAAATATGTGTCAAGAGTAGGTTGGCAGTCGGTTAAGCGTCTGCCTTCGGCTCAGGGCATGATCTCAGGGTCCTGGGATCGAGTCCCACATCAGGCTCCCTGCTCAGCAGGGAGTCTGCTTCTCCCTTTCCTTTGTTGCTGCCCCCCCCCAACCCCCCGACTTGTGCTCTCTGGCTCTATCGAATAAATAAAAATCTTTAAAAAAAAACAAAGAGTAGGTTGAATGTTGGACTATAATAACAGTAAACACTAAAACATGAGTATAGATTTTTCATTTAATATTATTAAATACTATATGTGTCCTAAGAGGATGCTTATAATAACTATCATTCATGTATATTTGAGAGCATATATTTAGTACTTGCCTAAATACAAGAAAATATTTAAGTCTCGATCTTTTTGAGCCTTGTTTTGTATCTTTAGGATCAGGAGGGTTAAAATAAATTATTCAACATCTCAGAAGAACTATAAGTAACACGGGGAAGTATTCTAGTTGGAGAATCAGTACATGAGAAGTTGTTGCCAAAACAGCTTCTATTTTTTTTTAAATTTTATTTATTTATTTATTTATTTATTTATTTATTTATTTATTTATTTATTTAAGAGAGAGAGTGAATGAGAGAGAGTGCAGGGGGAGGGGCAGAGAGAGAGGGAGAAGCACACTCCCTGCTGAGCAGGGTGCCAGATGTGCGGCTCAATCCCAGGACTCTGGGATCATGATTTGAACTGAAGGCAGATGCTTAACCGACTGAGCCACCCAGGCACCCATCCAAAACAGCTTCTAAATAACATCAGGGAAATATTATGTTAATTGATGGGAGAAGGGTAGAAAGAAAATGCTGTAACATTAGAGACGATGAGAAAATATATTTGAAATAACTTTGTTTTTTTAGCAACCATACACTTTTCTGTAAAGCAGTTCTAGGTTTATGTAATTGGATAATTGAGGTATTGTTGGGGAGGGGGTACAAATGCATGGGCTTCACATCCCTCATTGTCCTTCAACCAAAGTAACTCTACTTTCATCTCTTATGTATTGGATAACTTTAGGAGATTTCATTTTTCAAAACAATTCCACTGCTAAAAACAAAATTTTATAAATTAGAAATCCCTTTTCTATACCATATAGCTGTTCTTTCCGTAGCTTCTGGATTTAGAACACTTCTCCCTCAAATTTTGCTAAATATTTCTATCATCGCTGTTTTTTTCTATTAAAAATCATAGACTTAAACAAATTAAAATTATACCAAGTAAAAAATCAAAACTCTAACTTTCTGCCACTTTCCACCACTTAATTCCATTTCTCTCCCAAGGAGGAGTTACTGTTAAGATTTTAGAATGCATTCTTACAGAGTTCCTTCCTCTCCCTGTATTCTCCCCATCACCGTCTCTCTTGGTTTTTAAAAACCAAGATATAGGGGCGCCTGGGTGGCTCAGTCATTAGGCGTCTGTCTTCGGCTTGGGTCATGATCCCAGCGTCCCGGGATCGAGCCCCGCATCGGGCTCCCTGCTTGACGGGAAGCCTGCTTCTCCATCTCCCAGTCCCCCTGCTTGTGTTCCCTCTCTCGCTGTGTCTCTCTCTGTCAAATAAATAAATAAAATCTTAAAAAATAAATAAATAAGTAAAAACCAAGATATTTTCATCTGCCATGGAATTCACCCTTTTAAAGTGTGCAGTTCAGTGTTGTTGTTTTTTACTACATTCCCAAGATGTGCAATCATCACCACTATCATTACCTACTTCCAGAATATTTTTATCTCCCCCAAAAGACACCATATACCCATTAGCTGTTACTTCCCACTTCCATACAGCCTTCTCCCTGCTGGCAGTCATTAGTCTGCTATTCTGTATGGATCCACCAATTCTGGACATTTCATATAAATGGAATCATTTAATATGAGGCCTTTTGTGTCTGGTTTATTTCACTGAACAAATTTTCAAGTTTCATCCATGTTATCTAACAATACCTCACTTTTTTATTGTTAAATAATATTCCATTGTATAGATATGTGACATTTTGTTTATCTATTTATCAGCTAATGGACATTTAGGTTTCTGCTTTTTGACTATTATGAATAATAATGCTATGAACATTCATGTGTAAGTGTTTTTGTGGATATGTGTTTTGAATTATTTAGATATATATAGGACTGGAATTTCTGGGTCATATGGTAATTCTATGTTTAACTTTTTGACAAACTGAAAACTGTTTTCCAAAGTGCACCATTTTACTTTTCTCACCAGCAGTGTATAATGGTTCCAATTTGTCCACATTCTCACTAATATTTGTATTAAACAGCCATCCTAGTGGGTGTGAAGTGTATTTTATTGTGATTTTTGATATGCCTTTCCCTTATGACTGTGATGTTGAGCATCTTTTCATGTGCTTATTGGCCATTTGCATATCTTCTTTGAAGAAATACCTATGAAATCATTGCCTTTTTTTTTTTTAAGATTTATTTATTTATTTTAGGGCAAGCAAGTGCAGGGCAGGGGACAGAGGGACGAGGGAGAGGGAGAGAAAGAATTTCAAGCACACTCCCCACCGAGTGTGGAACCCAACATGGGGCTTGATCTTGCCATCCTGAGATCATAACCTGAGCTGAAATCAAGAGTTGGACACTTAACTGACTGAGCCACCCAGGTGCCCCAAATCATTGCCTAATTTTTAACTGGGTTATTCATCTTTTTATTCTTGAGTTGTAGCTTAATTTTTAAGTCTGTATTACTTATGGCTCTAAAATCTCCTTTTTTTCTTACCAAATTGCCTGTTGTCCCAATATTATTTGTTGAATTATTACTCCCTTTCACATTAATCTGTGCTACCTCCTTTATCAAATAATTTATTCTTCTAAATTATACAAAAAGAAAACTTTAAAACCATAGTAGGAGGCACAAAGACTAAAATATAGAAACTTCTTGGATTAGAAATTTCATATCATACACATTGGGTCTCCTTACCATTTTCAAAAACCGCAGTGCAATCCTAGTTAAAATATTCAGTTTAGAACTAAAGTCTATAAAAGGATCCTGAAAGTATTTTGGGAAGAACCATGAGAGTATGAACACATCAGGAATACCTAAAAAAGAAGAGTGTTAAGTAAAACCTAGTTCAGTCATTTACCAGTAGGTATTATAAAGCTGCAGCATGATCAAAACAGCAAGATTTAGTACAAATAAAAGATAGGCTGATAAGCATTATAAACAATGGCCAAATTGTGGAAACAGCCCAAGTGTCCATTGACCAATGAATGGATAAAGAAGATGTGGGGGATATAAATACACATCATGGAATATATATCATGGAATATTACTCAATCATAAAAAAGAATGAAATCTTGCCATTTGCAACAACATGGATGGAGCTAGAGAGTATTATGCTAAGGAAAATAAGTCAGTGAGAAAGACAAATACCGTACGATTTCACTTATGTGGAATTTAAGAAACAAAACAAATGAACAAAGGGGAAAAAAAGAGGGAGGCAAAGAAACAGACTCTTAACTATAGAGATCAAGTTGATGGTACCAGAGGGGAGGCAGATGGAGGAATCGGTGAAACAGGTGATGGGTAGTAAGGAGGGCACTTGCTGTGATAAGCACTGGGTGTTGTATGTTAAATGATGAATCACTAAATTCTACATCTGAAACTAGTGTTGCACTGCATGTTAACTAGCTAGAATTTAAATTAAAACTTGGAAACTTAAAAAAAACTGGAGAGGGGCACCTGGGTGGCTCAGTTGGTTAAGCGACTGCCTTCAGCTCAGGTCATGATCCTGGAGTCCCGGGATCGAGTCCCACATCGGGCTCCCTGCTTGGCAGGGGGTCTGCTTCTCCCTCTGATCCTCTTCCCTCTCGTGCTCTCTGTCTCTCATTCTCTCTCTCAAATAAATAAATAAAATCTTTAAAAAAAAAAAAAACTGGAGGAAAAAAAGATAGGCTAATAAGAACAAATAAAGAATTGAAAATAATTTGCCAGGGGCGCCTGGGTGGCTCAGTCGTTAAGCGTCTGCCTTCAGCTCAGGTCATGATCCCAGGGTCCTGGGATCGAGCCCCGCATCGGGCTCCCTGCTCAGTGGGGAGCCAGCTTCTCCCTCTCCCTCTGCTGCTCCGCCTGCTTATGCTCTCTCTGTCAAATAAATAAATAAAATCTTTAAAAACAAAAAACAAAAAAAACTTACTTTATGATAAAGTAGCATTTAAGTCATTTGCAAAAAAAAAAATGTGGAGGGGCGCCTGATTGGCTCAGTTGGTTAAGTGTCTGCCTTCGGCTCAGGTCATGATCTCAGGGTCCTGGGGCTTGGCGGGGAGCCTGCATCTCCCTCCTGCAGCTCCCCCTGCTTGTGTTCTCTCTCTTTCTCTTAAATAAATAAATAAAATCTTTAAAAAAAAATGTGGATTATTTAATATAAGATATTGACACTACTGGCTAGAATTTGTGTTTTAAAATAAGCTGGATATATATAGTATCTACAGATATAGTTTTTTGTTTCCAATTTTAATGAAAATATGTGGTGTTTACTGTTAATTTAATTTTGACTACTGACCTGATAAAGATTTTTTATTTAAAAAAAATAACTTGGCGGGGTGCCTGGGTGGCTCAGCCGTTAAGCGTCTGCCTTCGGCTCAGGTCATGATCCCCGTGTCCTGGGATCGAGCCCCGCATCGGGCTCCCTGCTCTGTGGGAGGCCTGCTTCTCCCTCTCCCTCTGCCCCTGCTTGTGTTCCCTCTCTCACTGTGTTTCTCTCTGTCAAATAAATAAATAAAATCTTTAAATATTAGCAAATGCCTTTGCTATGTATGTAAATATATATTTCTCCCTATTTAATGTGTTTACATGACTCATTGCGTCAATGGATTTCTTAAAATGAGCCATTCTAATATATTTAACATCAAGTCAACCCTTATTTGATTTTGGTAGATTATTTTTATAGTTTCTGTGTAAATTGTTCTTACGGTTATTTTATATTTTTAAGTTCTTCCAACTAGTATTTTATTTTGACTTATTTCATGCTGTTGTACAAATGAGGTTTATTTATAGTTTACTTTTCCTTTTTTTTTTTTTTTATATTATTTATTTGAGAGAGAGCACATGAGAGGGGGGAGGGTCAGAGGGAGAAGCAGACCCCCTGCCGAGCAGGGAGCCCGATGCGGGACTCGATCCAGGGACTCCAGGATCATGACCCGAGCCGAAGGCAGTCGCTTAACCAACTGAGCCACCCAGGCGCCCTCCTTTTTTTTTTTTTTAAAGATTTTATTTATTTATTTGACAGAGAGAGAGAGAGAACACAAGCAGGGGGAGTGGGAGAGGGAGAAGCAAGCTTCCCACTGAGTAGGGAGCCCAATGCGGGGCTCGATCTCAGGACCCTGGGATCATGACCTGAGCCGAAGGCAGACGTTTAACAACTGAACCACCCAGGCGCCCCTACTTTTCCTTTTTTTTTTTTAATTTTATTTATTTTTTGAGAGAGAAAGAGAGAGAGAGAGAGAACAAGTGGGGGGAGGGGCAGAGGGAAAAGCAGACTCCCTGTAGAGCAGGCCCCTGGGATCATGACCTGAGCCAAAGGCAGATGCTTAACCGACTGAGCCACTCAGGCACCCTATAGTTTACTTTTCCAACTGGCCTGTAGTAAAGGATGTAAAAGGAAAAGAAATGTGTATAAAAGCCATGTCTTTAGAAAGCTGACTGGGAATGGGGGGCACCTGGGTGGCACAGCCAGTTAAGTGTCAGACTCTTGGTTTGGGCTCAGTCATGATCCCAGGGTTGTGAGGTGAAGTCCCACGTTGGACTCTGCACTCAACACGACGTCTGCTTGAGACTCTCTCTCCCTCTGCCCCTACCTGCTGAGCTTGCTCACTCTCTCTCTAAAATAAATAAATCTAAAAAAAGAAAGAAAGAAAGAAAGCTGATTGGGGCAAAAGAATATGTAGTCATCAGTGAAAAAAAGGTTTTTAATTGACTAGAACTTTTTTAATAGGAAAACATGTATGATAGACCAAGATATCTTAGTCTACATGTATACATTTTGGTTTTGCTTTTCTTTTAGATTGAAGAGCAATCAGACTGTAAGATCCTAGATGGGCACTTTGTTTCTCCCATGGCCCACTATGTGCCTGATATAATGCCAATTGAATCTGTTATTGCAAGGTAAGAATTTTTAATCAGAAAATTAAAGTAGTAAGTTATTTTTTTATTTATAATTATAATAAAATCAATGCAGTGTTATTTTGAATTGCTAGTATTAATTACAATCATTATTTGGCATTACTCCCATTAAACGTGGGTTGGGGCAGAATAAAAATACAGAGCTTTATAGTATGTATTCAAACTTAAGTTGTTATCACCTTAAAATAGATTTATAAATATAAAATGATTTATATAAGCCTGATAGAACCACAAAGCTAAAACCTACTGGATAAACAAAAAAGAAATAAATCTAAGTGTACCTTAGAGAAAATCATGAAATCACAAAGAGACAGAAAGAAGGAACAAAAGGATAATAAAACAATCAGAAAACAATAAACAAAATGGCAATAGTAAATTCATATCTATCAATAACCACTTTAAATGTAAATCAACTAAAATCTCTAATCAAAAGACTTCGAATGGCTGACTGGATTAAAAAGCAGGACCCAACTATATGCTGCCTATAAGAGACTCACTTCAGGGGCACCTGGCTGGCTCAGTTGGAAGAGCATGGGACTCTTATTCTCAAGGTTGTGAGTTTGAGCCCCACGTTGGGTGTAGAAAATACTTACGTGAGTATGTAACACGCTGAGCTTGCTTACTCTCTCTCTCTCTCTGCTAAAGAGAGACTCACTTCAGATGTAAGGACATACACAGACTTTAAGTGAAGGGATGGAAAAAGATATTCCATGCAAATGAAAATCAAAAGAAAGTAGAGGTAGCTATATTTTACTGTACAAAATAGACTTTAAGACAAAGATTGGTAAGGAACAAGGAAGGTCATTATATAATGATAAAAGGATCAATCTAATGAGAGGATATAACATTTGTAAATATTTATGCACCCAACATAGGAACTAAATATATAAAAAAAAATTTAACAAACTTGAAGGCAGCAATACAATAACAATAGGAAGCTTTGATACTTGACTTGCAACAATGGATAGATAATCCATACAGAAAATCAGTAGGAAAACATTGAACTCAAACTAATCCATTGGACCAGATGGACTTAACAGATATTCACAAAACACTGTATCCAACAGCATCTTTTAAAATGCGCAGGGAGCATTCACCAGGATAGATCATATATTAGTCACAAAACAAATCTTAATAAATTTAAGAAATTTTTTTTTTAAGATTTTATTTATTTATTTGACAGAGGGAGCACAAGCAGGGGGAGTGGGAGAGGGAGAAGCAGGCCTCCCACGGAGCAGGGAGCCTGATGTGGGGCTCGATCCCAGGACCCCGGGATCATGACCTGAGCCGAAGGCAGACGCTTAATGACTGAGCCACCCAGGCACCCCAAATTTAAGAAATTGAAATCATATCTAGCATCTTTTGTAACCACATTGGTATGAAACTAGAAACAAGAAGAAAACTGGAAAACTCACAAATATGTGTAGATTAAACAGCTTGCTATTGAAACACCAGTGGGTCAAAGAAGAAATCAAAAGAGAAATCAAAAACGCCTTGGGATAGATGATAATGGAAATACAACATACCCAGATTTATGGAGTACGGCAAAAGCAGTTCTAAGAGGGAGGTTCATAGTGATAAACACCTACATTAAAAAAAAAGAAAGATCTTTTAAAAAATAAACAACCTAAGTTTACACCAGGAACTAAAAAAAGAACAAACTAAGCCTAAAGTTAGAAGGAAGGAATTAGTATGGATCAGAGATGAAATAAATTAAATAGTGACTATAAAAATAATAGAAAAGATCAATGAAACTAAGAGCTGTGTTTTTGAAAAGATAAACAAAATAAACAAACTTTTAGCTCGGCTACCAAGAAATAAAGAGAGAGGTCTCAAGTAAAATTAGAAATGAAAGAGGAGCTGGGCGCCTGGGTGGCTCAGTCGGTTGGGCGACTGCCTTCGGCTCAGGTCATGATCCTGGAGTCCCGGGATCAAGTCCCGTGTTGGGCTCCTTGCTTAGCAGGGGGTCTGCTTCTCCCTCTGACCCTCCCCCCTCTCATGTGCTCTCTCTCTCTCATTCTCTCTCTCACAAATAAATAAAATCTTAAAAAAAAAAAAAATTCATCTTAAAAAAAAAAAAAGAAATGAAAGAGGAGCCATTACAGTTGATATCACAGAAATAGAAAAAATCGTAAGAGACCACTGTGAATAATTATACACCAATCAGTTGGATAACCTAGGAGAAATGGTTAAATTCCTAGAAATGTGCAACCTACCAAGACTTAATCATGAAGAATATAAAATCTGAACAGACCAATTACCCATAAGGAGATTTAATCAGTAATCAAAAATTTCCCAAAAAAGACAAGTCGAGGACCAGATGACTACATTGGTGAATTCTGCCAAACATTTAAAGAAGAATTAATAATAATCCTCAAACTCTTCAAAAAAATTGAAGAGGAGGAAACCTTCTAAATTCATTTTACAAGGCCAACGTTACTTTGATACCAAAACCAGACAAGGAGGCCATAACAAAAGAAAATTACAAGCCAGTATTCCTACTGAACTAGATGTAAAAATCCCCAACAAAATACTAGGAATCCAAATTCAACAATACACAAAAAGGATCGTATACTATGATTAAGTGGGATTTATCCCAGGGATACAAAGATGGTTCAACATCTGCAAATCAATCACTATGGCATACCACATAGACAAAATGAAGGATAAAACTCCTATGTTGATCTCAATGGAAATAGGAAAAGCATTTGACAAAATTCAACATCCATTTATGATAAAAACTCTCAACAAACTTTTATAGAAGGAACATATGTCAATATAATAAAGGCTGTATATTAACAAGCTCATAGTTAACATCATACTAAATGGCGAAAAATTAAAATCTTTTCCTCTAATATCAGGAACAAGACAACTATGCAAACTGTTACCACTTTTATTCAACAGAATATTGGAAGTCCTAGCCAGAGCATTTAGGCAAGAAAAAGAAAGGCATCCAAATCAGAAAGGAAGAAATAAAACTGTCTCTGTTTACAGATGACAAAAACCCGCTAGAACTAATAAACAAGTTCAGTAAAGTTGTAGGATACAAATGCAATATACAAAAATCAGTTGCATTTCTATACACTAATAACAAGCCATCAGAAAAATTAGAAAACAATCCTATATACAGTTGCATCAAGAAGAATAAAATACCTAGGAATAAATTTAACCAAGGAGGTGAAAGGACCTGTACACTGCAAACTATAAGACACTGATGAAAGAAACTGAAGATGACACAAATAAATGGAAAGATATTCCATGCTCATGGATTGGAAGAATTAATATTGTTAAAAAGTCCATACCTTTGCAATCTGCAGATGCAATGCAATCTCTATCAAAATTCCAATGGTATTTTTCAAAGAAATAGAAATAATTAATAAGATTAAGAAATAGAAATAATTAATCTTAATAAGATTAAGAAATAATCTTAAATTTTGTATGGAACCACAAGAAAACCTGACTAGCCAAAGCAATCTTGAGTAAGAAGAACAAATCTGGAGGCATCACACTCCCTGACTTCAAGCTATTATACTACAAAACCATAGTAGTCAAAAGAATATGGTGTTGGCATAAAAACAGACACATTGATCAATGAAACAGAATAGAGAGCCCAGAAATAAACCCACCGTATATGGTCAATTAATTTATGACAGAAGAACCAAGAATGTACAGTGGGTAGGATCTCTTCAATAAATGGTATTAGAAAGACTGGACAGCCATGTGCAAAAGAATGAAACTGGACCAATATCTCGCACCAAACGAAAATTAACTCAAAATGGAGTAAAGACTTGAACATAATGCTGAAACTATAAAACTCCTAGAAGAAAATATGAGTGGTTACCTCCTTGACATCAGTCTTGGAGTTGATTTTTTGGATCTGACACCAAAGCAAAGGCAACAAAAGCAAAAATAAACAACTTGGGATGACATCAAACTAAAAAGCTTCTGCACAGTGAAGGAGACCAACAAAATGAAAAGGTGGCCTGTGAAATGGGAGAAAATATTGGCAAATCCTATATCTGATAAGGGGTTAATATTAAAATATATATTTTTTAAATTTCTTTAAAAGATTTTCTTTATTTATTTGACACAGAGAGAAAGCACAAGTAGGCAGAGCAGGAGGCAGAGAGAGGGAGAAGCAGGCTCTCCAATGAGCAGGGAGCCTGACGTGGGGCTCAATCCCAGGACCGAATGAGCCAATATATTTAAAAATTCATACAACTTGGGGAGCCTGGGTGGCTCAGTCGTTAAGCGTCTGCCTTTGGCTCAGGTCATGATCCTGGGGTCCTGGAACGAGCCCTGCATTGGGCTCCCTGCTCAGTGGAAAGCCTGCTTCTCCCTCTCCCCTCCCCCTGCTTGTGTTCCCTCTCTCGCTGTGTCTCTCTCTGTCAAATAAATAAATAAAATCTTTAAAAAAAAAATGGGCAGAGGAACTGAATAGACATTTTCCAAAGAAGACATAAATATGGTCAACAATGCCTGAAAAGGTGCTCAACATCACTAACCATCAAGAAAATGGTGTGGCATAAAAACAGACCCCAAAATACCAAATACCAGAAGCAAAACCACAATGCGATATTACCTCACACCTGTTAGAATGGCTATTATTAAAAGACGAGATAACAAGTGTTGGTGAGGATGTGGAGAAAAGGGAACCCTTGGATACTGTTGGTGGGAATGTAAATTGCTGTAGCCACTATGGGAAACAGTATGGAAGTTCCTCAAAAAATTTAAAGTAGAACAACCATATGATCCAGCCATTCCACTTCTGGATATTTATTTGAAGGAAACAAGAACGTTAACTTGGGAAGATACCTGTACTCCTATGTTCATTGCAGCATTATTTATAATAGCTAAAGCATGGAAACAACCTTAGCGTCCATCAATGGATAAAAGGATAAAGAAGTGGTATATATAGAGAGAGAGTACAGTATCATTCAGACAAAAAAAAAAAGAAGGAAATTCTCCCATTTGCAATTACATGGATGGACCTTGAGACCATTATGCTAAGTGAAATAAGTCAGACAGAGAAAGATGAATACCATATGATCTCACTTATATGTAGAATCTAAAAAAACAACAACCTTGAACTCACAGATACAGAGAACAGACCGGTTAGTTGCCAGAGTTGGAGGTGGGGGGGGGGGGTGAAATGGGTGAAAGTGGTCAAAAGGTACAAACTTCCAGTTATAAAATAGATAAGTCTTGAGGATGTAATAACAGCATGGTGACTATAGTTAATCTAAATACTGTATATTTGAAAATTGCTATGAGAGTAGATCTTTTTTATTTCATTTTATTTTATATATATATTTTTCTTTTTTTAATTTAAATTCAATTAATTAATATATAATGTATTGTTTCAGGGGTACAGGTCTGTGATTCAGCAATCTTATATAATACCTAGTGCTCATTACAACACGTACCTTCCCCAATGTCCATCACCCTGTTACCCCATCCCCCTGCCCCCCTCCCCTCCAGCAACCCTCTGTTTCTTAAGATTAATAAGAGTCTCTTACGGTTTGTCTCCCTCTCTGGTTTCATCTTGTTTCATTTTTTCCTCTCTTCCCCTATGATCCTCTGCCTTGTTTCTTAAATTCCACATATCAGTGAGATCATATGAGAGTAGATCTTAAAAAAGTGATCATCACAAGAAAAAAGAATTTTGTAGCTATGTGTGGTGATGGATGTTAAATAAACTTATTGTGGTGATCATTTCACAGTATATACATATATCAAATCATTATGTTACACACCTTAAACTAATAATATATGTTTATCTTATTTTTTAAAAAGAGAGATTTTAGAAGCTGAAAATGGGAAGCCATTAAGATCTATATAGATACTTCCCCTACCTCCCTTTCCTGCGTGCTTCATGGTCTCTTATCTCTGCTTTATGACCCATGTCATTTCTCTGTGGGTAGGTTAGCTTTCTCTGTTTCTCATGCAACTGAGAAAAAATAGCTACCACACCTCTGCAAAGCTTTCATGTCCAAAAGCTCAACAGAATCTAGAGTCTGTCTTACTTCCAGATTACCAAAAGAACAAATCTTATTGCCCTAATTTGGCCTACTCCAGACCCAATCAGCTCTAGCAAAGAAGCTCACATGAACTATACCCATTTATCATGGGGCACTGGAAGATACTCTGTGAGAATATACTATAATAAGAGCAGACAGACTAATTAATGAGCCTCTACTAAATGAGTGGTCATTATTACTGTAATAAAAGATTTCTATTAATTTAAAGCTATTCTCCATAATGAAGCCTCTGTATGCACTGCTATGGGACAGAAGGAAGAAAAAATAGCAGCAATACTCAGCATTCTATGGAAAACATTTTTAAATGTTTTCATTTCCCACAAATCATCAAAATATCAAGAAGCAGGATAGTTCTGAGAATGCAAAACAAAGCAGAGTGGTTAACATTGCTAGTTTTATGAGAATAAAAATTAAGAGTTAGTTGTCATGAGCACAAAACAGAAATAACCATTGAATCCTTCTAAATGTACTTGTCTATGTTCTGTATTAAATAATTTATTGATAACAGATAACTAGTGATATTGTCCCCTGTCCAAGCAAAATAATTTCAGAATTGAGGTTTATGTTGCCTGAGAATGCAGCTACCTAAGGTCAAACCTTGAGTTGACTGAGTGTAGTATTATACTATGATAATAATTCTAAAATATCTACTGCTAGGGAAATTAAAAAGACAAGTAAATCAGTTTGGGAAGATAAAGTTCTGAAGATGAATGGTGTTGATTGTTGCACAACATAAATGTACTTAATGCCACTGAACCATACAACTTAAAAAAGGTTAAAATGAAAAATTTTATGTTATATGTATTTTATCACAATTAAAAAATAATTTCTATAGGAAAAAAAATTAAATGAAAGGCGAAATACTACAGTAAGAAGATGACAAATAGAGAAAACTGTTTTTTTCTGCTGTGGATTGCTTTTACACTCCAAATTGAAAAACAGAATTGATAACAAACTATTTTATTGATACATCAGCAGCTTGTACAACTAAGCATTATTCCTACAATGAGAAGAAGCAGAGCTATCTAAAGAGTTTTTTTTTTTTCTAAGACTTACTCATATATATTAATATCTCGGCAAAATAAGAATATTTCATTATGCATTTATAAAGTTGTGGTATTGAACAAGGTAAAAATGATTACAATAAATTCTATGTTCATATTGTACTGAATGTTTTAATATGCTAACACAAAGCAAATTTATAATATCTTAGTTGCCTTTGTGCAAACATTAATTAATCATAATTTGAATGTCAAAATTCTGAATGATCTTTTCTCCCAAATAATTTAATTATGTAACTTTTACAAATTTGAAAGTTTGAGTTAAAAACCTTTTAAAGAGAATTTCACAGATCTTTTTTATTTTAAATAGGTTCCAACTTATTGTTCCTAAAGAATGGAACAGCAAATATAAACCTGTATGCATTCATCTTGCTGGAACAGGAGATCATGTAAGACTCTATTATAATGCCTTAATCCCTAATTTGTTAACATAATTGTGTAACACAGATGTGGTTATTATATTCTTTAAGTATGCCATCTTTTCTTTCCTTAGCATTACTGGAGACGACGAACACTAATGGCTCGTCCTATGATTAAAGAAGCCCGAATGGCTTCTTTGTTGTTAGAAAACCCTTATTATATCCTTTTGTGATACCTAGAAATCTTTCATTTATTGATTAATAGATTTAGTCATCAAAAGGAATGATAGATAGTAACCAGCTTTTCTAAACCAGTTAAATTTAGTTGTCAGTTCAGAAAATATTTAAGAAGCAAGAGTGAAAAATTGTTTCATGCCTTTAAAAAACCAATGTAGGGATTATGGTTCTACTGTATAATAAAGATAAATTGTACTTCTTTTTCTTATAAAACTTATGCTGGATTTTAATATTAAGTCAAATGTTTGCTATTAAGGAAACCCTCATGTTTTAAATGCATTTACATTTAAGTCATCAGTTGAGGTTTAGAACAGTACTTAACTTAACTTTCAAGATGACGTCAGACTATTCCCAGAAGAAGAAACGAAAGTGATGCACAGATATAAAGAAATGTTCAACGTTGCTGGTAATAAGAGAAATGTAAAGTTAAAGCAACATTACCAAAGATTTAAAAAATAAAACACAATAGTTGTGAGGCTATTGTAAAAAAAAAATAGGCATTCTTATTATTAATGGCTGTGAAAACCAGTTTAATCCTCTGGGAAAGCATTTTTACCATCTATAACAGGAGCCTTAAAAAATTTTATGTCCCTTGACTTTGATTTTGATTCTTGGAAATTTATTCTAAGGATAAAATACTAAGAAAAGAGCAGCACCAGGGACGCCTGGGTGGCTCAGTCGGTTAAGCGTCTGCCTTCAGCTCAGGTCATGATCCCAGGGTCCTGGGATTGAGTCCCACGTCGGGCTCCCTGCTCCACGGGGAGCCTGCTTCTCCCTCTGCCTCTGCCTCTCTCTCTATCTCTCATGAATAAATAAATAAAATCTTAAAAAAAAAAGAAAAGAAAAGAGCAGCACCTGGGTGGCTCAGTCAGTTAAGGGGACGACTGGATTTCGGCTCAGGTCATGATCTCACGGTTTTAAGATTGAGCCCTGCGTTGGGCTTAGGCGCTGGGCGTGGAGCCTGCTTAAGATTCTCTCTCCCTCTCCCTCTGCCCTGCCCCCATCTCTTAAAAAAAAAAAAAATAAGAAAAGAGAAAGTGATAGAAAACAAAAAAGATATTTATATAGCTTTATGATAGTAAGACATTAGGAATAGCTTAAGTGTCTAATAATAGAAAAAGAGTTGAGTAAATTGTGGCTCATAATATTAGAATATTATGCAGTTGGTTATGTTTTTTGCTCTACCACTTTAGTATCTGTATGACCTCAGATGTGTTACTTAACCTTTTAACTTCAATTTTTTTGTTGGTAAATGGGAATAATCTCTGAAGTTATTCCTAGTATTAAGTACTTAATACTGTCTAGAATGGTGCCTGGTAAATAACAAACATTCAGTAAATTTTAATGGTTAGTTATTATTAAAAAGTTTACAGTAATTTATGAAAAGTACAGTGCAAAAATAGGAAACAAAACTCTGTGGTATGACAGAAAAACCTAAAAACAGAAAATCCATTAAAAAAAACTGCATAAGGAAAAAATACTGGAACTACACCAAAATATTAATATGGTTGTCTGTAGATGAAGTAGTTTTTCTTCTAATATGCTTTTCTTCATTTACAAAATTAAGTTGAAGATTGTACAACCCTGTGGATATACTAAACATATTAAACTGTACCCTTAAAATGGGTGAATTGTATGGTATGTGATATCAATAAAGCTGTTTTTAAAAAGAAAAAAGAAAAATAATCAAGTTGAAAAACCTGAGAACTCAACAGCGTATTTGAGATAACTAGAAAATAGTTATTTCAGTATCAAATTGTGTTCAAATGTAACTATTTTGCTTAAGTTAATGTGTTTTGAGACACAGACTATATTTAATTATTTTAAAACTTTCTCTTTGACCCACATTTTTAAATGGCTGCAGGAAGCCCAAAGACCAAATGTAAGTATGTATCACCTTCACTTTTGTAGTCTTTATACCAAATTAAATAAAAAATTTTTGTTAGTCTTCGGTTAATCATTTCTAAATTTAATAAGCAGATGTTATTTGGGGAGAAAATTCTGTTATAAAACTGTAGTAGGAATGTTGACTTATTTTTATTTTAAGCTTTTTCACTTAAAATGTTTGATAAAGAGATAAGTAAGAAAATTTAACAGACTGATGGAATATATGTTTTATTTGTAAAATGGTAACTGAAGAAATGTTAAAACATTTTCCTTCTTAAAGTACATTTACTTCGTAAAATTAAACACCACTCTTTATTCTTACAATTTATGGTGTGGGTAATCTAAAGATAATCTCTTTTTGGTCTTTCAAAATGATGAACTTTGAAGGCGATTTTTTTGCGTTTCCATAATCTATATATTGTGTTTGGTTTTGAGTCACTGAATAAATGTTTGATCTAAGACACTGGGAAGATAGCAACAAAAAGACAAGGTCCTTACTGTCATAGAGCTTATATTCAAGGATGGGAGATAGGTAAAAATAAGTAAGATGATTTTGGATATTTACCAATGCCACGAAGAAAATAAAGCAGGGAAATCAAATAAAGAATAATAGAGGGTAAGTGCAGAGTTGGAAAAGTATTAGATATGAGGACATGACATAATGGGAAGGAGCCACCCAGGTGAAGACCTGGAGGAAGACTCAGAGGACGAATAAATGAAAAGCCTGATATAAGCATGAGGTGGGAGAGTAGTATAAGATGAGGTCAGAAATGAGGGCAAGGGCAGATTTATGAAGAGCCATGTGCTTTGAATTTTACTGTCAATGCAGTAGGAAATCTTTGGAAGACTTTAAGCAGAGGAATGATCTGATTTGTGCTTTTAAAGGCTCATTTTGGCTTACTGGGACAAGAGTAGCAGCAGAAAAATTAAATAGGAAGCTATTGCAATAATGCAGGGAAAAAACAACTTTAAGATAGTGGCAGGGGAAATGGAAAGAAGTTCTAATGGATTTGAGATATAATTTAGAAGTTGAAATAAGACTTGTTGATAACTTATGAATATTGTTGGTAAGAAATCAAAAGTTCTGACTTGCACGTGTTAAATTAGTGATGTCTGTTAGATCTGCAGGTGAAGTTAAGTAGGGAGTTGGAAAGTTCTGGAGAGGTAGATATAGAAGTCACATGTTCCATGTGGTCATGACATGGAAGAGATATAGATGAAAGTGGGGTACATTGGAAGCAAACCTATATCCTATGAAGGATAGTTTAGAATAAACTTAGTGAGGGGCGCCTGGGTGGCTTAGTCTGTTAAGTGTCTGAATCCTGATCTCAGCTCAGGTCTTGATCTCAGGGTTCTGAGTTTGAGTTCAAGGCTTGGAGCCTACTTTAAATAAATAAATAAATAAATAAATAAACAAACAAACAAACAAACAAGCATACATATTTATGTATAAGTTATACACACACACACACATATATAAAAGAATAAACTTTGTGGAATGTGAAAATTAATGTCCAAGCTAAAAGTTAAAGAATTCTTACTCTGCTGGGGATTCCTGGGTGGCTCAGTCGGTTAAGCATCTGCCTTTGGCTCAGGTCATGATCCAGGGTCCTGAGATTGAGTCCTACATCAGGCTCCTTACTTGGCAGGGAGCCTGTTTCTCCCTCTGCCTGCTGCTCCCCCCCTGCTTGTGTTCTCTCTCACACAAATAAGTAAATAAAATCTTTTAAAAAAATGAATTAAAAAAAAAAAAAAAAGAATGCTTACCCTGGAACCAAGTTCTGAATTCAGAACTAGGCATGTCATTTTTACCCTGTTTATTGGTGCTTAAAAACCCAAAAGAGTTTATTGAGTTGTAGTTAGAGGCAGCATGGGTTTAATGGAAAGTCTTTGACTTTGGAGTCACACAGACATAGGTTGCAATTGTAACTTGCCATTTAATAATTGTATGACCTTGGTCTAAGTATCTGTTACCTACCTCATTTATAAAGTGGAAATACTATATAATTTCTTCCATACAGAATTGATGTGAGAGTCGTGTTTATAAAATATTCTATCACATATCATATATCCAAGAAATATAATATTTGATTTTTTTCAAGTAATTCATTGTAAGAAATGGCTTGCAATTTAAATAATAAACAGTTATTTTTTATCTCTTTTTAAAAGGCATCTTATGCCTATTTTCAGTGCTTAAACATTTTGAAACTGGGTCCACTGTTATAAATAACTACTGTCCCAGAACCCCACATCGGTAACTTTTAGATAAAAGAGCAAACTGAGGTATACCTGGGAATTCAAACTTCCATACCAGGCCAAAATAAATAATCAGGGGAATTATGTGATAATAAATAGAAAATTGGAATGATGATAAGAAAATATAAGGATACATGGGCTCTTTTATGAGGAAGTACATGTATGATCTGTTTTGACAGATTTTCCATAAATTCTGCCTTATGGAACTTAGAGCTCTGAGAGGATGTGGTAGAAGAGTGGATATAAGCTCTTTGCGGGCAAGAATTCTGTTTTTCATAACTTGGCATTCTTATGACACCTAGTTGTTTGTGCATAATCACGCTACATATACATATAATAAACAACCATTGATAAAATGAATTTTTGTACACCTTGACAAGGTTTCATCCAGAAGCCAATCATGTATGTCTTTATATGAACTAAATTTTGAAAACAGACTCTAATTTGGACACTTCAGTAATAAGATAGTAGTATTTTTTATCACTATACAGACATACCCTGGAGATATTGTGGGTTCAGTTGCAGACCACCGTAATAAAGGGAATATTGCAATAAAGCAACTTAAATGAATTTTTTGGTCTCCAGTGCATATAAAAATTATGTTTACACTATACTGTAGTCTGTTAAGTGTGCAATAGCATTATGTCTAAAAAAACAGTGTACATACCTTTATTTAAAAATATTTTATTGCTGGGGCACCTGGGTGGCTCAGTCGTTGAGCATCCGACTCTTGATTTTGGCTTGGGTCATGATCTCAGGGTCGTGGATCAAGCCCTGTATCGGGTCTCCCTGTTCAGTAGGGAGTCTGCTCTTCTCAATCTCCTGCTGGCCCCCCATCTCTCTCTCACTAAAATAAATAAATGGATCTTTAAAAAAATATATTTTATGACTCCCAGTTATGGAATGAATAAGTCACAGGAATAAAAGGTACAGCATAGGGAATATAGTCAGTGGTATTGTAATAGCACTATATGGTGACAGATGGTAGCTACACTTGTGGTGTGCATAGTATAACATATAGACTTGTCAACTCACTATGTTGTACACCTGAAACTAATGTAACATTGTGTATCAACTACAATAAAATAAAATAAGCTTTATTGCTAAAAAATGCTAACCATTATCAGAGCTTTCAGCAAGGCATAATTTTTGCTGGTGGAGGGTCTTGCCTCAGTGTTTATGGCTGCTGACTGATCAGGGTGGTGGTTACTGAAGGTTGGGTGGCTGTGGTAATTTCTTAAAACAATAATGAAGTTTGCCACATCAATTTACTCTTCCTTTTGCAATTTCTCTGAAGCATGTGATGCTGTTTCATAGCATTTTACCCACAGTGGAACTTTCAAAATTGGAGTCCATCCTCTCAAACCCTGCCACTGATTTATCAACTAAGTTTATGTAATATTCTAAATCCTTTGTTGTCATTCAGCAATTTTCACAGCATCTTCACCAAGTTTAGATTCCATCTCAAGAAAGCATTTTCTTTGCTCATCCATAAGAAGCAGTTCCTCATCCATTAAAAGGTTTATCATGAGATTGCAACAATTCAGTCTCATCCTCAGGCTTTACTTCTAATTCTAGTTCTTTTGCTATTTCTACCACATCTGCCGTTACTTACTCCACTGAAAGTCAAAGTCATCCATGAGGGTTGGAATCAAATTCTTCCAAATTCCTGTGAATGTTGATATTTTGACCTCTTCCTGTGAATCACAAGTGATCTTACTGGTATCTAGAATGGTGACCCCTTTCCAGAAAATTTTCAATTGGCTTTGCCCAGATCCATCAGAGGAGTCACTGTCTATGGTAGCTATAGCCTTATGAAATGCAGTTCTTAAATAATAAGACTTGAAAGTCAAAATTATTCCTTTACCCATGGACTGTAGAATGGATGTTGTGTTAGCAGGCCTGAAAATATTAATCTCGTTGTACATCCCCATCAGAGCTCTTGGGTAACCAAGTCATGTTTTGGAAGGAATCTTTTTTACTGAGCAAGTAGGTCTCAACAGTGGGCTTAAAATATTCTGTTACCATGTTGTCAACAGATGCACTGTCATCTAAGCTTTGTTCCATTTATAGGAGAAGGCATAGTAGATTTAGCATAATTCTTAAGAGCTCTAGGATTTTTGAAATGGTAAATGAGTCCTGGCTTCAACTTAAAAGACACCAGCTGCATTAGCCCCTAACAAGAGAGTCAGCCTCTCCTTTGAAGCTTTGAAGCCAGGCATTGACATCTCCTCTCTAGCTATGAAAGCCCTAGATGGCATCTTCTTCCAACAGAATGCTATTTTTCAACATTGAAAATTTGTTGTTGAAGGGTGTCTGGGTGGCTTGGTCAGTTGGGCATCTGCCTTCTGTTTGGGTCGTGTTCCCAGGGTCCTGGGATTGAGCCCCACATCCGCCTCCCTGCTCAGCGGGGAGCCTCCTTTTCCCTCTCCCTCTGCTTCTCCCCCTGCTTGTGCTCAATCTCCCTCCCTCTCTCTCTCTGTCAAATGAATAAATAAAATCTTTAAAAAAAGAAAGAAAGAAAGAAAATCTATTGTTGGATTTGGTGGCTCAGTTGGTTAAGCTTCTGACTTCTGATTTTGGCTCAGGTCATGATCTCAGGGTCATGGGATCGAGCCCTGCGTCAGGCTCCGCGCGCTGTGGGGAGTCTGCTTGAGGATTCTCTCCTCCCTCTCCCTCTGCCCCTCCCTCCACTCGCATGCTCTCTCTCTCTCAAATAAAATAAATAAAATTAAAAAAAAAAGAAAATCTGTTATTTAGAGTAGCCCCCCTCATTAATTATCTTAGCTAGATCTTCTGGATAACTTGGCTGTAGCTTCCACATCAGCACTTACTGCTTCAGCTTGCACTTTTATGTTATGGAGATGGCTTCCTTTCTTTTCTTTTTTTTTTACAATTTATTTTATGGAGAGTGTGCGAGAGTGGGGGAAGGAGCAGAGGGAGAGGGAGAGAATCTCAAGTAGACTCCCCACTGAGTGTGTAGCCTGAAGTGAGGCTTAATCTAGGGACCCTGCGATCATGACCTGAGCTGAAATCAAGAGTTGGTCGCTTAACCAACGGAGCCACCCAGGTGCTCTGATGCCTTCTTTTCTTAAACCTCATGAAGCAACTTTTTTTTTTTTTTTTTTAAGATTTTATTTATTTATTTGACAGAGAGAGAGAGCACACACAGGCAGGGGGAGTGACAGGTAGAGGAAGAGGGAGAAGCAGACTCCCCACAGAGCAGGGAGCTGGATGCAGGACTTGATCCCAGGACCCTGGGATCATGACCTGAACCGAAGGCCGCAGCTTAACCAACTGAGCCATGCAGGCACCCGAAGCAACCTCTTTTAGCTTCAAACTGTTCTTCTGCAGTTTCCTCACCTCCTCAGCCTTCATAGAATTGAAGAGAGGTAGGGCCTTCCTCTGGAATAGGCTTTGGCTTAAGGGAATGTTGTGGCTGTTTCGATTTTCTATCTAGACCAGTAAAACTTTCTCTGCATCAGCAAGAAGACTATTTTGCTTTCTATTTTGTGGGTTTACTGGAGTAGTACTTTTAATTTTCTTCAAGAACTTTTCCTTTGCATTCACAATTTGGCTGTTTGCTGCATGAGGCCTAGCTTTTAGCCTATCTCAGCTTTTGACATCCCTTCCTCACTGAGTTTAATCACTTCTAGCTTTTGATTTCTATTCATTTATTTGTTTGTTTGTTTTTATTTTTTTTAAAGATCTTTTATTTATTTGACAGAGAGAGACACAGTGAGAGAGGGAACACAAGCAAGGGGAGTGGGAGAGGGAGAAGCAGGCTTCCCGCGGAGCAGGGAGCCTGATGTGGGGCTCGATCCCAGGATCCTGGGATCATGACCTAAGCCGAAGGCAGATGCCCAACGACTGAGCCACCCAGGCGCCCCCCCCCTAAAAAAATCATTTAAGTACTTCTAAGGAAATGTATTTATATGTAAAATTAATTTCTAAAGACAGGAAATTCTAGTTGAATTGGTCTTTAAGTTAATCAAAACATGTATTTTTATAAAAAATTACTTTTCCAACCAACTTTTAATTATAAAATAAATAAGTCATGGATTTGAAAAGTACAGCACGGGGAACATAGTCAAGAATATTGTAATAACATTATATAGTGACAGATGGTGACTACAATTACCATGGTGAGCACTGAGTAATGTGTGTGTGTGTGTGTGTGTATCTGAAACTAATATGATGTATGTTAATTATACTACAATTAAAAAAATTTTCTGGTTGATTATATTCATAAATTGTGTATTTTGTGGAAATAAGCAACATATTTAAGATTTTGGAAATACATGAGTATTAGGTTAAATTCTTTTACATTGCTTTTTTTAAAATCTTCTGCTTTAAGTTCTATTGTAAAAATAGGAGGGACAAGTATGAATTGGTTTTTTCTAACAGTTTTTTTTTTAAAGATTTTTTATTTGTTTATTTGACAGAGAGGCACAGCGAGAGATTGAACACAAGCAGGGGGAGTGGGAGAGGGAGAAGCAGGCTTCCCACCAAACAGGGAACCTGACGCAGAGCTCGGTCCCAGAACCCTGGGACCACGACTGGAGCGGAAGGCAGACTTAGCTTAACGACTGAGCCACCCAGGCGCCCCTTTAACAGTTTTTTTAAGTGCTATCAAATAAATATTATTTCCTGGGCTTCAAAATAGTTAAATAATTGAAATTCAATAAAGATTCAATAAAGAGCATATATAGCTTTTAAAAATAAGTTTTAATTAATTGTAGAATAATGTTAGCACTTTAATTCCATCAATTTATTCCATTGTTTTACTTACCTAATCCGTCCTTTAAAAGAAAAACATGAAGTCTGGCTGCCTGTTGTAAATTTGCATATGTTAAAATGTAAATACATAAATAATTTTCTCTTTTGTCTTGTGAGGCTAGAAGGTCCAGCTTAAAAAACGTGTCTGACCTTTTTGTGATGGGAGGAGCTCTTGTTTTAGAATCTGCAGCTCTCTTGCACTGGCTAGAGAGAGAGGGTTATGGACCTCTAGGAATGACCGGAATATCCATGGGAGGACATGTAAGCCTTTTAATTTCAAGTGATATTTAATTGCGATTATGTTCATAAAACCTAGAGAATGTAGTTATTTTAAAATTTTACTTTAGGTGTGGAATTAATTTTAGTTTTGGCAAAAGCAGAAACAGGTTTCAAACTTTTGTTCCAATTATGATTTTTTTGGTATGATTTATGTAGACATTGATTGTACTACTTATTTCACAGCTATAGCTCAGATATTGGATTTAATATTTTATTAAAAGTTGATTTTAAAAAAAGAAAATAAAAGTTGATTTTTATAAAACTTACCTTTTCACATCTCAAGTATAAATATGCTGTTAAATTGGTGAAGATAATGAATTTGGAAAATACTTTTCATTTGTCTCTTATCTCTATCCCCAGGGTCACCAACCTATTTTACTTTGTCTTCTAGAGTGTACTAAAACAGCCTCCTAATTGGTTTCTCTGTGTCTCGTCTTTTCTCTCATTAATCTTCTTCTAAGTTTTTCTCCACACCATAACTAGAGTGATTTTCCTAAATCTCATCTGTGTTCTCTCCTACTTAAAACCTGCCAAAGGCTTGCTGTTGCACTGGGCTCTAGCTATGCTGGGTGCTAGCATCCCTCATGGGCCCTCTCATTCCTAGCCAAAATAGCAGTTTGCCCTCCTGGTTCCAATCCAGAGCTTACTTCCTATGAGGAGCTCTTCCTGACTCCCAGCCTAACCCCAGACTGTACTTCATCTCTCCTTAGTGCTTATTTCACTGCACTGTGATTACTTTCTTAGCAGTTTGTTCTCTCCATGAAGCAGTTGGTTCAGTAAGGGCTCGTAAATATGCTCTAGTTTGTTACCTGGACATATTAGCCACTCAGGACATTTCGAAAGAAACAAGTTTTTTTGTAAGTCATTTGAGTTATAAAATTAAGTTCAAAAACTGATTAAAATTCGAAAAAATTATTACACCGTGAACTTGAAGGGTGGAAAGGATTTCTTTTCCTCCCTAGTAGTGTTTCTATTTTTATGACCTAGATTGGGGTCTTATAACTTTCACCTGAATTACTTCCTATACTGGTTTCCCCACCTCAGGTCTTACCTGCTCTGATCAGTCCTATAAACTGCTTTTAGCTTCCTTGAATCACTTCTTTGACAGTGCTGCTCCTTTGCTCAGACCTCTTTGTTAATTTCCCATTATATACAGAGCAAAAGGGACCTCTAATCTGATACTGTCCAGTCTTTCCAGACCTAACTATCTCTCCCACCCCATTGGCTACATATGCCCTATTGACCAGCCAAACTAAAGTATATTGGTCGTTTTCCTACCTGCCTTTGCACTTTTTCACCATCTTGCCTTTGATCATATTGTCTTCTTTAAATGGAAGACAAGATCTCATCTTTCATTTCCCCTGAAAGACAGCCAGTTCATGAAGCCTTCTCTCATTCCTCTAACCAAAAATAACTTTTCCTTTTTCTAAACACACACATTACATTACTTTATATCACTTATATAATCTGTTTGTATTTCACCAAATTCTTGGCATTTTTCAAAGTCAGCCCCAAAGGTCTGAGGTTTTGTAGTTGTGATTTTGCTGTACCTGTGCAAGTCATTTAGGTAATGAATATGATCAGCCTGCTGCCCAGCATCTACATTTCAGCCTCTTTGCTCTATATTTATCCAGTAGAAAGTAGTTCTCTATGAAGGGTCTTGAGATTACTTAAAATTCTCCAACGTACTTTAATTATTTTCTAAGGGGGAAGTTATATGTCATTGAATTTGTGATTTGGGGAGTTTCAGAAGGCTACTAGACATTCTCAGGAGCATTTAGAGATTTTTTTTTTTTTTTAAGATTATATTTTTAAGTAATCTCTATACCCAATGTGGGGCTCGAACTTACAACCCCGAGGTCAAGAGTCCTGTGTTCTACTGACTGAGCCAGCCAGATGCCCCAAGTATTTAGAGATTTTGTGTTCATATCTTATCTCAGCAATTACTACCCAGACTACTTCTTAATATCAAATACTTTTCATTTTAATGAATAGAAATTTAAACAGAAGCTCTCTAACTGACTGTTAAACATATTGCAGATGGCTTCCTTAGCAGTATCCAACTGGCCTAAGCCCATGCCATTGATTCCATGTCTGTCTTGGTCCACAGCATCTGGGGTCTTCACTACGGTAATTTTAATTGCAATTAATATTTAGATAGCTATATATATAATTAAAGTTGTTTTTGGGGTTCCCAAAACCACCTCCAGGTTTGCTGATTCTCTAGAAGGTATCACAGGCCTTACCATATAGTCTGATTCATGACTAAGACTTATGATATCAAAAAGATACAATACAAAATCAGCAAAGGGAAAAGGCACATAGGGCAAAATCCAGAGGAAATCAGGCACAACCTTCCATTGGAATCTCACAGGATGTGTTTAATTCATCCAGCAATGGTTTGTGATAGTATGTGTGAAATGTCCATCAGTGAAACTGAGTTGAGCCTGGCAGCCCAGGCTTATCAGGGGTCAATCATTTAGGGACCCTCTGTCTCACATGTATGAAAATTCCAGATGGAAAGTACATATTCAGCAGAAACTACATTGTACAAGCAGTTTGGGCACAGTGACCCACCCTGTCATTTAGAAAGTTGTATATTGGGGTTAGGAACTGTTTATTAGTCAAGTTCCCAGATTCTAATCAAGGGCCAACATTGCAAGCAGGGCTTTCTAAAGATAGGAAGTTTCAAGCCTGCTATGTTTACTCTTTTCTGCACACTAATAATTAAAATTAAAATTATTGGACAAAATGTTTTATGGAGTGATGTGATCTTAACATAGTTTGTTATTTCAGGGTGTGCTAAGTAAATCGATTAATTGGAGGGAGCTAGAAAAGCAGTATTATACACAGACAGTTTATGAAGAAGAAATTATTCACATGCTTGAATACTGTGGAGTAAGTATTTTTAATCTCTGCATAACATTGGGGGGAAAAGTTGATTGTGTTTAATGATTCAAATTTTTTATTTTTTTTATTTTTTATTTTTTATTTTTTTTAAGATTTTATTTATTTGCGAGAGAGAGAATGAGAGACAGAGAACACGAGAGGGAGGAGGGTCAGAGGGAGAAGCAGACTCCCTGCTGAGCAGGGAGCCTGATGTGGGACTCGATCCCGGGACTCCAGGATCATGACCTGAGCCGAAGGCAGTCACTTAACCAACTGAGCCACCCAGGCGCCCAATGATTCAAATTTTTAAGAAGAATCACAAATTTGTTAAAAAGCAGTCGTACTTTTTAGTTTTTAAGATTCTTCATTTTAAAATAAAACATAGATACAAAAAATCATGCAATGCAAATGTATGGCTCATACCAATTGAATAGAAATTGACCACCTAGGCGTACCTAGGTGGCTCAGTCAGTTAAGTGTCTGTCTTTGACTCAGGTCATGATCCTGGGGTCCTGGGATTGAGCACCACGTCGGGCTCTCTGCTCATCAGGGAGCCTGCTTCTCCCTCTGCCTCTGCCACTCCCCCTGCTTGTGCATTCTCACTCTCTCTTTCTCTCTCTCAAATAAATAAATAAAATCGTTAAAAACAAATAAATAATTTTTTTAAAGATTAAAAAAAAAGAAAGAAAGAAAGTGACCACCCAGATAGTCCAGGATGGCAGGGGAGTAGGAGACCTTAGTTTTGTCTGGTCCCAGGAATTCAGCTACATACCTATCAAATCATTTTGAACACCTGTGAACTCAACTGGAGATCTAAGAAAAGAATAGCTGCAATTCTACAAATAGAAAAGCAACCACTTTCTGCAAGAATGACAAGATGGAAAAACTCACCTCAAAAAAGAGAACAAGAGGCAGTACTGACTGCCAGGGACCTAATCAGTATAGATATAAGTAAGATGTCAGAAATAGAGTTCAGAATAACGATTATAAAGATACTAGCTGGGCTTGAAAAAACACTAGAGGATCCCTTTCTGGAGAACTAAAAGAACTAAAATCTAATCAAGTCAAAATAAAAAAAGGCTGTTAATGAGATGCAGTAAAAAATGGAGGCTCTAACTGCTAAAATAAATGAGGCAGAAGACAGAATTAGTGATATATAAGACCAAACGATGGAGAATAAAGAAGCTGAGAAAAAGATAAACTACTGGATCATGAGGGGAGAATTTGAGAGATAAGTGATACCATAAAGTGAAACAATTTTAGAATAATTGGGATCCCAGAAGAGGAAAGAGAGAGGAGGGAGTGCAGAAGATATATTGGAGCAAATTATAGTGGAGAACTTCCCCAATTTGGGGAAGGAAACGGGCATCAAAACCTAGGAGGCGGAGAGAACCCCCTCAAAATCAATAAAAATAGGTCAACACCCCAACATATAATAGTGAAACTTGCAAATCTCAGAGACAAAGAGAAAATCCTGAAAGCAGCTCAGGGTAAGAGGTCTGTAACCTACAAAGGCAAGACCTATCCACGGAGAACTGGCAGGCCAGAAAGGACTGGCATGATGTATTCAGGGTGCTAAATGAGAAAAATATGCAGCCAAGAATACTTTATCCAGTTAGGATGTCATTCAGAATAGGAGTGAAAAAGCTTCCAGGACAAACAGAAACTAAAAGAATGGTGATCACCAAACCAGCCCTACAAGAAATATTAAAAGGGATCCTTTAAATGAAGAGAGAGCCCAAAAATAACACAGACCAGAAAGGAGCAGAGATAATATATAGAAACAGTGACTTTCAGGTATAACAATGGCACTAAATTCATATCTTTCAGTAGTTACTCTGAATGTAAATGGGCTAAATGCCCCAATCAAAAGACACAGGTATCAGATTGGATTAAAAAAAGCAAGACCCATCAATATGCTGTCTGCAAGAGACTCATTTTAGACCCAAAGACACCTCCAGATTTAAAGTGAGGCGGTGGAAAACCATTTATCATGCTAATGGACATCAAAGGAAAGCTGGGGTGCCAATCCTTCTTTCAGACAAACTAGATTTTAAACCAAAGACTGTAATAAGAGATGAGGAAGGACACTGTATCATAATTAAAGGGTCTATCCAACAAGAAGAGCTAACAATTGTAAATATTTATGCCCCTAACATGGGAACAGCCTATTACATAAGCCAATTAATAACAAAATCAAAGACACACATCAATAATACTACAATAATAATAGGGGACTTTTAACACCCCACTCACTGCAATGGACAGATCATCTAAGCAGAAACTCAACAAGGAAACAAGGGCTTTGAATGACACACTGGGCCAGATGGACTTCACAGATACATTCAGAGCATTCCATCCCAAAGCAACGGAATACACATTCTTCTCTAGTGCCCATGGAACATTCTCCAGAATAGATCACATACTGGATCACAAATCAGGTCTCATCTGGTACCAAAAGATTGGGATCATTCCCTGCATATTTTCAGGCCACAGTGCTTTGAAACTGGAACTCACTCACAAGAGGAAATTTGGAAAGAACTCAAATACATGGAGGCTAAAGAACATCCTAGTAAGAATGAATGGGTCAACCAGGAAATTAAAGAAGAATTTAAAAAATTCATGGAAACAAATGAAAATGAAAACACATCTGTTCAAAACCTTTGGGATGCAGCAAAGGCAGTCCTAAGAGGGAAGTATATAGCAATACAAGCCTTTCTCAAGAAACAAGAAAGGTCTCAAATATGCAACCTAACCTTATACCTAAAGGAGCTGGAAAAAGAACAGCAAATAAAGCCTAAACCCAGCAGGAGAAGAGAATTAATAAAGATTAGAGCAGAAATCAATGAAATAGAAACCAAAAGAACAGTAGAAAAAATCAATGAAACTAGGAGCTGGTTCTTTGAAAGAATTAATAAGATTGATAAACCCGTGGCCAGACTTATCAAAAAGAAAAGAGAAAGGACCCAAATAAATAAAATCATGAATGAAAGGGGAGAGATCATAACCAACACCAAAGAAATAGAAACAATTATAAGAACATATTATGAGCAACTATATGCCAAAAGATTAGGCAACATATTATGAGCAATTATATGCCAAAAGATTAGGCAATCTGGAAGAAATGGATGCATTTCTAGAGATGTATAAACTACCAAAACTGAACCAGGAAGAAATAGAAAACCTGAACAGACCCATAACCAGTAAGGAAATTGAAGCAGTCATCAAAAATCTCTCAACAAACAAGAGCCCAGGGCCAGATGGCTTTCCAGGAGAATTCTACCAAACATTTCAAGAAGAATTAATACCTATTCTTCTGAAACTGTTCCAGAAAATAAAAATGGAAGGAAAATTTCCAAACTCATTTTATGAGGCCAGCATTACCTTGATCCCAAAACCAGACAAAGACCCCATCAAAAAGAAGAATTACAAACCAATATCCCTAATGAACATGGATGCAAAAATTCTCACGAAGGTACTAGCCAATAGGATCCAGTTGGTAGGATCCTACACTGTTGGTGGGAATGCAAGAGAGGGAACACAAGCAGTACATTAAAAGGATTATTCACCAGGACCAAGTGGGATTTATTCCTCGGCTGCAAGTGTGGTTCAACATCTGCAAATCAATCAATGTGATACAGTACATTAATAAAATAAAGGAAAAGAACCATATGATCCTCTCAGTGTAGAAAAAGCATTTGGCAAAATACAGCATTCTTTCTTGATAAAAACTTTCTGCCATGTAGGGATAGAGGGAACATACCTTAATATCATAAAAGTCATCTATGAAAAGCCCAGAGTGACTACCCTTCTCAATGGGGAAGAACTGAGAGCTTTTCCCCTAAGGTCAGGAAAACTACAGGGATGTCCACTATCACCACTGTTGTTCAACATAGTACTAGAAGTCCTAGCCTCAGCAATCAGACAAAAAGAAATAAAAGGCATCCAAATAGGCAAAGAAGAAGTCAAACTCTTACTCTTCACAGATGATGTGATACTGTATGTGGAAAACCCAGAAGACTTCACACCAAAATTGCTAGAACTCATACAGGAATTCAGCAAAGTGGCAGGATATAAAATCGATGCACAGAAATCAGTTGCATTTCTATACACCAACAACAAGACAGAAGAAAGAGAAATTAAGGAGTTGATCCCATTTACAATTGCACCCAAAACCATAAGATACCTAGGAATAAACCTAACCAAAGAGGCAAAGGATTTGTACTCAGAAAACTATAGAATACTCATGAAAGAAATTGAGGAAGACACAAAGAAAAGGAAAAACGTTCCATGCTCATGGATTAGAAGAACAAATATCGTTAAAATGTCTATGCTACGTAGAGCAATCTATACATTCAGTGCAGTCCCTATCAAAATACCATCAACTTTTTTCACAGAGCTGGAACAAATAATCCTAAAACTTGTATGAAACCAGAAAAGACCCCGAATAGCCAAAGGAATGTTGAAAAAGAAAAGAAAAGAAAAGCTGGTGGCATCACAATTCCAGACTTCAAGCTATAATCATCAAGACAGTATGGTACTGGCACAAAAACAGACACATAGATCAATGGAACAGAATAGAAAACCCAGAAATGGACCTTCAAATCTATGGTCAACTAATCTTTGACAAAGCAGGAAAGAATATCCAATGGGAAAAAGTCTCTTCAACAAATAGTGTTGGGAAAATTGGACAGCCCCATGCAGAAGAATGAGACTGGACCATTTCCTTACACCATACACAAAAATAGACTCAAAATGGATGAAAGTCCTAAATGTGAGACAGGAGTCCCATCAAAATCCTAGAAGAGAACACAGGCAGCTACCTCTGTGACCTTGGCTGCAGCAACTTCTTGCTAGATATATCTCGAAAGGCAAGGTAAACAAAAGGCCAAAATGAACTACTGGGATTTCATCAAGATAAAAAGGGTTTTTGTTTGTTTGTTTAAAGATTTTTTATTTATTTATTTGACAGACACAGCGAGAGAGGGAACACAAGCAGGGGGAGTGGGAGAGGGAGAAGCAAGCTTCTCACTGAGCAGGGAGCCCGACGTGGGGCTCGATCCCAGGACCCTGGGATCATGACCTGAGCCAAAGGCAGCCGCCTAACTACCGAGCCACCCAGGCGCCCCAAGATAAAAAGGTTTTGCACAGCAAAGCAAACAGTCCACAAAACCAAAAGACAACCGACAGAATGGGAGAAGATATTTACAAATGTCTTATCAGATAAAGGGCTAGTATCCAAAATCTATAAAGAACTTATCAAGTTCAACACCCAAAGAACAAATAGTCCAGTCAAGAAATGGGCAGAAGACATGAACAGACATTTCTCCAAAGAAGACATACAAATGGCCAACAGACACATGAAAAAATGCTTGGCAGCAGGGTAATCCAAATCCAAATCAAAACCACAATGAGATACCACCCAAACCAGTCAGAATGGCTAAAATTAACAAGTCAGGAAATGACAGATGTTGGTGAGGATGTAGAGAAAGGGGAACCCTCCTACACTGTTGGTGGGAATGCAAGCTGGTGCAGCCACTCTGGAAAACAGTATGGAGGTTCCTCAAAAAGTTAAAAATAGAGCTACCCTAAGATCCAGGAATTGCACTACTGGGTATTTACCTCAAAGAAACAAATGTGATCTGAAGGGGCACATGCACCCCAGTGTTTATAGCAGTAATGTCCACAATAGCCAAACTATGGAAAGAGTGCAGATGTCCATCAACAGATGAATGGATAAAGATGTGGTATATATACACAATGGAATACTACTCAGCCATCAAAAAAATGAAATCTTGCCATTTGCATCAGTGTAGATGGAACTAGAGGGTATTGTGCTAAGTGAAATAAGTCAGTCAGAGAAAGACAGTTGTCATATGCTCTCATGTGGAATTTAAGAAACAAAACAGAGGGTCATAGGGGAAGAGAGGAAAAAATTTAAAAATGTAAAAAAATTAAAAAGAAAAGCAAGAAGTGGACCAACCAACCCAGAAACCACTTCCATGTGTCCTAATTAAAAAGCCCTTCTCCCCCCACTATTAATCATAATCCTGATTTTTATAGTAATTACTTCCTTCTCTCTTTAAAATAATTTTATTGTCCAAATGTGTATCCTTAGACACAGTTCTTTTATTTGTGCTTTTAAGTATCTTTTAATTTGTAAATTCTCTTCTATTCCTTTCCCTTTTTTTATAATTTATCTATTGAAGTTTTAGGCTATTTATGTGTAGAATTTTTCACATTCTAGCCATTTTTTTTTTTTTTAAGATTTTTATTTGTCAGCACAAGCAGGGGGAGCAGCAGGCAGAGGGAGAGGGGAGAAGCAGACCCCCTACCGAGCAAGGAGCCTGATGTGGGACTTGATCCCAGGACCCTGGGATCATGACCTGAGCCGAAGGGTGATGCTTAACTGCCTGAGCCACCCAGGTGTCCCAAGCGTAGCTATTTTTTTATTGCATTCTCATGGTACAGTTTAGCATGTTCACGCATGCTCTGTATTGCCTGAAAGTTGGCAGCTGGGTCTAGAGTCGATTAAATTCAGTTGTTTCTTTGGTAGGAGTATAGGAAACACATAATGTCTGGTTGTCTCTATTTTGTGATGTAAGCCTCCACTGATGTTTAATACATAGCTATGTCTATTAATTAGTGGAGGGCTGCAAAATGCTGATATTCTAATTCTGTCATTTCTTTTTTATTTATTTGTTTGAATGCTTGTATAAAAAGGCACTTATCTAGCTATTATTTGGTTACCTAGTAGTTCAGTTCATATAGGAAAGGCAAGATAAATGCTTGATTCTTTACCATAATCTACCAGTTTTCAGGATAACGAATTGGTTCCCTCTTAGTCTCCTAAGGTAACCAGTTCCTTTCATGAATTTTTTTCTTTTTCTGAATTTTTAATTTTACACATTGAGTTTGGAAGTTACTGAGAATCTCAAGAAATATCAGAAAGGAAACGAGAATATCTGCTATCAATTAGGACTTTTTATAATTATGCCACTATAAATCTCACTCTTATAAAGTAAGTCTATCTTGTATAGTTTTTTTTTTTTAAAGATTTTATTTATTTATTTGAGAGAGAGAATGAGAGACAGAGAGCACGAGAGGGAAGAGGGTCAGAGGGAGAAGCAGACCCCCCGCTGAGCAGGGAGCCCGATGTGGCACTCGATCCCGGGACTCCAGGATCATGACCTGAGCCGAAGGCAGTCGCCCAACCAACTGAGCCACCCAGGCGCCCCAGTCTATCTTGTATAATTACTTGCCTAAGAACTTTGTTACAAAATACCTCTACCTGCAAGTTAGTTCCTTGTGTTCCCCTGTACATATAAGCAAAAAGATGCCTATATTTGAGAGCTTACGAGAAAACTCAATGTGAAAATTTTTTGAAGGGAGAATCAAAAATTTTGATTGTCTGAAATGGCAGTGTGATCTTACCCAGCACTTTTTTTGTGCCTCTGACTCTTGGTGGTTATATACAAGTTTTTTTTGTCTCAGAACTAGTTCACAGTAATGCATAGTCAAGGAATGTTAAGATGGCTTCCTTCTTTTTTGTTATAAAAACTTTTTCCAATCAAAAGCAGTTAAAGTTGTTGGTCTACCACTCTAAGTAATTTTAGGGTGCTTGATCTTACATTTCTCAGTGTTTCTAAACTTCCTTTCCCTTTCCCTTTTATATTTCTTTGATCTGGATGACTTCAGTGATTTGTTCTGTTAGCCAGGTTGGTTTTTTTTTCCCCCTTGCCTTCAACCAATTTTTCCTTCCTTAATTTCTTAAATAGATTGTATGGTCATATAGTTCAAGCATCATGAAGTATAAAAAGACACATAATGAAACAAGTCCTACCCTTATTCCCAATTTGCCTAAGTCCTATCTCCCTCAATAACCCACTATTTATTAATATTTCAAGGAATTTTTCAAACCAATAGAAATATGAACTTTTTTCTTACCTTTTTTTATGGACTATACACAAATGTTTCCTTTTCTTTATTACTGCTGCAGAATAATCAACTATATGGGTGGATGTACCATGATTTATTAACCAGTACCCTGTTGATACTGTTTCTCATTTTCCCTAGTAACAAACAGTGCTGCAATGAATAAATTTGTACATATGTCATTTCACAAGTGTAAATTCCTGGAAATGTTGCATTTGTAATGTTACTAGATTTTGTCTAATTCTAGTTGTGTCAATTCATACTACCAGCAGGAACATGTGTATCTGTTTCCCCATAATCTCACAAATTCAGTATGTTAGCAAACTTAAGGGTTTTGTTTTGTTTTTTGTCAACCTGATGGTGAAATTGGTATTGTTTTATTTAATTTACTTAATTATAAGTGAAATTGGATATGTTTCTAAGTTTAAGAGCTATATATGTTTCATTGTCTGTGACCTTTATGTGCATGTCCTTTGCTCACTTTTTCTACTGTCATTTTGGGCTTTGTATTAACTTCTAGCTCTTAATAAATTAAAGGATTAGCTCTTTGTCATGTAAGTTACAAATATATTTTCCCAGACTGTCATTTTTTTTTCTTTTGACTCTGCCCTTAGTATTTAACAGAGTTTATTTTTACTTAAATTACATTGTACTTACAAGTCCTTAAACTTAGTACATACTTTTGAGATTTTAATAGGCAATATTTTTTCCTTGATAATTCTTCATTCTTCTTAGTTCAACCCGAGAAAGAGATTTGAGGTGGCTGATGTATTACTGCCAGGATACACTCTTAAGGCTTTTGGAAGTTCTAAGATTCAGGCAGATCATGATTTCAAATCTTTGGCAATAAAAACATGATGCAGACTAAATGATACCCTTTACTGTTTAAGAGGAGACATTTAGCAATATAGTATAAGTCTTTTATTTATCTTAGTCCTCAGATAAATTTTGACATCTCTTTATTCTTTGTTACTGTTTAAGTTGTGGTAAAATATATGCAACATAAAATGTACTATTTCAACCATGTTTAGGTGTACAGGTCAATGTTGTTATTAAGTGCATTCACATTGTTGTGCAACCATCACCTCTGTCCATCACCACCATCCATCTCCAGAACTTTTTCATTTTACTCAACTGAGACTCTGTACCCATTAAACAGTAACTCTTCATTCCCCTCCTTCCAGCGCCTGGCAATCCCCACTCAATTGTCTGTCTCTATGAATCTGACTACTCTAGGTACCTCATAAAAGTTGGAATCATACAATATTTGTCATTTGTGTCTGGCTTATTCATTTAGCATAGTGTCTTCAGGGTTCATCCATGTTGTAGTATGTATCAGAATTTCATTCCCTTTTAAGACTAAATGATAATCCATTGTATGTATGTACTACATTTTATTTATTCATTTATTCACTGATGGAATTTGTGTTTTGTCTTTAACAAGGTTGTTAAATAAAATGTATTTTATACTAAATGATGTTTTCTTTTATATATTCAGACAGATTCCTTCAAAATGGGACAAGAGTTTGTGAAACACTTCCCTATCAGTGCAGACAAGCTAACTAACCTTAATGTGGTTTCTAGAACTTTAAATTTAGATATGACAGACCAAGTTGTATCCCAAAAACCTAGTGAGTGCCATAAATCTAGTAAAACATCTATCAGTGCCACATCAGAAAGACTGTTGTTGCAAGATACCTCTAAGATGCAGTGCTTCAATCAAACGCTTTCAACCAACAAAAGTAATTATACAAGTTGCAGTCCTCAGTCATATCACCTACTCAGTAAAGAACAAAGAAGAAACAATCTTCAGAAAGAGTCCTTAATATTCATGAAAGGAGTCATGGATGAATGTACTCATGTGGCAAATTTCTCAGGTACCAATTTTTATGTGAAATTAATAATGTTTGCTGATGTGTAAATATTTGTGAAATATTTTTAAAGATGTTTACAAAATAATTTTATATTTTCGAGAACATGTTTATTGTTCGCTCCAGAATGTATTTTCCAGGATAAGTTGGTTATTTAAATGTATCATATTGGGGCGCCTGGGTGGCTCAGATGGTTAAGCGTCTGCCTTCGGCTCAGGTCATGATCTCAGGGTCCTGGGATCGAGTCCCGCATCGGGCTCTCTGCTCAGCAGGGAGGCTGCTTCTCCCTCTCTCTCTGCTGTTCCCCTGTGTGTGCTCTCTCTCTGTCAAAAATAAGTAAAATCTTAAATAAATAAATAAATAAATGTATCATATTTTATCCATGAAAATCTAAAACCATCTTATTAGTTAGTTAAAACTATATTGGATTTTGTCGGGGGCAGGGGGATGCGGTAATGGGGTGATGGACATTGGGGAGGGTATGTGTTGTAATAAGCACTGAATATTACATAAGACTGGTGAAGCACAGACCTGTACCCCTGAAACAAATAATATATTATATGTTAATTAATTGAATTTAAATTTAAAAATATATATTGGATTTTGTATCTTCTTTAGAATGTTCATCTCATTGTATTAGAGATGAATATTATGATATTATGCTATATTATTGTTGATTTTAACTTAATCATAAAGTTTTAAAGGGGCACCTGGGTGACACAGTCGGTTAAGCAGCTGCCTTCAGCTCAGGTCATGATCTCAGGGTCCTGGGATCGAGCCCCAGGTCGGGCTCCCTGCTCAGCGGAGGGTGTGCTTCTCCCTCTCTGTCTTCCCCCCCACCCCCTGCTCCTTGCTAGTCTGTGCTCTCTCTCTCTTTCTCTGAAATAAATAAATAAATAATCTTTTTTTTAAAAAAGTTTTAGTTTGACAGATGTTTCACTTAATGTACTGTCAAGTGTATTTTATTTTCTAATACAATTAATAGTATTTATATAAAAATCTTAGAGCTTTTTAAAGGTATGTATGTTGTATCTTTTAAAATTCTACCCCTAGTTCCAGTTGACCCAAGCCTCATTATAGTGGTTCAAGCCAAAGAAGATGCTTATATTCCACGAACAGGAGTTCGAAGTTTACAAGAAATTTGGCCTGGTTGTGAAATCCGTTATCTAGAAGGGGGTCATATTAGTGCTTATCTTTTTAAACAAGGACTCTTCAGGTAAGATGATTGGTCTAAACAGGTATCTATTTATTTACTTGTTTTTTGGAATATTTTTGCCTCAAAAAAATAGAGAAGATAGGGTATTTTTATTTTATGTTTTAGTCTTCTTTTTTCTTCCCTGCCTCCCTCAATTCTCACATTGTGGTACTTTTTCCTATCCCATCCTCTTCTTTTTTCTTTTAAAGAACTAGGGAAGTAGCATATATAGGCACATTTTATTGTGTGTTTTTACCCTCTTCAAATATTAATAGCCAAGTATTTTAGGGTATAGGGAGGAATACCAGGGTTTGTAAAACTTGCTTTTTCACTCCACTTTCTTCTCTCAGATGGCATGAGCATCTATGGAATAGTCCAGCGCTGTTTTTCAGTAGCAAGTGAATATTGAACCTTAAATGAGAAGTGAAATATTGGTTTTAATGTTAATAACTTTATATGACTCCAGTACTTAGTAGAAGTTATAAAAACCTTTATTCTATAACTCTAGTTTTTTGATAGCCTATATTATTTCTACTTCTCTTCAAATTCGATGGCAAAAGGTATCATTGGGATATATTTATCATTAATGGTTAAATAAATTCATTCACATGAAGTGCTTAGATCAGTGCCCTGGGCATAATGTGTCTCAAAACTGCCAGCTGTATTGCTATATAATAGAAGAATTGTGTGTATTATATGTCTGACATGTTTTAGCTCTTTTTAATCCAAGAAATAATTCTTTGTACATTGTCACTCATTTAGTTCATTTAAATAACCAACTTTTAGATGTCACCTTAAGTGTCCAATTAAAATATTAAAATATTAATATTAAATACTAATATATTAAATATATATTAAATAATATAAATATATTAAAACATATTAATATTAAATACTAATATAGTAAAACACTCTGTGAAGGTAATATTGGAAACTAAGGCTTTTGCTTTTAGTTCAGTTGCTAGGAACATGTGTTTTTCTGGACAAAAAGCATCCTTATCATAATTTATGAAATAGGTTGAATACTACATTATGAAAAGTTATATAGCCAATTAATTTTCAACATGTCACATACCTACATATATATTTTATATTGCATATATATATTATATAAATGCATGTATTATGTAAGTTCTAAGGCACCAAAAAAGTACATCACAGAAAAGGATGGTACTTCTGAATTCATCATCAGTTGCAAGCACATTTGAGATTTTCTGCAGCTGTGGTGAAGTTACACGGATCCAAACACCCACCCTCAGGTACCTGCCTCTTTCAAAGTTAGTTGGAGAGGAAGTCAGGTTGCAAGCCACAGGTCACTTTGGAAGTAACTTATAAGAAAAGTACTATCTTCCTTTTTTGCTCATTACAGTTTTTCTTTCATCTTTAATTTTAGACAAGCCATCTATGATGCATTTGAACGCTTCCTCCATAAATACGCTAACTGATTGGATCACTGTATGTAACCAGTATGGCCATCATGTTTCTTACAAAAGGAGTTTTTCATCCTTTGATGATAAGAACAAGCAGACAGCACTATATATATAACTGCTATCAATTTAGTCTGGAATTCATTGTTATGATCAGTCAACAATGATTTTTAAATGTGAATAATTTTAAACCAATATTTGGATGGAATAATGTTGAAGTATTTTGTTATTGTTTTGTGGGAATCCCATATACACAATATCCAGTCTGTTGTTACTATTTATGAAAACTTTAAATTTTTAATTGTGAATAATTTATTAATTAAAATAAATTTATTCATAGAAACCTTATTGGTTTTTAAAGAACTGCTAAATCAAGCTAAGTTTGTAATACATCAGCATGTATTGTATACCCCTGTATGACAGTTTTACTATTGACTTGATTTGAGAACATGTTTCTTTCTTATCTTCAACTTTAATTTCTGCAATGGCAATACTTTTTTTTTTTTTTTTTAAGATTTTATTTGACAGAGACACAGCGAGAAAGGGAACACAAGCAGGGGGAGTGGGAGAGGGAGAAGCAGGCCTCCCGCGGAGCAGGGAGCCTGATGCGGAGCTCGATCCCAGAACCCTGGGATCATGACCTGAGCCGAAGGCAGACGCTTAACGACTGAGCCACCCAGGCGCCCCTGCCATGGCAATACTTAATGATGTATAAGATCCGTTAACTTTGAATTCTAAAAAAATCCTGATTGCTTCCTACTTAAGTAGCTTTAATAATTAAAACAAATGTGGGAATACAGATAAGATGCATATGACTTGGCTGAACTTTAAAACTTTGCCAAATACGAGGTTAGAAAATGATGCCAAACATATTTCCCCTACTTAAGAAGTTTCAATTCATAAGAAATGGAAATAATGAAAGACCTATTACATTACTTGATACTGTGTCTTAACATTTTCTTATATACCTACTCTGGGTTTGCTAAACATCTAACTCTAGTTAGATATACTTAATAGCTTTGGCTTTTTAATTTCAGAAATTAAATATGAAATTGATTTGTTCCATATAACTTCATTTTACAGAAAAGATATAATAACTACTAACTTTTTTAAGTGGAAGATTATATGGTTAGATTTGGTGCTTTTTATGTTAAACTTCTCAAGCTAAGATCTAAAATGTTTGAAAAAAGTAGAAAATATTTTTGGGAATTGTATCAAGGTTTGGAGTAAATGTATTTGAGTTTTATTTGTTTGAAATCTGTGTTGTCTATGGATTATTTTAAAATATGTATTCCTGATCTAGCAAGGATATTTGAATTATAATGTGCCTTCATAGACTTTTAGAAGATTTTATTTATCACTAATGTCTCCATCACTTTAACTTTTTAAAAATTATTTCAAAGTCACTAATGTGAAGTCATTGATGGTATACAAAATTGTAAATTCTGTAAAACTGCTTTGGCATAGCAAACCAGACCTATTTGGTTACAGCCACTTGGCCTATAGCAATTTTATATCTTCAGACTAGAACCTTTACTTTTAACTGAAAGTATAAAATGTATTAAAATTCTTAAAATACCCTTTAAAGATAAAGTAAGACTTATTGTCAAATGAATTACAAGTATTTTCTTAGTATGTAATGAGGCAATATGATTGAATGCTTTCTGAATTATACCTTAGTAAAACCAATATTTATTTTTTACCTAAATATTTCTTACTAAGCAATAATGTACTGTGGTGTATGACTTTCTGTTGGTAAAAGAATGAAATTTCATTTCATTTTAATTAACTTTTAGGCATAACTAGTTTTTCCCAAATAAATGTGAAAGGAAGTATTTTAAAAATTTCATCTCTTAACCAGATGTTTTTAAGAATATTATCCACGCAACTTCCTAAATTGATTAATTCAAGGTGCAAAATACCTTTTCTTAAAGTTTTTATATCCACTTATCCCAAAATAGTGACTCAAGCTTTCTATATATATCTATATATACACATATATATAACATTATGTATATATATATAATGTGTAAGGTATATATGTTATATATATAATACTAATAGCTATATACATAAGTGTTATATATATATAATAGTTATATATATAAAGTGACAACATATGTATTTTTTTTTTTTTAAGATTTTATTTATTTATTCATGAGAGACAGAGAGAGAGAGAGGCAGAGGGAGAAGCAGGCTCCCAAGGAGCAGAGAGCCCGATGCGGGACTCGATCCCAGGACCCTGGGATCATGACCTGAGCTGAAGGCAGACGCTTAACCATCTGAGCCACCCAGGCGCCCGACAACATATGTATTTTAAAAGTGCTGTCTGCCATTTTGAGAATTGCATACATAACCTGCTAAAAATTCATTTAGGCCAGAGCTGCAAACTGGCAGTCAATACAGGCCAGCTTGGCCCACAGCTGTTTATTCAGTGTACATAATATTTCAAAATTGAATTTGAAGTCTTTTGACTGGGCATGCATTCCCTAGTTTGCCACAGTCTGATAGACTCCCTTTTTTATCAGGCTACTTCACTACTTTGTGTTTCCTTCTTAGCCCTGAACACATCTGAGTTTGAGACCCCTGATTTAGATCTGTGGTTACAAAAGTTTCTGAATTTCATGATTTGCTAATGTTGTAATTACTATTTTAACATATGAATGAATTTTAGATTGTTTGTTATGAATGTAATTTTTTAATGTGGTGTTTTCTCTCATAAAGATTATTTAATTAACACTGTAACTGAAAAGTTTTTAAATCATTTCCAGATATTTTATACTTCACAATAAAAGTCTATATAAAAAGTTAATTATTTCATATATTCAAGAAGATTTATTCTGAATACAGAATACACATGTCACATTTGATTAATGTATCCAAACTTGAATTGAGTGTGTGTTCTTCCTTAGTTCTATTATAAACCAAACAAGGTAAGGCAGAAAGAAGGGAGGCTCTAGCAGAATAGTATTCAGTATCTGCAACAAGAGCCAGATTTCTCCCCCAAATATGAGTGATCCCAGGGAAACTAGCATTCTGACAGACCATACTTATCTGAATGTTGTATAATTAGATATAATTCTTGGATATAATTAGATTTTTGCTAGTAAATGTTATAAGCAATTAAAATCTAGAGATAACTATAGGACTGAGAATGGGGATGCTGGGTAGAGGCCGCTATAGAAACTGGGTTTGGAAATGAAAGATTTTGGCAAGTGAGACAAAGGGAATAGAGGTACCATTTGGACCGTTTTTGCAGGAGTAGAATAACTTAATTCTAGGAGTATTCTTATAAGCAGAATCCTAGGAAGCCAATGATTTCATGAAGAACTTTGAAAACACTAGAAAATTTTGGACCAAAACCCAGAAAGATTTTCCTCAGGACCAAAGGAGCTAACGTGCAGATTCACCAGATTGTGTTAATTAAAAAAAAAAAAAGGTAAACTTACCATGAAAAGTCTATTCTTTATATAAACCCGTGACTAACTGAGGTGTAACTGTTTTCCTATATAATGTACTGGATAATTCCATAGAAATAAAGTTGTATCCTAGCACTTTGCTATTCAAAGTGTGGTCAGTAGACTGGCAGCATCCTCTGAGAGCTTGTTAGAAATTTAGAATCTCAAGCACCATCCCAACCTTACTGAGTCATAATTTGCATTTGAATAAGATAATTCAACTACACATTAAATTTTCAAAAACACCCATTTAGAATCAGTGGTACTCATATTTTAGCTTGCATTGAAATCACCTGGAACTTTGTTACAACAGATTTCTAGACCCCACTACCCTATCTGATTCAGTAAGTGGGGCAGGGCTCGTGAATTTGTATTTCTAACAAGTTTCCTAGGATGCTGTTGCTGTCTGTCCAGGGGTTATACTTAACCCCAAAGAGTCATGGCTCTAATCAGATCTCGGGCCTGGAACAGAATAGAATCACCTGGGGAGTTTTAGAAGCCTAGGTAAGTGGCTGTTCTTAACCTATGCTGAATCTCTTACCCTAGAGATTCAAATTCAATTGGCTTGCAGTTGGTATTTTTAAAGCTCCATAGGTAATTCTACTGTGCAGCCAGGTTTAAGAACCATGTGCTCTGAAGGACTCAAGGGAAGAAGACTAGCTGTTGAAGGAAAGAATGGATGTAAAGTCGGTAAAACAACATAGATTTTGGAAAGGAATTCCTGATATTCTGGGTATTACCAGCACCTCAGAAGTATTCAAGTAGCCAAGAGGGCCCGTGTTCCTTCTGCTTCTGCTCTTTCGTTATGAGTACACATGTGTTAGAAAGAGTAGGATGAGCTGGGGGTGGATTTGGGCACTTACGTGCAGTGGAGCTTCTTTAAATCGTAAACATTAACTCATCTTAGCAACTTAAAGCAGAGACAAGTATGAGCAAAGAAATGCTAACCTCTTCCCTGTATTTTCTTCAACCATAAAGATTACATCTTCCCTTCTTAACCTTCTGAAATTGCTTTTAAAAATGCACATATGATGGCTCTTTGAAAAGTTAAAGCATGTCTTTAGAAATCATTCCTTTCACTTCCATAGCAGTTACTCCTCGACTTTTCCATCCATCTCAGTCAACAAAGTAGTTGCCTTTATTATTGTATGTTTTAGAGACACTTGTTACCAACTCAAACCTTTGATCCATTTCCCTTGCCCTGTAGATGACATCTGACTTTAAGTCCTTACACTCAGGCAGAAGACAATTACTGATCCTGCTGAGTTTTTACTCAAGTTCAACTGTAAACCTACACCAACAATTTCACCTCCTAAGCATCCTTTCCCCAAGTCACAATGACGGAGGAAAGACCCTAGGGTTCAAAGCCAACGACCAAGAAAGAATTCTTGAGATGTCTGGTGCAAAAAGGTGGTTTTATTCAAATAATGCAATATATGTTAAGAAAAAAAAAGAAGAAGGTAGCGGGAGGGGAAGAATGAAGTGGGGGAAATCGGAGGGGTGGACGAACCATGAGAGACGATGGACTCTGAAAAACAAACTGAGGGTTCTAGAGGGGAGGGAGGTGGGAGGATGGGTTAGCCTGATGGTGGGTATTGAGGAGGGCACATTCTGCATGGAGCACTGGGTGTTATGCACAAACAATGAATCATGGAACACTTCATCTAGAACTAATGATGTAATGTATGGGGATTAACATAAGAATAAAAAAATAAATAAAAAGTAAAAAAATTAAAAAAAAAAAAGGTGGTTTTATTAAAGCACGGGGGACAGGACCTGTGGGCAGAAAGAGCTGCACTGGGGTCATGAGGAGCAGCCCATTATAGACTTTCAAGTTGGGAGGGGGTTAGGGATAGTGTAAGCCTCCCAGGTATTTTGGAAACAAGGTTTCCAGGATCCTGAGGGGGCTTGCTATTGTTAGGAAAGGTCATTTCTTACTGTTTAGTAAAAATTCAGTAATGAGACCCTTCAGATGTGTATCCGTGGGTCATATGCTTGGGGGATGATTGCTAACATGTATCTTGGGGGAGGGGGGGTGGGTAGAGATAAAGGAAGTTTCCAAAGGAATTTTTATATGTTAAAGGAGACTTACAGGATCCTGGGGGTGGGGCTAAGACTGTCTGTTGCCCTTAACCAAGTAGGAGCATTGAGGCAGTTGAGTCCCTACAGGAATGTCACTCTGCCTGTTTTAAGAACTTGTCAATTGGGGCTGTAGATAGTAAGGAAATTTACTAATTTTTCTTCTGCCTTTGTTTCCCACATCAACAACTCCTCAAAAAACAATTGGCTAATTGATAGTGATAATATGCAATGCAAATTTATTTTTTACTTGGAACTATAAATATGTTTGTACACTTATTACTTCACTGGCTTCTTTCTAAATGTCATTTTATACCAATGTTGTCTTAGATTATAAAGTAGAAGAAAATAAATTGGTAATTTGAGAGCTGTAATGGGAAGCCCTTTTAAGTAATAAAATCTACCTTGAGAAGAGATAGGTTTGCTGTCGCTTGCAGAACTGTATCATCAGGACTCTCTGGGGTTTGCTCTTATTTCTGCTTTAGGGTCATGTCTTTAATTCACTCTTTCGTATCTCCAAAATGAATGGAGATTCTGGGGGCTAGTCTAGTAATTTTCTTTGTGTCGTGACACCTACCAGGTCTTCAGGTTTTCATATCAGAAGGTAGGCAATCACGTCTCTCCTTGGACTGAATTCATCAGAATAGACAAGGAAAAGATTCACCAAATGCACGTTTCTTTTTAAGAGTATTTGTAAAACAAAGAACGGTATATGAGAGTTATGACTATATTTTAAGAGGACAGGGACCACAGTGATTATCACATTCGCAAACCCAAACTTGCAACCTCATAGCCAGACACCAGATAGACAGATTTACATATATTGCATTTAAGTCCACTTACTCGTTCATTTGTTTATTGATTCACTTAAAAAATATTTACTGAGTACCAGAGACAAAGCAGTCCAATAGGATGCTTAAGACAGTTTTCAAGGGACTAGACCAGTTCCCTTTAACTTGACTTCTACAGAAATTTCTGGCTTAGCTCTATACATAGACTGATTTTTTAAGAGCTTTATTAAAATATAATTTAGACATCATACAATTCATTGATTTAAAGTATATGATATTAGGGGCGCCTGGGTGGCTCAGTCATTAAGCGTCTGCCTTCAGCTCAGGTCATGATCCCAAGGTCCTGGGATCGAGCCCCGCATCGGGCTCCCTGCTCAGCAGGAAGCCTGCTTCTCCCTCTCCTACTCCCCCTGCTTGTGTTCCCTCTCTCACTGTGTCTCTCTCTGTCAAATAAATAAATAAAATCTTTTAAAAAAAAATAAAGTATATGATATTAGAGTTTTGAGTATATTACATTATTAATTTTTTAAATTGTGGTTAAAACTATAAAACATAAAACTTGCAATTTTAACCACTTTTAAATGAGCAAATCAGAGGCATTACATTCACAATGTTGTGCAACCATCACCACTGTTTCCTAAACTTTTTAACACCCTACATAAACTGATTTTTTTTTAAGATTTTATTTATTTATTTGAGAAAGAGAGAAGAGAGGGAGAGCACAAGCAGGGTGAGGGGCAGAGAGAGAAGCAGACTCCCCGCTGAGCAGGGAGCCCGATGAGGGGCTTGATCCTGGCACTCTGGGATCATGACCTGAGCAGAAGGCAGAGACGCTTAACCAATTGAGCCACCACTGAGCCACCCAGGTGCCCCTGATTTTTTTTTTTTTTTTTTAAATAGGCTTTTCACCCAACACAGAACCAAACTCGGGGCTTGAACTCACAACCTTGAGATCAAGACCTGAGTAAAGATCAAGAGTTGGACACTCAACCAACTGAGCCACCCAGGCATTCCCTACATAAACTGATTTTTATTTTTTTTATTTTTTATTTTTTGAAGATTTTTATTTATCTGACAGAGAGAGAGAGAGAGAGCATAAGCAGGGGGAGAAGCAGGCAGAGGGAGAGGGAGAAGCAGACTCCCTGCAGAGCAGGGAGCCCGAAGCAGGGCTTGATCCCAGGACCCTGGGATCATGACATGAGCCCAAGGCAGATGCTTAACCAACTGAGCCACCCAGGTGCCCCCATAAACGGATTTTTAAACAGTTCTTTGAAATTGATGGAAAAGTCTTACTCTTCTCAGTTCTACCACTGGACACAATACCCCTATGTGTTTTAAGCATCCCAGTGTGTTCTCCATCCCAACTTTTATTGGAATTCATGTCAGTCCTAACATTTGCTATCACTAAATAAATTCCTCAATTTCTTCAACACTCATTAACTCAACTTTTAGAACAGAGGTGCACACCAGAGAGCTACACTTTATCTTCTAAGGTTAACTTTGCTGACTTAACTTCCATCAATATCTTAATTCAATAACCTCTAAAGTCAACTTAAAGGTATCTGAAAACTCAAAATACCCAAAATCAAACTCATTATCCCTGTCACCCAGGAATTTCCCAAGCTTCCCCCAATCCATTCTTCGTTATTCATATTTTTGGTTTTTGGTAGCCACCATCTATCCAGTTAAACAAACAAACAAAAGGAACATCCTTGACCCTTATACTCTCCTCTCATAATGACCCAGTGTTATTATTTCCCAAATATGTCAATAATCTGCTCCTTTCCAAACCCACTACCATAGTCTTGGTTCAGGATTTCGTTATCTTTTCTCAGAGTGACTTCAATATCCTTTACAAAAACCATTTTTTAAGAGTTAACAATGTAAGGGGCGCCTGGGTGGCTCAATCAGTTAGGTGTCTGACTTTTTTTTTTTTTTTTTAATTGATTTGACATAGAGACAGAGAGAGAGGGAACACAAGCAGGGGGAGTAGGAGAGGGAGAAGCAAGCCACTAGCTGAGCAGGGAGCCCGATGTGGGGCTCGATCCCAGGACGCTGGGATCATGACCTGAGCTGAAGGCAGACGCCCAACTGTCTGAGCCACCCAGGCGCCCCTAGGTGTCTGACTCTTGATCTCCGCTCAGGTCTTGATCTCACGGTCGTGAGTTTGCATCAAGCATTGGGCTCCACGCTGGGCACAGAGCCTACTTAAACAAAAAAGGTTAATAATGTAATATCTGCACAACATTTAAATAATTAGTGTTACTACAACTATTAGCCAACATATAGAACATGCCATGCATCCAGCACACTTTTAACATTATACATTTATTCTTCACAACCATCCCTAGGGGGTAGAAACAATTTTAAATGGGACTCAAAGCCAGGCAGTCTAGTTCCACAGGCTATGCTCTTACCCACTGGGCCATACTCACTTTTTTTAATAAAAAGTCCCATAAGGCTCCTTCTACCTTACCATCTGTTCCTAGTCCCAGTCCTCATTAAATGTAGCCTTTCTATAATTTTAGCTGATTCTTCTATTTACCTCCATAATTCTAAATAATGTGCTTACACTTGACATCAATTGTAGACACTGATATTGTTACCGTATTTGAGAATATATTCCTTGTAAGCTACAAATGACAGCTTTTCCTTCAGAATGAAATTATATCACAATTTTTGGTTAAATGAGTATATAATATTTGACTATGACTAAGTAAATACTGTTCACTGCTGAACTAAGCATATTTTATTACAATTCTACTTTGTTTTCCTGTAGTTAATTGCTTTGCTTCTTTACCTATGCACTTAAAACTTTACTTTTTTCCAAATTCTGTAAAGAGATCAGCCAAGCAATGTAAGAATGATTTCGCCGGATTTTCAAATAACATATGTTCCACTTTTAACCCTGGTGACCTACCTCTCCCAATTCTCTCCAGCCTTCTTTCCTCTAGTACTAGTAGTTCTTCTCTTGTGTTGAATGTCCTGTTTTCTGATTTCTCTGATTTCCTTTTTCTTGGTTTTCTTTGTAGTTTAGAAGCAGCACATCCTCTGGTAGCTTCTTGAGAAAGGAGTAATAGGAGGTTTTGAAGCTTGTATATTTGAAAATTCTTCTCTTCTCACTTTTTTGCCCCAAATTTTTATTTAAATTCTAGTTAGTTAAAATACAGTGCAATATTGGTTTCAGGAGTAGAATTCAGTGGTTCATCACTTACATACAACACCCAGTGCTCATCATAACAAGTGCCCTCCTTAATACCCATCACCATCTAGCCCATTCCCCACCCACCTCCCTCCAATAACCCTCAGTGTGTTCTCTATCATTAGGAGTCTCTTATGGTTTATTTCCCTCTCTCTCCCCACCCCATATGTTCATTTATTTTGTTTCTTAAATTCCACATTTGAGTGAAATCATATGGTATTTGTCTTTCTCTGATTGACTTATTTCACTTAGCATGATACACTCTAGCTCCATCCATGTTGTTGAAATTGGCAAGATTTCATTCTTTTTGATAACTGAGTAATATTCCATTGTATATACATACCACATCACTTGGTGAGCAAGTTGAGGTCTGAAGGGTCAAGGACTCCCCTGTTTTGGCTGATAAACATAGTGGTCTTGCAGGTTACCTTGGCAACGTGTACATTGCTTGTATGGCTGTTATTGTAGTCAGTACAAGGGGGGAGGGCTGGAAGTTGAGTTAATCACCAATGACCAATGGCTTAATCAATTATGCCTAAGTAATGAAACCTCCAGAGAAACTCCCTAGTGGTGGGATTCAGAGAGCTTCTACAAATACACTGAGGTGCTGGCAGGGTGACATGCCCAGAGGGGGCATGGAAGCTCTGAGTACCTCCTCCCCCATACTTTATCCTGTGCATTTTTTTCATCTGGCTGTTCCTGAGTTGTATTTGTATCCTTTATAACAAACTAGTAAGCATAAATAGTTTCTCTGAGTTCTGTGAACCATTCTAGCAACTTCTCAAACCTAAGGAGGGGGTGTGGTGACTGATTTGTAGTTGGATGGGCAAAAGTGTGGATGGCCTGGGTACCCTACTTGTGGCTGATGTCTGAAGTGAGGGCAGACTTGTGGGAATGAGTCCTTTAACTTGTGACGTTGGACACTAACTCTGGGTAGTTAGTGTCAGAACTGAATTGATTTGTAGGACAATTAGAGAACTAATGGATTGTTGGTGGCTAGTGTCAGAAAACACTCTAGACCTGTCATCAAAAGCTGTTCCAAGGGCGCCTGAGTGGCTCAGATGGTTGGGCATCTGCCTTCGGCTCAGGTCATGATCCCAGGGTCCTGGGATCGAGTCCCACATCGGGCTCCCTGCTGGGCAGGGAGCCTGCTTCTCCCTCTCCTTCTGCTGCTCCCCCTGCTTGTGCTCTTTCACTCTCTCTCTCAAATAAATAAAATCTTAAAAAAAAAAAATCTGTTCCGGGGCACCTGGGTGGCTGAGTTGGTTAATCGACTGCCTTCCAGCTCAGTTCATGATCCTGGAGTCCCGGGATCGAGTGCTGCATCGGGCTCCCTGCTCAGCAGGGGGTCTGCTTCTCCCTCTGATCCTCCTCCCTCTCATGCTCTCTCTTTCTCATTCTGTCTCTCTCAAATAAATAAATAAAATCTTAAAAAATTAAAAAAAAAAATCTGTTCCAAATACTCATCTATTAATGCTGACCTGTAATGAGATTTTATATATTTCAACTTTGAAAGTATCTTTTCATACAGATAGGTACTGCATTTATACGCAAAACTTTTAATTAAACATATTCATCACCATTTGGAAAACATTTATGGAATTTTATTAGATCCCTCTCTTGATATTTGCCTTTTAGCAATAGTACAAAGTGATGACGGCATCACATATGGTTCTTCTCACAGCGACTCAACTCTGCCTTTGTGGTGCAAAAGCGGCCACAGACAATATGTAAACGAATGAGCATGCTGTATTCCAATAAAAGTTATTTATGGAACTGAAATTCAAACTTCATATAGCTTTTATGTGCCACAAAAAATACGTCCTTCTAACCACTAAAAAATGTAAAAACCATTCTTAGCTTGCACCTGTATAAAAATAGGTGGTGGTCAGGATTTAGCCTATGGGCCATAGTTTGCCAAGTCCTGATCCAGAATATCCATGAAACCCTGAATTATTTTCTAAGTAATATATTTTCACTTGTGCTTATTGTCTTAGAATCAAACAGTTAAATAGTAATAAATATGTTTGCTCATATTTAAGGACTATGTAATAATAGTGAAAACATTTTAAGTCAGAAAAAGAAAGCCAATAGTCTTTCTTACCCTTTGTCTTACCAATGTACGACTTGGTAATGTTTTTAGTCATTTGAAAAAATAATTGGCGGGGCGCCTGGGTGGCTCAGTTGGTTGAGCGACTGCCTTCGGCTCAGGTCATGATCCTGGAGTCCCGGGATCGAGTCCCGCATCGGGCTCCCTGCTCAGCGGGGAGCCTGCTTCTCCCTCTGACCCTCCCCCCTCTCATGTACTCTCTCTCATTCTCGCTTTCTCAAATGAATAAATAAATCTTTAAAAAAAAAAAAAAAGAAAAAATAATTGGCTTAGTTATTCAGAACTTCCAAATATTGACACCCCTCATTAGACAACATCAAAAGATATATTATTGAAATCACTACTGATCTCATCAGTAAAAAGTCTTTAACCATGGGAAGCTGTTGAGCTCATGCTGTAGTTACATGTTTTCCAAATTCCAATTTTCTCTTGATAGCTTGAATTTTATCACTGGCAACAAATATCATCAGTTGTTTCCATTGACATGACAGGTTCACTTCATTCATTTCTAGGAAAATGTCTGCCAAATTATCTAAGCATGAATAAACCTAGTCTGGTGTCAGGTGTTCTTTCAAGTACAAATGGGTTCCATGATAAAAGGAGCTAGTCCACTTACAACTCAATCTCAGTGCTTTTCTTCAAGACAACCATCATACTTTAATATACAGCAAGAATGAGTTATGTATACTTCCTATTTCATCACACAGAATATTAAAAGGCTCACATGCTTGGGCGCCTGGGTGGCTCAGTTGGTTAAGCGACTGTCTTCGGCTCAGGTCATGATCCTGGAGTCACAGGATCGAGTCCCGCATTGGGCTCCCTGCTCGGCGGGGAGTCTGCTTCTCCCTCTGACCCTCCTCCCTCTCATGCTCTCTGTCTCTCATTCTCTCTGTCTCAAATAAATAAATAAAATCTTTAAAAAAAAAAAAGACTCACATGCTTAAGCTTTAATCGCATTAATAATTTTTACTGTTCCACCAAGGACGTTCTTAGGTGAAACTTGCAATGTTTGTTTTTTTCACTACGAGTATGTGGCAGAAGAATACAATGACTGCTAGTATGGTTTGGTGTCATTGGCTTGATTTGTGCTGAGTGGCCAGATTTATCCACCGTCGCTTTTGTGCCATCCGTACAGATAGCAACAAGGGAAAAGGCAAATAATATCTTAATATTATTATGAAAATAGTTTTGACCTCGATCTTAAAGATTCTCTAAAAGAGTGTCCAACATTCTAAGGGTTTAGGGAGCACAGTTTGGAAATCTGCTAACCTAAGAAATAGTCTCGGGTATCTCTACCAACAATTAATGTTTAGGCAAAGAAGAATTAAAGAGGTAGACTGAGAAGTGGCTAGAAAGGCAGGAATTAAACAATGAGAATGTGGTATCATGGAGGCACGGAGAAAAGGAACAATCAAGAACTCTTGGAAAAACAGAAACTGTACCACAAAAATCAGTAGCTATGTATATATGAATCTCACTCAAAGGTAGTGCGAATTTATTATCTTATACTGATGGAATCTGAAATATGAATCCATTTGATCTTGTTTCTAGGAGATAATGACACTGAAACCATACAGAAGGAAATGCAATCCTAGCACACCATATCGTTCTGCAGTGAAGAATATCTACACACTCATAAAATAAAGCTGTTTATGGATTCTTAAATTTTAGAACGAATCTATGAACGAAGCATAAAGAAGCACATTATGGTTACATAATAGATATAATGATCACTTTTGACAATGTAAATGAAAGGAAGAAATATCGTCCATAATATGTCATACTCTCAAACACTGCCAATGGAAGTGTAAATTAGTATAAAAGTTTGGAAAATGGTTTGGCAATATCTAGAATGAATTAAGACATCATACTCTATTATTCAGAAATTCAAAATGATACAGTACTTATAGTATGATTTCATTTGTATATAGTTTAAAAAAACTAGGTAAATCTATGGGATACATTATTAGGTGATAAACCATAAAGAAAAGTAAGAAAGCGGGGCGCCTGGGTGGCTCAGTTGGTTAGGCGACTGCCTTCGGCTCAGGCCATGATCCTGGAGTCCCGGGATCGAGTCCCGCATTGGGCTCCCTGTTCGGCGGGGAGTCTGCTTCTCCCTCTGACCCTACCCCCTCTCGTGTGCTCTCTCTCATTCTCTCTCTCTCAAATAAATAAATAAAATCTTTAAAAAAATAAAAATAAAAAAAAAGAAAAGAAAAGTAAGAAAGTGATTTCCTCCTTAAGGGGAGGGGGGAAAGTGTTGTGTATAGGAAGGGACACATGGGGGTTCTAATTTTTTTTTTTAAGATTTATTTATTTGAGAGAGAGAAATAACGTGCTTGTGCACACAAGTGGGGAGAGGGGCAGAGGCAGAAAGAATCTCATGCAGGCAACCCTCAGAGGGCAGAGCCCCATGTGGGGCTTGCTCCCATGACCCCAAGATCACCACCTGAGCCAAAATCGAGTTAGACGCCCAACCGACTGAGCCACCCAGGCACCCTTGGGGGTTCTAATTCTTAACTGGGGGTAGCCATTACATGGGTGTTCACTTTACCCATTAACTTGTACATTTGTGGGTTTTTACTTGGGGGGGCACTTTTCTGTGTATGCTTTATTTCACAATAAAGAAGGTTAAGATCTTAATATAAAGAAAACAAAAACTGGAAGATAGAACAAAGGGTTAGGTCATATATTCTCACTCTACAGAGTGAGGATATAAGAGATTCTATCTAAAACTGATAGAATAGGGATGCCTGGGTGACTCAGTCGGTTAAGTGTCTGCCTCTTTTGGCTCAGGTCATGATCCTAGGGTCCTGGGATGGAGTCCCACATCAGGCTCCCTGCTCAGTGGCAGCCTGCTTCTCTCTCTGCCTGCCGCTCCCCCTGCATGTGTTCTCTCTCTCTGACAAATAAATAAAATCTTTAAAAAATAAAAAAATAAATACAATTGATAGAATAGTGGGATGCCTGGGTGGCTCAGTCAGTTAAGTGTCTGCCTTCTGCTCAGGTCATGATCCCGGAGTCCTGGGATCAAGTCCCAAGGCCAGCTCCTTGCTCAGCAGGGAACCTGCTTCTCCCTCTGCTTGCCGCTCCCCCTGCTTGTGTGTGCTCTCTCTCTGATAAATAAATAAAATCTTTTAAAAAAATAAAAAATAAAATTGATAGAATATTCAAGTAAACATTCAAGTATGTTATTTAAAGTAAACAATAGGGCGCCTGGGTGGCTCAGTTGGTTAAGCGACTGCCTTCGGCTCGGGTCATGATCCTGGAGTCCCGGGATCGAGTCCCGCATCGGGCTCCCTGCTCGGCGGGGGGTCTGCTTCGTCCTCTGACCCTATCCCCTCTCATGTGTTCTCTCTCTCAAATAAATAAATAAAAATCTTTAAAAAAATAAAAATAAAAAAAAATAAAGTAAACAATAGAAAAAACTCCACAAACATCAAAAATAGAAAGGGAACGGAGGATGGGCTCATGTGAGTGTGTTAAATCTTTATGTTTTATAGTGGCAGGTCAAAGATGCTGACTTTAGCGATTAGGACTCAGTAAGGGAGAGCTTTTTTTCCATTAAATACTATAAACAATATTGTACCATTTGGATTTACCATTTACACAGATTAATTGGATTGAAAACAAATCACCACAAGCTACTTTTTAGTATTGCTGAACAAGTTTAAGGAAAAGGAAAAGCAGTATAGTATAGTGGTTAAATGAACTACAGAGAACTACAGAGCAAGATTGGTTGGGTTTAAATTTTTATTCTGGCACTTTCTAACTGTATGATCCTGGACAAACCATTTTTCCACTTTGTCTCAGTGTTCTCATCTGAAAGTGGAGGAAATAACCATCTCTATTTTATATCGCTGTTTTGAGGATTAAATGAGTTAACATTTGCAAAGCACTTAGTGTCTACTATTTATATGTGTGTGTGTGTGTGTGTGTGTGTGTATTCTAACTATTAGCTATCATTGAGTACTTAATCTTGATAAATGAAGCTGGAGGAAAAGAAAGATGAAGACTGAAAATCATCCTATGGGTTTATTAATATGTAGGTCATAGGTCATTGGTACTTTTAATGATATGGTTGAATATGGAGTCAGAAGCTAGACTGAAAACAAAGAAGAAACAGATACATACTTAAGTATTTATAGGAAAATTTTATGATGTCTAGGATTTACTTTAAAATATTCCAGGAAAAAACAATAACGTGTGTGTGCGTGTGTGTGTTTGGAAGTTGTTGTAGGCAGAAAATAACAGTTCCCTAAAGATGTAATCTTTTGAACTGGCAAATGTGTTACCTTAAAAAGCAAAAGGGATTTTGTAGATGTGCTTACATTAAGGATCTTGAGATGGGGAGATTATCCTGGATTACAGGTTACAGATGGTTCCCATCTAATGGTATGAGTCCTTCAAAGTGGAAGAGGGAGGCTTAAGAGAGAGGCAAAGGGAGATCTGACTATAGAGGAGGTCAGAGGAATGTGATGTGAGAAGGACTTAACCTACCATTGCTGGCCTTGAAGATGCAGGAAGGGACCTCCGGCCAAGGTATGTGGGCAGCCTCTAGAAGTTAGAACAAACAAAAAAAATGGATTCCCTTCCTAGAGGCTACATAAAGGAATGCAGCCCTGACAAACCTTGATTTTAGCCCAATGAAACCCATGTTGGACTTCTAACCTACAGAACTGTAAAATAATAAATTTGTGTTGCTTAAAATCACTAAATTTGTAGGAATTTGTTATGGCAGCAATAGAAAACCAATACAGGGGTGTATATAAATGAAACAGAAATGGCAATGTGGTTAATTGTTAAAGTTGGATGATAGGTAAATGAGAATTCATTACAATATCCTCTCTACTTCTGTTTATGTTTGAAAACGAAATGAGAAATAAAAGAATATATCTTCTCTTCAATGATGAACTTACAGAAATTGATGCATTAAATATAAAATACAAGTTACTGTTCTTCAATGAATAATGTTACTATTAAATGAATTAGATTCTGGTCTTCACTGATCTACATATCCTTTATCTACAGGCAATTTTTTTTTTTTATTTGTCAGAGAGAGAGAGAGCACGTACGCGTGCATCCAAGCAGGGGGAGCGGCAGGCAGAGGGCGAGGGAGAAGCAGGCTCCCTGCTGAGCAAGGATCCTGATGCAAGAGTCGATCCCAGGACCCTGATTATCATGACCCAAGCGGAAATCAAGAGTTGGACGCTTAACTGACTGAGCCATCCAGGTGCCCCCCACTTTTTTTTTCTTAACTCCCTCCTTCTTCCCAAGGGTAATTACTATCCTGACTTTTAACACTATGATTTTTGTTCTTTTTGAACTTTATGCAAAGTTAGCTTCATATAAATCACAGTGTATTGGTTTATGTCCTCTTTTTTGTCTAACAGTTTAACATTATGTCTATGATAGTCATCATATTGTTGCTTATATCTGTAGTTTCATTTTTCAAAACCATATAGTATTTCATTGTATAACTATGCCACTATTTATATATTCTACTGTTGATGGACACTTAGGTTATTTCCAGTTAAGAGTTATTATAAAGAATGCTGCTATGAACATCTCACTCATGTCTTTTGGTGCATGTGTGCACACATTACTGTCGGGTATATACATATAACTAGGAATAAAATGGCTGGGTCAGAGATGTTTTCATGTTCAACTATAGTAAATACTGCTTAACAGTAAATACTGTAAAACAGTTTCCCAAACTGGCTGTACAATTTATATTACAAATGTATAAGAGTTCCCATTAATCCCCATCCTCATCAACAATTTTGGTAGTGTCAGACTTTTTTTTTTTTTTTTAAGCCATTCTGATGAGTTTTCTCATTGTGGTTTTAATTTGCATTTCCCTGATTTCTAATGAGGTGGAACATGATTTTCATAAGTTTATTCCTTAAATTTTTAGTCTCTCAGATTTTATACTTAGGGTGTACCACTTGCTGTTAATTCTCCAATTTTTCTCCTACTTCATTACATACTAAGAAGATGCGGCAAAGATCCTATACCCACACCCCTATCTCAACCCCTATCTCAGTTATTCTAGGTAGAAATTTAGAACTTGACTACTTTATTTCTCACATCTATTAGATCAGCAAGTTCTGTTAATTTCCAAAATGAATCTTAAGTCACTCTATTGCCATATTGTAGAACCACTACTTCAGTGAAGACCTTCATCACCTCAATCCTGGAGGACCACAACAGCTTCTTGGTTTTTCACATTTTGGATTTTGCCACTGACTACCCCCTTCATTCTCCATATTGCAGCAACAGGGGTATTAATTATTAAAACTTTTCAGTGGCTTCCTATTGATCTGAGAATAAAATTCAAACTCTGCCATAATCTAGAAGCCCCTGCAGGTCTGCCTTAGACTATCAGCCTCATCCCTAGGCATGCTTTGTTTATGTGCTAGCTACAGGCCTCTTTACAGGCCTTGGTGACCACACACACCCCAGCTTTGTCTTCTTTCAATCCTTTAACAGGAAGCTCCATCTGATGAGGGAGCAGAAGGCAAGCTGAGGACAAAGCACAAGCTGACACCCTCCAACGGCCCCCACCTCCAACTCCCAGGTGGGATCTGTGTGATGTTCCTCAGGCACTCCGGCTGTCTTAAAGCTAAGGGAAGGAAAAAACAAATAGTTGACTTATAGAGATTATAGTCCAGCAAGACCTGAGTCTCCCTCAGTTTACAAAATGTCTTCGTGATTTACAAGAAAAAAGCATTATCAATAACCTAACTTCCAGAAAGAAACTCCCAACTGTCTTAATGTTAATGCTTTACCAGAGGGAAAAACAACCTTAACCTGACAAAGGCAAGGCCTCCAATATCTTGTAGGTCCTCTTTAGCATACAAAAATTCTTTTGAAAACCTCCCTTTTCCTTCCCACCAACTCCCAAGTATATAATCAGTCACCCCTCCGAACCCTGGTGCAGCAGCTCTTTCTGCCCTTGGGTCCTGTCCCCATGCTTTAATAAAACACCATTTTGCACCAAAGATGTCTCAAGAATTCTTTCTTGGCCTTGGCTCCAGACCTCACCTCACCAAACCTCACCTATATTCAAAAACTAGATCACATTCATCTTAACAGAATACTTGCCCCATAACTTGTTCATTTTCATCCTTTAATTCTCACTTTAAATTTTACCTTGATTTGTTTTCTTCATAACAGTTATCAACAATCTGTCGTTACTGAGTCTGTTTTTTGTTAGTCTCTAATAAAATAAAAATAATAGTAATAATAACAATAACGATGGCTTGTAGTGTTTGCCAGTCACCACTCAATGAATTTTAAATAAACTAACACTTTTAATTCTCACAACAACCATACAAAGTAGGTATAATTATTATTCATGTTTTATAGATGGGGAAACTAAATCACAGAGAGGTTAAGTAATTTGCCCTTTTGGTGTTAGGAAGTGGCAGAGCTGTCATTTTGATGTGGTTTCAGGATATAGGCGAGGTTCGGTGGGGTGAGGTCCAGAGCTGGAGCCTATGACCAAGAAAGAATTCTTGAGACATCTTTGGTGCAAAATGGTGGTTTTATTAAAGCACGGGGACAGGACCCCTGGGCAGAAAGAGCTGCTGCACTGGGGTCTTGAGGAGTGGTGATCATATACTCAGGAGTTGGGGGAAGTAAGGAAAAGGGAGGCTTCAAAAGAACTTTCATATGCTACAGAGGACCAACCTACAAGATACCTACAAGATATCCGAGGCCTTGCCATTGTCAAGTTAAGGTTGTTTTCCCCTCTAGCAAGGTATTAAGACAGTTGGGAGATTCCGGGAAGAATGTCACTCATGTCCTACCCAAGAGTGGGGAGTAGGGGGAGGTTGCAGGGTATAAGCCTATGCTTCGTCTTCAGCTAGTCTTCTGCTCCCTCATCATTTCCCCCCTGAACAATTTGACCCTTAAATCTTCAAGGTTGTTGAGGTGGAAGGTCTCATGTTCTGTAACTTCTTCCTGCTGAGTAGGGGCATAGAGATGTCCCTACCTATGGGTCAATACTGGTCACTTGGAGAACATATGGGGGAGTTACAAAAGGGGAGGTGGCTGAATCCAACGTGGTCAACATGTATGAATCTCCTTGAATAGAAGGGATCATCTGTCAGCTAGAAGTGATGGCAGTGAAGGAGTCTTGGCATGAGGCAGGGAGACACCAGAAATGACAACAAAATAACGTTAATATTTTAATAAGAAAGAGAAATCTGAATAAAAGACCTTTGATAATTGATCTTCAATAATTTTCCTCCAGTCGAGGAGTTTAAAGCAATCACTAAAGGAAAGAGAGATCATTTAAAGCACCAATTTGAGTATTCATGTCAGTTAGAAACCTAGAAATATTTGTGGTAATCTAGAATGTATACACAGCATTCTGTTTTTATTATAGCGCAAGTTTTGTAAAACTGCATCACACATTTGTATTACTTTAGTATTTAATAGAGAAATGCTGTATTGAGTGTCATTTAGGGCTTTGACCATGTACTAAGAGCTTCCATGTGCCAAACAACATCCTCCAGTCTCAAAGAGGTAAAAAAGATGGATGTTAGGTGGTCATACCAATGAGACACAGAACATGTCCACCGTTGTTTTAAATTTGGAAGGTTAGCTGGGTTGGTAATGATTTTAATAATGCATCCATGCATCCAGGCCAGACCCAGAGTACAGTGGCCTATCCAGCCTGGGGAAAGCTGTGGACACAAGTTAAGGGTCATAGAGCCATTGGGTTCCAGTCAGGAGCCACCCATCCAATACTAGGCCTCCTTAAAGTACAGTCAGGATTTCAAGGGCTACTCAAGTTTTGGAAGTCCATCCTTTGAATTTATATAATAATTTCAGGCCCATATTTGATTGGGGAGTTACGGCTTGATAATAATCCCCTTTTCTTTAAATTGCTCCATGGGCATATAGGACTAGTCAGTATACATATTAATTTTTAAGGCTTTGGCAATTGCCAAGCACAAGTGAGCACTATAGCATACCCAGCTTTTCTTACCTCTCTTAAACTAAACTCTTAAAACTGCCCTGAAAGCTAATTTTTTCTGATGTCAACCACTGAAGTTCATCTGAACTTGAATTTAAACATCTCATCTTTGGGCGCCTGGGTGGCTCAGTCGTTAAGCGTCTGCCTTCGGCTCAGGTCATGATCCCAGGGTCCTGGAATCGAGTCCCCCATCGGGCTCCCTGCTCAGCAGGAAGGCTGCTTCTCCCTCTCCCACTCCCCCTGCTTGTGTTCCTGCTCTCGCTATCTCTCTCTCTGTCAAATAAATAAATAAAATAAAAAAAAAAATAAAGATCTCATCTTTGTTTTGCTAGCGTTAGAGGATTTCTTCACTAGCGCCCATGGTTCTCGGTCACGCCGCTTCGAAAAATGAAGAGGTAGGCCAGACGAAGAACGGCGGGCAGCAAAGCAGAGTTCACTGAGTGATAGTAAAGTTTATTGAATGATGGAATACAAAGCTCCCAAAGCGGGAGGGGACCCTAGAGGGTTGACAACAGAGTTTTTTTTTTTTTTTCTTTTGCCATCAGAGTTTCTAAGTGTAGGAGTTTTTTATGGGCTTGTTGGAGGGCTGTTTTAATCTAATTAACCTGTGCCTGTCATCCAATCATTTTTGTCATCTATCAGGTGGAAAAGGGTGGAGGGCTCCTTCCAGGGTGGTATAAAATCTTTTTAAGGGTGGTTTCCTCTTGGTGGGGGTGTCCTTGTCCCTGCCTGCCTTTCTTTCTTTCTTTTTTTTTTTTAAAGATTTTATTTATTTATTTGACAGAGAGACAGAGAGCACAAGCAGGGGGAGCGGCAGGCAGAGGCAGAGGGAGAAGCAGGCTCCCCACTGAGCAGGGAGCCCAACACGGGGCTCGATCCCAGGACCCCGGGATCATGACCTGAGCCGAAGGCAGACGCTTAACCATCTGAGCCACCCAGGCGCCCCCTGCCTACCTTTCTTCCAACTATCCTTTATCATTAGTATTTATAAGGCTATACTAATATTAAATGTAACTGGATAGTAGGAAGAATTCAGACAGATTACACCTTATTGTTTGAAAGTCCTGTTCTTTGAAAACTGGAAAAGAAAAAGTTATGCTTCCTTGAGCTTGTAAGTTTATTTTTATAGTATTTTTCAAAAAGATGAAATATTACTTCCTATTACTTGTGTCATTACAAGTTATTGTAAAAGAAAGAAGGCTAAATAGTGTGACAATAGAGTTTAGAATATCAACTCTATTATTGGCTGAGAGTTCTTAGACAAGACACTTCTTTTTAGAGTTTCTACTTCTGTTACACTAGTCTATTAAAACCTACCAAAAAGTAGACAGCAACCCACTTAAGAACATCTGGTTGAAAGGTAGCCTAGATTTGTTTTGAACCCATGTTTGCATAGTGAGCACAGTGTTTTTACCTATTTGTATGATACAGTTAAGTAAAAATAGAGCAAAAATTCAAAAATTTCTAAAGGTACTTTTATTTTCACTGTAGCTAAGATTGATACTTAACTTACTGAAAAGAAGGTACAAAGCATTTCAAACACACATTAGCACTGACCCTGCCTTGAAGGTTAAAGATAATTGGAAGTATGAAGTACTTATCTGAGCTTTCAGCTCATAATGAAAGCTATTATTCTGATAAACGGGCCCAAGGCTCTGTTAACTTGGAGGTAAGGATAGCTCAGAACGTCTTCCTAAAAACCCAATCTTTTTGGGGTGCCTGGGTTCCTTTGGCTCCTTTGAACCAAGTAACTTGTCCCTCCAGGCTAGATGGGGACTCTATTAAAGGGCAAATGATCCATAGGAAGATGGATAATGATTTGGCTACAAAAAATAAATTGAGCCAATCTGTCTTGATTCCCTGATTTTTAACTAAAAAGCAGAGGAAGAATCTGGCAAGTAGCAGCAGAGGCCAAATGACTTAACATAATGGAGTTTCAGCAAAGGTAAATTAGGTCAAAGTCCCATCAAAAATTGGATGGGGGCACCTGGCTGGCTGCTGGTGGAGTGTGTGACTCTTGATCTCAGGGTTGTAGCTTTGAGTCTCACATCAGGTATAGAGATTACTTAAAAATAAAATCTTAAAAAAAATCAGATGTAAAGCTTAAACTGCATAATTTTTAGAATAGAATTAATAAAAGGGTGATTTACAGAGGTGCAGTCCAAGACTCAGGAAAACCAACAGAGAAAATGCAATATCCCAAGGGCTAGCAGTTACGACTAGGCCTGAAGGGACAAAGGGAAGAATTGGAGAGATTAACTGAACAGAGGGTTCTGCAGTCAGTCCTGGGTGGTTATGGAATTCACCAGCTTGGGGAATATGGACTTTGACCTCACTATCTTCTGGCCTCCTATCTCTTATAGATACTTCCTACTGCCTGAACCCCTGTGAGATACCAAGGACTGTGAGGGAATCCATCAACGCAATCTGTACAGGTCAGCCCTGCCTGGCGCAAGGGCAGGAAAAGGGTGGAGAGGCAAGTAGAAGATAGGTGAAGTTGTTTCCAAGAGGCAGTTACGTGGAAATAGGAGCTATTAATATGTATTTAAAGGAGGGACAACAAATTGCCAACTCCCTTCGCTGACATTAGCGGTACTGCGTTACAGTGATGATTCCCAAGTACCAACCGTTGAATTCTTTTTTTTTTTAAGTTTTTTTTTTTTTTTTTATTAGAGAGAGCAAGAAAGCGCGTGCGTGCACACAGGCAGGGGGAGCAGGAGAGGGAGAAGGAGTAGCAGGTAACCTGCTGAGCAGGCAGCCCGATTCAGGGCTCAATCCCAGGACCCTGAGCCAAAGGCAGACACTTAACCGACTGAGCCACCCAGGTGCCCCCCAACCGTTGAATTCTTTAGAGACCTTTCTGAGTACACATTTACCTTCCAGTTCTTCTCTTCCTGCAAACACAACCTATTTCCAAGAAAGCCCTCTGTGTTTTTTCAATAAAGCACCTTTACAATTCTTCACTTCAAAACAAAACAAAACAGCAACAAACAAAACCACCAACCCCGGTTAGGTAGCCCATATGAATCTAACTTTGGAAAACCATTCTATAACCTTGTATTCAACAGAATCAGTCTTTAATTCACCTGTATTTAAATAGATGGTGAAGAGATGCCTGGGTGGCTCAGTCGTTTAAGCGTCTGCCTTCAGCTCAGGTCATGATCCCAGGGTCCTAGGATTGATTCCCAAACTCTGGCTCCTTGCTCAGCGGGGAGCCTGCTTCTCCTGCTGCCTGCCACTCCCCCTTTTGTGCTCTCTCCCAACTCTCTCTGACAAATAAAAATCTTAAAAAAAAAAAAAAGATGGTAAAATAGAATGTGTTCTCTGAGTCACATCCAGCTTGAACTTGTTGCTGAGCTTTTGTAAACAAAACCAGCATTGCCTGGCAGGACTCCAAAAGGCTGATTAGTAACAGGAAGAGCAGCTAGTTGATAGTTAACGAAACAAAGCTTTACCAATAACGGGGCTAGTAAAGATGGCGCCTCCTTGGGAATATAGGTAAGTACAGTACTTATTTAACTGGTAATGGGGTTCCGAAAGTTGCTTAGGGTCAGATAAATTGGAAATCAGTGATACGGAGAACAAGAAAGGTTTTATTTATAACTGTTGTATGAATAGTTTACTAACCTTAGGGAAATAAAAAATTATGCCTAGTACAACTTCTGAGTAAATAAAAACATTAATCTCGAGTTTAATGTGATTGAAGCGAGACCCCTGGAGAAGAGTCCTGTATAAGCTCTCTGCGTAGTTTGGCAGCCCTAAAGAAAGCTAGGAGGGACCCACTGCCAAATGCATACAAATGGTGGACACAGATATTTTTTGGGGGGTGTCCCTTGGTGAAAAAATATTCACTGGGTCAAATCCATTTTCAGCGACCTTGCACAGGAACATAAACATTTAGTGACTTATAAATCCACGCTCGTGAAATCAGTATTATCACTCACTGAATTTCAGTGCCAAGTATAAAGCTCTTACTGGAGTTAATCAAAACGTATTTGTAACTTTTATTTATTTATTTTTTTTTTTAAAGATTTTTATTTATTTATTTGAGAGAGAGAATGAGATAGAGAGAGCATGAGAGGGGGGAGGGTCAGAGGGAGAAGCAGACTCCCCGCTGAGCAGGGAGCCCGATGCGGGACTCGATCCCGGGACTCCAGGATCATGACCTGAGCCGAAGGCAGTCGCTTAACCAACTGAGCCACCCAGGCGCCCTATTTGTAACTTTTAAACATATATCCATTCCAGGAAAAAATATTAGGAAACACGGTTAATTTGTAAACAAGTGTTATCTCTACAAATTAAAGGAACGTGTAACAACAACAAGAAGTTGGCGAAATATTAATCATTTGTTTTACTCAAGAGCACTTTAAAAATATTTCAGTTCGAGGGTGGAAATGAAGGCGGGTAGTGCACTAAACCAATTGCCTGGGAAAGGTTTCATAAACAGTTACCTACAAAGTACACAATTTCCATTCTGGACGTGGCTCAGGATTAGAAGTGATCGAGGTGCCCCCAAACCTCAGGAGGAAACCTTTTCACCGGGCGAAGCGACTGACACAAAGGCAAAACGGCCCCGTACGGGACCCTGGCTCGTAAGGAAGCGGCCCGGGGTCGTCGGCAGAGACCACCCGTCCTCGAGTCAATTTCGCGCCCTGGCCTGGGGCAAAGAGACCCCCTCACCTGTCAGGCGCCACGTGCGTAGCCCGGCCCGCCCCTTGCCCGCACCCGGCAGAGCGCAGCGCCACTGCGCGGCGAGTCACAGAGGCCCCGTGAGCGCCCCGCCCCCGCTCCCGCAGTCCGGGCCGCCGTAGCCCGCGAGCTGCGGAATCGTCCAGTTCGCCCTCCCTCCCCTTCGGCGGGCCGCTGGGGCGGGGCCGGCCCTTAGGCCGGGCGGCACCCGGACGAACTCGTCAGTCAACCACCGCAGGCGGCGGCCTGGCGAGGGCAAGAGCCGGTGAGTAGCCACGTCACGCTCCTTCGGGAGGCCCCGCCCCGCTCTGTCCTCTGGGACCGCCCCTTCCACGCCCCCGCGCCGCCCCCGCGAGCTGTTACCGGCTCTGGGGGCACGCGCCTCCTTGACTCCGCTAGAGGTCCTCCAGCCCCTACTCGCAGCGCCTTCGCCGCTGCCCGCGCCAGGTGAGGGCTCGCGGCTCCCGGCTACGACGCCCGGCGCTTGTTGGCTGGCTCGGGACGTGAGGCTGTGCGGCGGGCTGGGCCGGCGGGCGGTTAGCGCTCCGTTCCACGCAGGGAGGGGCGGCAGGCCGGGCGCTGCACGGCGTCGGCCGACGCGGGCGGCGGTGGCGGCAGCGGCGGCCGGGCTTTCGGGTTTTCTGCCCCAGGCCGGAGCCAGTCGGTTCCCCGGCGGAGAGACGGGCAGTCGGGCTCCCTGGCCCCGGGCCCCCCCCGGCTGGGGTGGCTGGGGCAAGGGGACGATGTCTGCTCGCGCTGCGGTGCCCGCCGCTCACTCTCGGGAGGAGCCATCCGCGGTGGCTGCCGAGAAGGAGTCGCTGTTGGTAACGGCGAGTCGGCAGGCCGAGCAGCTGTCCCCGCCCGAGCGGGAGGGCAAGTTGGCGGCGAGTAAAGAGAGGGCCGCGACAGCCATCATCGCGGGTGCGCGGGGAGAGCCGTCGCCGGCGCTGGTGCTGGGGCACAGTGTGCCCCAGGCGGCCGTGCCCGTGAGACCCCTGGCGCTGCACCTGGCGCACAGGGCGCGCGGGCCCGGGGGCCCCTTCGGCGGGGAACCCCCGCCACCCCTGCCGAGGGACCCGCCGGCCGAGGACGCCCTGGAGGATGCGGCGGCGACCGGCCCTAAGGAAAAGCTGCAGCCGCCGCCGCCGCCGCCGCCTAAGGAGAACCCCTGGACCAAAAAGCCTCCTCAGCACCTGCCCCCTGTCGGGACGGGACCGGCGCCGTCCCCACTGGAAACCCTGGAGGCAGGTCTGTGGTTTTTTTGCGGTGGGCAGTGGGAGGGTGTGTGCAGGGGTGATTTGCTTGGCTGTAGAGCCTGTCGTGGGGCTGGGGGAGGGGCAGACCTTCTTCCCCTGACAGTCGGAGGTATTTTGTTCCAAGGTGTCATTCACTCTGCCGATTTACATAAATGGACATCTGGGAAGGGAGCGGCAGGAAGAGGTGGGACCTCGGGCTCTCCTTGACTGGTGGGGGCACTGCGGGAGTAACGTCGCTGAGCCGCTCGACTGGCGCGGCCTTCATTGAGTTTTACCCCCTCACAACGTGGTAGTGACTTGGGAAAGCTAACTTTATAGGTAGATAGTCAGTTCATCCTATAGAAAAGTTTTTGTGGACTTGTAAAAAAAAGGGGGGGGGCGTGAAGCAAGTCGGAGCAAGGGGATTTATTTATAAGTGGAAGCGCGATTGTAATTTTCTTCGTTGTCATATAATTGATAAGCTGAAAATCTGTTTGGAAACAAGAAAGGTCATATTAAGAATGAGACTATACCGTAGTTGCCAACAAAATGCTTGGACTTGAGATTTTGGTGGAAAACAGTTGAACAGGATAGTTGACGTGAGAGTGGATTGCACAGTACGTAAATGAGAGTCTTAAAATTCGGTTAGCCCTCCTCCTCTTTTGAGGAGGTTAGATTATGTCACAGCATTTGAAAGCTGACCAATACAGTATGGCCCTGGGTGCTTTATTTTGGTTGTAGTTTTTTTGTTTGTTTGTTTTTAAGTTTAAATGGAAATACTAAATAACAAAAAGTAGTATCTCCTAGTTTTATTTTCTAAATTAAGTTTTAGTAAGTTAATTGAACTTTTTATGTAGAAATTACAGCTGTTTACTTGCATATCTTTTTCTTAAAATTAAAGGTTAACAATAAAATGGGGAAAATGTGAGCATGTTTACAGGGTTGTGAGGATCAAGTGAGTCAAAGGATGTGGTATAACTAAGGTGATTATTATAAATACATTATATTGCACGTATATTAACATTTCTTCAGAGGAACTCCAATAGAGTGAGATAAATGTTAATTGATTTCTTTAGCTTTTACATGGTAATACTCATTCTTCTTTTTTTTTTTTTTTAAGATTTTTATTTGTTTTTTTGACAGAGAGACACAGCGAGAGAGGGAACACAAGCAGGGGGAGCAGGAGAGGGAGAAGCAGGCTTCCCGCTGAACAGGGAGCCTGATATGGGGCTCAATCCCAGGACCCTGGGATCATGACCTGAGCTGAAGGCAGACGCTTAATGACTGAGCCACCCAGGCTCCCTTAATACTCATTATTCTTGATAAATTTGACACTTGCAGAAAAAAACTACTTAGAAATTTGCTCTAAATTTAATATTACCACCATTCTCTTCTAGCTGCAAAGATCTATTTGTTTACTACTATCGCTAACTGAAGGAAACAAAAATCTTTTTTTTAAGATTTTATTTATTTATTTGAGATAGAGCGAGAGAGCACAGGCAAGGCCGAGGGAGAGGGAGAAGCAGGCTCCCCGCTGAGCAGGAAGCCCAATGCGGGGCTCAGTCATGAACCTGAGCCCAAGGCAGACATTTAACCTAAGACTGAGCCACCCATGTGCCCCAGAAGGAAACAAAAATCTTAAAGTATAATCTCCATAAATTTAGCAAAGAGAAAGAAAGCCCTTAATGAGCCTTAATGGGCTGTCCAACCTCCCTACTTCTAGACTTACACAGTTAAAATTTATATTCAGTGAACTACCCAAAAAATGAACTTTTGATTGTAAAGCTAATTTGACAGGTTTTAAAACTTTCAAGATAGGACTCAGGAATCTTAATTGGAAATGTCCTTTTGAAAAGTATTTAACAGTTCAATTAACCTCAGGTGCCTTCATTGGGTATCTTTGTTGGAGATTAAGAACAAGGTGTTGCTTGAGCTATGTTGTGGTTCATGGGAATTTCGATTTTGCTGATGGCTCTCTCTAGGCAATTCTTTCTATTTTTGGAATACATTCTGTGCTTAGAGGAATACCATTCTAAACTACTTGGAGTAGTGTAGTAACTTATAAACTCTCCCCAGTACTGACTGTTCTACCTCAACTTCTTTTTGTAGTTGGGTAATTGAGAGATTATGGTGTATAAATGCACTGTTCTGAAAGACTTGGGTTCTAGTGCACATATTGTTACTAACTAGCTAGTTGACTTTTGGCAATTTTCTGGGCCATGTAAATGAATGAAAAGGGTGTATTCATCTCTTCCAGTCAATACCAGAGTGCCATCTACAACCTGGGGTGCCTTAGCTTCCTGCTTTCCTAAGCAAATTTGCAACTTAAAGAATAATGAAATAGCAGAGGACTTTAAAGGTTCAGAGTAGGTGCAAACTAGAGATAATCTATTAGTAGGGGGCCTGTGTAATTTATCCTACAAACCAGGATACTGTAGAGGCAGAGAGAGGGATATTAATTATGCTGGAATACCAGACTTAAACCATGCTTGTCCTGGCCAAACCTGGATCTACTGTCACTCTCTTAATGAGGCACAGAGATTCCATCCACAAAATTTTGCCAGAGACTTCATTATCAGAGATGGAAACGTAGCAAATGAAGAGGATTATTTTGGGACAGATGATCATGAATTTTCTGTTAGAACCTGCAGTTCTAATTGAACTGCAGGTGAATCATTCTTGCTTCTTCAGCGCTTGTGAGATACTTTATTCCGCTTTTAGGATGGTTTTGGCCTGTATATTGCTGTTTCTCTTAATCTAGGTAAGGCCTCCTTTTTTTTTTTTTTTTTTTTTTTTTTTTTTAGAGAGAGAGACACAGCAAGAGAGGGAATACAAGCAGGGGGAGTGGGAGAGGGAGAAGAAGCAAGCCTCCCGTGGAGCAGGGAGCCTGATGCGGGGCTCCATCCCAGGACCCTAGGATCATGACCTGAGCTGAAGACAGACGCCTAACGACTGAGCCACCCAGGCTCCACAAGGCCTTCTTTTCAACCAAAGCCTGGCTATCCAAGAGGCCTAGAATAGTGTCACAGCAGTTTTTAATTCAGTTAGGAGACCAGAAAAGATTGTCCCACAATCTGTCCTAATTTTGTTTAAAGTACATTTATTTTGGAAACATGTATTAAAATCACAATATGGGATTTATTAATTTCTTACTTGTAGCTATGGCTATATTCTACATACCAAAAATCAGCTTTCTAATATAATTTCAGTTCTTTTACTCAATGAAAACATGGTATATAAAAATACTGATTTTTTTCCATCTTTTTCATCCTTAGTCTTCTGACCTCATCAACTCTCCTTTTTCTTAATGTCTGCTTCTCAGAAACCTCAAATAAGCTTATTTTTACCCTAAAAACACTTTAAGTAAGTTGTATAAATGGTACATAAATACATTCTGCTTGTTTTGATGTCTCCTTCAAGAAAAGAGGTAATAATGCTGTTTACTGAATATCCTTTCAGATCTTTCTTCCAAATACAGTGTTTTGTATATGCTTTTAGAACATATCATCCTCCATTTTTAGTTTAAAGTTGATTGACCCTTTTTATTTTTTCTCTTTACCATAAGTGAGTTTGGGGACATCTGGCTGGCTCAGTTGGTAGATCTTGGGGTAGTGAGTTCAAGCCCCCGCCCCCGCCCCCACTGAGCGTGGAGCCTACTTTAAAAATTACATACCTCTTGTATATATGTCTGACTTTCTCTAGGATAGATGATGGGAATTGGAATTGTTAGGTCACAGGGTATTTGTTAGTTGACAAATTGTTCTCCAAAGTGACTGTACAAATCGATACTCCCACTTTTAGAGTATGAGAATTAAGTAGTTTTTAAAGCACTCACTGTAGCAAAATGGCATTTTACTAGATTTCTCTCTTAAATATAAAATTATGTGAAATATTGGTAATTACCAGTGCGTTTTCTTAGTTAAAATTTTGCTGAAGATTATAGCCATAAAAATTAGAGTAAAATTGTCCCTGTGACATTGCATTTCCTTCTCCGCCCCCCCAAAAAAAGCTACTTAAATACCCTACACATTGGTATATTGGCTGTTAACAAGAGAAGAGAGTACTTAAATTGGGAGGGAACCTATAATGTGTCTGGTCTTACCCTACCTTTCTAGCTTTTTGTTTATGTTGCCTTCTGTTTACCCTGTGTTTTGGATAAATGGCTTAAGTTTTCCTGCCTGTTAAGGTTTTGCTTATCATCCTTCCCTTTGTTTTAATTCTGTTTATCCTTGAAAAACAAGTTCAAATGCTAACTCTTGTATGTAGTCTTCTTGCCTCTCTGAGCTGCTGTCCCGTAATAGTTCATAGCTCTCTTACAGAAATTATCCCTAAGTGCCTTGTACTGGGGTTATATATTCACATGTTTTATCTCTTGTTCTAGTTTGTCATGTTCTTTGAGGCAAAGGCTGTCTTCTTGATGTTTGTATATTGTCCACAACAATGGCTTTCATTTAAATGGTACTCAGTTTGTGGACTTTATTAATTTGAAAAAAAATTTGACTTTTTAAAATTATGATTTAATGCAATCATGCTGTAACAGACATCTTTCTTATGGGGTTAGCCATAGAGTCAGTCTTTAAAGAACAGATTATACTAGCAACTCTCAAATTTTAATGTGCTTAGGAATCCACTATGGGTCTTGTTCAAATGCAGATCTGATTCTGTAGGACTTGATATTCTGTATTTTAAGTAAGTTCCCAAATGTCAGTGATGCTGATTCAGATATCACAGTTTGAATAACAAGGGATTTCAGTCCTAATGATGCACAATAAATCACTGTTAACAATTAAGGATGTTGCATCTGCCTCACTAGGTAATAGTGTTGCAGTTTTTCTGTGTCCAAGCCCTTAAAAATGGGTTGTTTTCCTTATCAATTTAGAATTATAGATTATAGTTGATAGATTCCTAGAGTTAAAGAATAATGGTTTAGGATACTGGAATATTACTCAAAAGGTTGCAGTAGTATAGTGTCTTACCAGTGGTAACTTGAAAAATAGATATATGAAGATCACACACTGTTCATGTTTGTTTGTTTGTTTGTTTATTTATTTATTTATTTAAAGATTTTATTTATTTGACAGAGACACAGCAAGAGAGGGAACACAAGCAGGGGGCGTGGGAGAGGGAGAAGCAGGCTTCCCGCGGAGCAGAGAGCCGGATGCGGGGCTCGATCCCAGGACCCTGGGATCATGACCTGAGCCGAAAGCAGACGCTTAACGGCTGAGCCACCCAGGCGCCCCTGTTCATGTATATTTAAAGCCACTGGAGGCTTTTTCTTATGTTTCATCTGTTTTGGAAAAAAATGTATACATAATATATTTTAATTTAAAAAATGTTTTTAATTTTCTAGGCTGGCTTGCTTTTTCAGTCTTAGGTTTTCTCTAAAAACATGCAGAGCAATTTCCTCCATTTTAGTTAAAATATGGGAAACTTTAAGTTAAAATTACCTTTCTTACCTGTACCTCTGAAACAAATAATACATTATATGTTAATTAAAAAAAAGGGGGGAGTGAGGCTTTAGGTCTTCCACCTTCTTGGACTTTTAATAGATGCCTGAGAGTCTTGGTCAAAAAAAAAAAAAAAATAGGGTGGGGGTTGTTCTTTTATTAAAAGATACATTGTGTTCTTAACACATTTAAGCAAGAACTTTTCACAAAAGTAGCAACTATGGAAAAAACAAAACAAATCCAGCAAAGAAGGGCAGAGAGATATGAGAATTATTACCATCTAACTGTGGTTATAGCACTAAGCCCATTTTTGTTGGTTATGATGCTAGTTATATATTGCATCTTAGGATTCCATTAATTCTTTCTTACTTCATCCTTTGTTATTCCTTAAATTGAGAAGTTGGAAGAGAATCATAGCATGCATTTCACTTGGAGTGGTTATATTTTTTGGAAAGAAGTGGAATTGTAACTTAGAATTTGGTATACATGAAAAGAAATTACCTTTCTTAGGCTTGTTTTACTTGTTCTCTATGTGTATATAAAATATTTTTAAAACCTGGTGGGCTTCTTTCATTTTATACAGACATCTTTGTACCTTGTCTTGCTTCCCAGGTAATTTCCCAGAAATGGAATTGCTTTATTAAAAGGTATATAGAATTTAAATGACAGATTACCCTGGAGAGAGTATACTACTTTACACTATTACCAACTGCATGAGAGTAATGTCCATTTCTTTTCTTTTTTTTTTTTTTAAGATTTTATTTATTTGATACAGAGAGAGCAAGCACGGGCGGGGCGGGGGGGGGGGGGGACACTAGAGGGAGAAGGCTCCCCGCTGAGCAGGGAGCCCAGTGCAGGGCTCCATCCCAGGACCCTGGGATCATGACCTGAGCTGAAGGCAGATGGTTAACCAACTGAGCCATCCAGGTGCCCCGAGAAATGTCCATTTCTTTATAGGCTGGCCAACACTTGGCATTCTCTTTTTTGTCAATAGGATAGGTAAAAAGTGTTTTGTTTTAGTTTACATTTCTTTATTAGTACAATTGAATGCCATTTCATGTTCTTTTTTTTTTAAATTATATTTTGAGGATAGTTGATACAATGCTACATTAGTTTCAACTTAGTGATTTATACAACTTAGTGATTTGACAAGTTTATACATTATACTATGTTCACCACAAGAGTAGCTATCATTTGTCCCTTTTACATCACTGTTACAGTATCATTGACTATGTCCCTCTCATACTGTGCCTTTTCCCATGATTTATTCACTCCATAAGTAGAAGCTTGTATCTCTCTTCTCCCTTCACGTATTTTGCCCCAGCCCCCTGTATTTCTTTTTAAAAGCATTTGTTCATCTTTTACTCAGATTTTTTTTAATGTTTCAAGTTTTTATTTAAATTTTAGTTAACATACAGTATAATATTAGTTTCAGTAGTAGAATTTAGTGATTCTCAGGTTTTTCAAAATTTATTTATTTTTTACAGCTTACTATCATGCTCTTATTTATTCATTTATTTTTTTTAAAGATTTTATTTACTTGAGAGAGAGAGAGAGCATGAGTGGGGGGGTAGGGGGGTGGGAGGGGTGGAGGGAGAAGCAGATTCCTTGCTGAGCAGGGGGCTCAGTGTGGGATTTGATCCCAGGACCGTGGGGTCATGACCTGAGTGGAAGGCAGAAGCTTAACCAGCTGAGCTACCCAGGCGCCCAGCTTAACTAGCAACGTTTTAAATGAAAAAGTCTGAGTTGATGAGGTGGTCTGAGTGAGCAGCACAAAGGACTTCTTTATGTTGAACTTGGAATTAGACAAATGTATCCACACGGTTGGTGTTGCACTGCCACTGCAGGTCCTCCTATCTGGTTGAGGAGGCTGTCCCTGTGAAGGTGACAGCATGAAAAAGCAGCCCACGATGCTTGCTTTTTTTTTTAAAGATTTTATTTATTTATTTGACAGAGAGATACACAGCGAGAGAGGGAACACAAGCAGGGGGAATGGGAGAGGGAGAGGCAGGCTTCCTGCTGAGCAGGGAGCCCGATGCGGGGTTCGATCCCAGGACCCTGGGGCCATGACCTGAGCCGAAGGCAGACGCTTAACGACTGAGCCACCCAGGCACCCCACGATGCTTGCTTTTTGTGGACAGCGAGCCCCCAAAGGAAAAAGAGGAAAAGATGCTGGCTTCGTAGGTTCAGGTTTTTTTCCTAAACTTATTAATCAGGAAACTTACTGTTTCCATGGTAGAAATTGGAATTTGGGAACAGGAATGTTCTGGGAAAGTCTTCTTCTTGGAAAAGTAAATTAACTCTTAAGGACCATTTAGAAACAAATGTTAAGAAATCACTGTTTTGTATTGCAGAGTATCCAACCACATTGGCCGTCATAGTTTGTCAGATACTCTGTGATGAGATTAAATTATTATATTGATAACATGTACATAAACATCCCAATTACAATGTGTACATAACGGTACTCCATTAAAATGTCAGCATTATTGATGCCACAGAGTTAAATATAAACTTTCCTACCAAATTTTCTGAGGAGTAAATTTGAGAGATTAAGATTTAAAGAAAAATTAAAAATTTTGAGTCCAAAAGAATCTGCTAAAATTAAAATCTCTTCCTTTTAAAAATTTTTAAATTTGCAAAGAAATAAATACTCCTCCCCAACGTATTTCTTCATGTTTAGCTAGAGGTTATAATCAATGTCTGAGTAGAGTATGGAACTGTATCGGTTTTTAAATCAATAGATTATTAATTTTTTGTCATGTTCAAGTATCTTTAAAAATTTTGTTAATAACTTAATTGTGCCATTTAGTAATGAAGTTAAAAAGTTTATTTTTATATGGCCAGAATAATTTTTTATCTTTAGTTTCTGACCTTAATTTTGTGATTATTAATGTCTAATTGATTTATAATAAAGCTAAATAAAATCTGCTTGTGTGCCCTCTCCCTTATTATTTTCCATTTCATTAAATATTTTGTATAAGGCTTTATTTTGTAACTACCAGGCACTTAACTTACTTGATTTAGCAATATTTTGGGAAATGTTTTCCACTTTGTTGAGGGGAAAGTCCTCCAAATGTTATGTATCTTATAGTTTTCATAAAATATACATAGTATATATATAGAACATCAGTCAAATTCTAGATAACGTTCAGGCAGATACTGTTCTTTATTAAATTAATTTTTTCCTGTCCCCATTTTTTTGTCCTGTTAACCTGTAGTTTTTGATCTAATTTTTCTTAATGAAATGTCTTATCCTTATGCACATTTATACATGTATACACATACACATATATGTGTATACTTAGAAGAATAAAAGAAATGCCTGTGTATTAGTTATTTTGCTTTCGGAATAGAATTACTGTAATATCCAAGATTCTTTTATGTCTGTCCCTGGTGACATCCTAATCTTTCATCCCTCTGATAAGTTTTCTATTTCCTTTTAAAATCTGCTTCTGAGTTTTAACTCAAAGATTGCTTTATTCTATGAATTGGTCATTGCCATGATTTTATGGGTTCATGTTTTGCTGGATTATTGTTTTTCTGTAGATACAGATCCAAAGTTTATTCTGCTTTTCAATATTTACTTTAGATCATGTTTAGGTAGGTGACACACCCATTGGTCATCTTGCTCTAAGTAATGAACCAAACTAAAAAACAGTGTAAAGTTTCATTTAGAGAGTCAGTCTCTCTCGGTCTCTTTATCTATTTTATTGTCAACCACTGTCGTCTTATTCAAGATGGGATCAGTGGCAATACCATGATAGTCTTGTCCAAACTTCTATTTTTTATGACTTCATATATATACAACCTATTGTAGTTGTCAAACTGGTTTGTTTTCAAGGACAAATAGTTTGAAGTCTTTTGATTTATTTTCTGGATAGTCCTTGATAAATGTCAATGTATGAATTATATAGCAAAATGTATCCATTTGGGAAGTGAGTTACTAACTTTACTGTATTACAACATGTTATATTTCTAATTTTTTCATGTTGTATTCTGTCAGAGAAAGGATTGATCTGTCAGTTTAAGTAAACTGCTATTTTTCACTTTTGATTTGATTAAAGACCAATTTGAATCTGTGTTTGAACTATAGTTGATTTTTTTGTTAAGAATTTGAGTTTCAGAACTCTGGATTTTGTTGGAAATGATGATGACACTGGCTTACTGAAATTGATATAATAGTTGTTTTGTTAAATATATTGAATTAAGTGATTGTAAAACCAATTCTAAAAAACCCCCCAAAAACCAAAAAAAAAAAAAAAAACAAAACCAAAAACAAACCCACCTAATTCTGTGGTTTTTGTTTTGTTTTGTTTGTTTTTTTTAGAGCTCAGTTCCCCCAAAATTATAAAAGCAGGAAAACTCAAGACAAAGAAATTCAACAAGGTATGTTTTTAGCTCTCTTCTTCTTAGCTATATTGAGTTTGAGAATTGGTATGTTAGAAACTCTTAGATTATTGTGTACTTAGTTGTGTCATTGGTGTTAGGTTAAAGTTAATACACTAGAGAATTGTAGCTTTTGTTCAAATCCTGTGTATATTAATTTATTCTGTTATCCTATGTAAATCAATTTAGTGTCATTAATAGTGCTAGAAGGTGGATCATAAGACCGAAGCATTGTTATTTCAGTGTTTTGTTGTTTGGAGAGTTGAATTAATTTGGCAAATGCTTGCATATAATTGTATGTAGGTGATTTTTTAAATTGCTTTGACTTTTAGAAAATATTTTTTCTACTTAAGATTTCTAATTTGCAGATATAACACTTATTTATTACTTCTTAGGCTAGTGATTTCAGCGATATGGCGAATTGGCCAACACCAAGTGAATTAGTGAACACTGGAGTGAGTATTGTTTTAAGGCTTTTTCTTAATAAAAGGAAAATATTCTCATTTCAACATGCAAAATTTATTTCAGGTTTAGAGAATTACATTAATAAAGAAGTGCTGAAAACTTAGCAGCTATCCTTTCTATAGTCTAACCCCTTTTTCAGATACCTGATTTTATCCATCATGTTGTCTTCATCTCATTATATTCTCAGGAGGTAATCTTACATTTGGAAGCGGTATTACCATGCTGTTATCTTCATATAATGCTTACAATTAAAGAGATTAAAAAATTTTTTTTAAAGATTTATTTATTTGAGAGAGATAGAGAACGTCCATGCATGGGGCTGGGGGAGGAATAGAGGGAGAAGAAAAGAGAGAATCTCAAGCAGACTCTGCTGAGCTTAGCCTGAGGCAGGGCTCCATCCCACGACCCTGAGATCATGATCTGAGCTGAAATCAAGAGTCTGGTACTCAACAGTCTGAGCCACCCAGGTGCCCCAAAAGAGATTAATTTTTTTTTTTTTAAGATTTTATTTATTTATTTGAGACAGAGAGGATAAGAGACAGAGAGCATGAGAGGGAGGAGGGTCAGAGGGAGAAGCAGACTCCCTGCCGAGCAGGGAGCCCGATGCGGGACTCGATCCTGGGACTCCAGGATCATGACCTGAGCCGAAGGCAGTCGCTTAACCAACTGAGCCACCCAGGCGCCCAAGAGATTAATTTTTATTAATTATATCATTAATTAATATGAGTCTAATTTGAAGCCCATTTTATTTCAGAATTTGCTATATGTTTTGTTTTTTTTTTTTTTTAAAGATTTTTTATTTATTTATTTGACAGAGAGAGAGAGATCACAAGTAGGTAGACAGGTAGGTAGAGGGAGAGGGAGAAGCAGGCTCCCCACCGAGCACAGAGCCCGATGTGGGGCTCGATCCCAGGACCGTGGGATCATGACCTGAGCCGAAGGCAGATGCTTAACCATCTGAGCCACCCAGGCGTCCCGCTATATGTTTTTTGATACATAATTTTTTCAATATGTATTGAAGTGCTAATTATATATGTATATATATACACACATATGCATTTATATAGCGTATCAAATCAAGAAGTGTTCAATGAATGGATTTTTATTTTTATTTTATTATTTTATTTTATTTTTTAAGATTTTATTTATTTGACAGAGAGAGACACAGTGAGAGAGTGAACACAAGCAGGGGGAGTGGGAGAGGGAGAAGCAGGCTTCCCGCCAAGCAGAGAGCCCAATGTGGGGCTCGATCCCAGGACCCTGGGACCATGACCTGAGCCGAAGGCAGACGCTTAACGATTGAGCCACCCAGAAGCCCCTTATTTTTATTTTTTATTTTTTTGTGTGTGTTTCTCTTCCTTTCAACCTTTCCTCCTTCCCCCACCTCAGTTTTTTTTTTATTATGTTATGTTAATCGCCATACATTACATCATTAGTTTTTGATGTAGTGTTCCATGATTCATTGTTTGCATATAACACCCAGTGCTCCATTCAATACGTGCCCTCTTTAATACCCTTCACCAGGCTAACCCATCCTCCCACCCCCCTCGCCTCTAGAACCCTCAGTTTGTTTTTCAGAGTCCATCGTCTCTCATGGTTCGTCTAACCCTCCGATTTCCCCCCCTTCATTCTTCCCCTCCTGCTACCTTCTTCTTTTTTTTTTTCTTAACATATATTGCATTATTTGTTTCAGAGGTACAGATCTGAGATTCAACAGTCTTGCACAATTCACAGCACTTACCAGAGCACATACCCTCCCCAGTGTCTATCACCTGGTCACCCCATCCCTCCCACCCCCCACCACTCCAGCAGCCCTCAGTTTGTTTCCTGAGATCAAGAATTCCTCATATCAATGAGGTCATATGATACATGTCTTTCTCTGATTGACTTATTTCGCTCAGCATAGCACCCTCCAGTTCCATCGACATCGTTGCAAATGGCAAGATCTCATTCCTTTTGATGGCTGCAAAATATTCCATTGTATATATATACCACATCTTCTTTATCCATTCCTCTGTCATGGACATCTTGGCTCTTTCCACAGTTTGGCTATTGTGGACATTGCTGCTATAAACATCAGGGTGCACGTACCCCTTCGGATCCCTACATTTGTACTTTGGGGTAAATACCCAGTAGTGCAATTGCTGGGTAGTAGGACAGCTCTATTTTCAACTTTTTGAGGAATCTCCATACTGTTTTCCAGAGTGGCTGCACTAGCTTGCATTCCCACCAACAGTGTAGGAGGGTTCCCCTTTTTCCCCTTCCCGCCAACATCTGTCATTTCCTGACTTGTTAATTTTAGCCACAATGAATGGATTTTTAATAAATTTTTTTTAAAGATTTTATTTATTTGAGAGAGGTGGGGGGACACAGGCAGGGTGGGAGGAGGAAGGCAAAGGGAGAAGGAGACTCCCCACTGAGCAGGGAGCCCGATGCGGGGCTTGATCCCAGGGTCCCGAGATCATGACCTGAGCCAAAGGCAGACGCTTCATGGACTGAGCCACCCAGGCGCCTGGTTTTTAATTTAAACTATGAAAGAAACTAAAAGATGGTTCTGAGATATTCTGTCAAGAGGCTTTTTATTTATTTATTTAAAGGTTTTATTTATTTGAGAGAAATTGAAGGAGCAGGGGAAGGGGCAGAGGGAGAGGGAGAAACAGACCCCCTGCTGAAACACCCATGCACCCCAGACATCAGGGGGCTTTTTAGAGAAGTGGTAGCATATATGGTTATCTGGTTACATGTTTTCATTTGATACTACACTTCGCTATTTGTAATTTGTACATTATTGGTTTGTAGTTGTAGATAACATATCTAAACAGCTTAATTAGTGAGTAAATAACATAAAAAACTGCATGTGAAGTATACAGTTTGCTAAGTTTTGACCTATATATACCTGTGAAACCATCACCAAAATCAGATAATGGACCTAACCATTACGTCAAAAGCTTCTTCACACTCCTTTGTAATTCTTCTTGTTGTAATCCCCCCATCAACCCAGGCAACCACTGATATGCTTTGTGTCACTTATAATTAATTTGCATTTCTTACAATTTTATATAAGTGGAGTCCTACAATATGACTTTTTTTTTTCCCCTGGCTTTCACTTAGCTTAATTATTTTGAGATTTATTTATGTCATTAATGTGTATTAGTAGTTAATACTTTCTTATTGCTGAGTAGTATTTCATTTTATGAGTGAAATGTTGCTTTTTCATCTATGGATGGACATTTGTATTGATTCCAGTGTTTGGCTGTTAAAAATAAAGCTGCTATGTAAACATTTGTGTACAAAGTTTTGCATGGATGTATTATGTCATTTTTCTTGGGTAAATACCTGGAATAGAATGGCTGGATTGTGTGGTAGCTATTGGTTTAGCTTTTTCAGAAACTACCAAACTTCATTCCCACCAACAGTGTATAAAAATTCTAGTTGTGTCACATCCTCACTAATATTCAGTGTAGTCAGTCTTTTAATCTAATTCTGTTAGGTGTTTGGTGGCATCACATTGTAGTTTTAATTTGCATTTCTCTAATGATGCCAGCACCTTTCCACTTACATTTGCTATCAGTATATCTTTTTGTTGAAGTGTCTGTTCAATAGTAGCCCATTTTTAAAAAAAATTGAGTTGTTTTCTTACTACTGCATTTTCAGAGATCATTTTACATATATATATACACACGTATACATATACACGTGTGTGTGTGTGTGTGTATATATACACACACACACACATAACATTTTATTTATTTGAGAGAGAGCACTAGCAGGGCAAGGGTCAGAGGGAGAAGTGGGCTCCCCGCTGAGCCAGGACCGCGATGCAGGACTCTGATCCCAGGACCCCAGGGTCACGACCTGAGCCAAAGGCAGACGCCTCACGGACTGAGCCACTCAGGTGTCCCGATCATTATATATTTTGGATACAAGTGCTTTATCAGATACGTAGCAAATATTTTCTCCTAGTCTATGGCTTGACTTCTAACAGTATCTTTCGAAAAGTTGATTTTTATTTCTGATAAAAGTTGTCATTTGTTTTGCAGTATTTAGAAAAGGTTGACTAACCACAAATTTTTGGATATGTTAGTGAAAATGTTCATGGAAATTATTTCATTCAGAAAAACTTTTTGCAGTGCCAGAGTGTCATCAGCCAAGGAAATAAGAAGCCACAAAATAGAAAAGAAAGAGAAGACAAGGTTGAAAAGAGAATTAACAGTGAGAGCAAAGAAAGCCGGGAAACAAAATTAGATGGTCCTGGTGAAAATGCCAGTGAGGATGAGACTCCGTCAAGTAATCAACGAAAGAGAGGTTAGTTCATCTATAACTTCATTTTTTCCAGCAGTTTTATTGAGATATAATTGATACAGAACATTGTGTAGTTTAAGGTACACAACACAGTGGTTTGATATATGTATATATTGTGAAGTGATTTCCACAATTTTAGTTAATATCTACTACCTCCCAGTCACAGAGTTTTTTCTTATGAGAACTTTTAAGATCTAGTCTCAGCAACTTTGAAATATATAGTACAGTATTGATAACTGTAGTCACCATGCTGTATATTACATCGCCAGAACTTACTTGTCTTACAACTGGACGTTTGTACCTTTTGACCACCTTCACTCATTTCTTCCACACCTAGCAACCACCAATCTGTTCTCGGTTACTGTGAATTCAGCCTTTTTAGATTTCATATGTAATGAACATCATACTGTAATTATCTTTCTGACTTATTTCACTTAGCATAGTGCCTGCAAAGTCCATCCATGTTGTTGCAAATGGGAAGATTTCCTTCTTTCTCATGACTGAATAGTATTCCATTGTATATTTATACATCATATTTTCCTTTATCCATTTATCTATCAATGTTGTTTAAGTTGTTTTCATGTCTTGGTTAGATGGTCCTGGTGAAAATACCACTGAGGATGAGGCTCAGTTAAGTAATTAATGAAAGAGAGGTTAATTTAACTATTTTTTTTTTTAAGATTTTATTTATTTATTTGAGACAGAATGAGAGACAGAGAACATGAGAGGGGGCAGGGTCAGAGGGAGAAGCAGACTCCCTGCCGAGCAGGGAGCCCGATGCGGGACTCGATCCAGGGACTCCAGGATCATGACCTGAGCCGAAGGCAGTCGCTTAACCAACTGAGCCACCCAGGCGCCCTAACTATATTTTCATTTTGATTTTAATTTTTTGAAGAAAGTTATAGTAATGAATTATGTTTAATCAGTTGATTCCTAGTAGTCACCAGTGGGTATTTGGATTTCTTCCAGATACCATCTGCAGTGGTAACTGATGTGCTTTTGTAATATTCTTGAACTATTTGGCTTTCCTTTTTTGCATTTGACATGTACTCTATGTAAGTCTGTAATGAAGTTGCACTTACAGAGATAGGCATAGATATATATATATTTTTTAAGATATATTCTTGAAAAGTTGTGTGGTAAGTATTTTTTAAGTCTACATTGGAACTGCTCCCTGTTTTTCAGGGAGGGTTTTTTTTTTTTTTTTTTTTTTTTTTTAAGATTTTATTTGACAGGGGCGCCTGGGTGGCTCAGTTGGTTAAGCGACTGCCTTCCGCTCAGGTCATGATCCTGGAGTCCCTGGATCGAGTCCCGCATCAGGCTCCCTGCTCAGCAAGGAACCTGCTTCTCCCTCTGACCCTCCCTGCTCTCATGTGCTCTCTCTCTCGTTCTCTCTGTCTCAAATAAATTAAAAAAAAAAAAAAAGATTTTATTTGACAGAGAGTACAGCAGGGAGAGCAGCAGGCAGAGGGAGAGGGAGAGCAGCAGGCAGAGGGAGAGGGAGAAGCAGGCTCGCTGAGCAGGGGAGCCCGATGTGGGGCTAGTTGTGGGGCTTAATCCAAGGACCCCGGGATCATGACCTGAACTGAAGGCAGATGCTTAACGACTGAGCCAACCAGGCGCCCTTTCAGGGAGTTCTGAGAAAATATTTTTCTAAGAAAAAAGTGAGAATAGTTTTGGTCAACTTCCTTTTAGTAGCATTTCCTCATTAAATTACCCCTTGAAGAAAAGACAGTCTTTGTATCCTTTTCCATATTTTTTACACAACTTTTCATGTGTCTAGGGATAGATTATGATTTAAATGCTTTGTAAAAGCATATACTCATTCAGTGTTCTGAGCCTAGGTAAAAGTGTCTTCAGGCCTTTAGGCAGAAAAGTTCTTTAAACTGTTGGAAGGTCAGTAGCTGAGACAAGGTGAACATTGGAAAAAGTGACAGGAGATGCTATGGGAAAGGTAAGCAAGGTCCACGTTGTGCAGGGCTTTGGTAATGTGGAATTAGAATTTTACTTTGAATGCCATGGGAAGCCATTAAAGCACTTTAATTCATGGAAGTAATGTGGCATGGGAGTGGACATTTTATAATGAGGTGTAGTTTCCAGCCAACTTGTTTAATAATGGAACTAACAATCTACGGTATATTGAGCACTTACTTAAATTTTTTTCTTTTTTTTTAATTTTTTTTTTAAGATTTTATTTATTTGCGAGAGAGAGAATGAGAGACAGAGAGCATGAGAGGGAGGAGGGTCAGAGGGAGAAGCAGATTCCCTGCTGAGCAGGGAGCCTGATGCGGGACTCAATCCCGGGACTCCAGGATCATGACCTGAGCCGAAGGCAGTTGCTTAACCAACTGAGCCACCCAGGCGCCCTTAAATTTTTTTCTTAAATGAATATCTAATCCTTAGCTGCAGGGCAAGCATATTAGGGTCACTTGATACAATGAGCCAAGGCTGGTTGCTCAAAAGTGGTTGGCAACAGGACAGCCTTGTGGTTGTTAGGAAAAAATTTACCCATTTCTTAAACATTTTTTTTTTTTTTTTTAAGATTTTATTTATTTGACAGAGAGACAGCGAGAGAGGGAACACAAGCGGGGGAGTGGGAGAGGGAGAAGCAGGCTTCCCGTGGAGCAGGAAGCCCGATGCGGGGCTCGATCCCAGGACCCTGGGATCATGACCTGAGCCGAAGGCAGACGCTTCACGACTGAGCCACCCAGGCGCCCCACATTTCTTAAACATTTTTGTCACTTAGCTTTTTCATGTTTCTTAGATACATAAGTCTTTTTTGGCTGTCTAGAATTAATACAGATGATAGGTCTGTCATCCTGCTTTAAAATTTGTCTTCTGTGTTAATTGCTTCAATTAAAACTGATCAGCCAACACTAAAATCCAGGTTTTTATAGATAAATTCATACAAGAGTCATGAATTGACTCTCCTTAGAGCACCCATTTTTTTTTTAAAATCTTTAAAAGGGCTTGTTTATACCAGAGAATCTCACTGATAGAATTTATAGTACAGAATTTAAAGAGTTTTTTTAAGATTCTTTCATTATTCTCTTCCTCATCTGTGAGTAGTTTGCAGGATTTAAAGGAAATCAGTATTGTAGTTGCATACTGATAATTCCCTTTCCCTTAATTACCTTGGTAGTTTTTCCTTTGCACATGAGTCTTGCTGTTGTAGTAAAAATATATATATTGAGTAGAAGACTAAATATTTTGAAACCTTAACTATAGATTCCACAAATTAAGTAATCAGGATGTTACTATAGTATAACAATTATGCTATCATTTAGGCAACAAGAGAAGTTAAATTGTTTGTATCTCTTGTCTTAGGAACATGTGTAGTAGCTATAAAGAGATTTATCAAATGCCGTTAGACAAATTTTATTCTCTAATTTTGAGAAACCTTTCATTATTAGTAATGCTGGATAAATTAATATTTTGGACAGTGACTTGAAACTAAAAGTGTTTTGAATCATCAGCCAGACTTTTTCAGTGTGTACATTATAATGTTTTGTCAGATATACCCCATTCTAAAGTGAAGGAGTCAAGTATTAGGAGTAGTGTATTACATGTATTGCTCACTCATCAGAATTAAACAAGGGTGAGCATTTTGCTTGAAAGTAAAAGAATACCAATGGTATTCCATCAACTGGCTTTTCACATGAATTTTAGAAATATTTGCACAGGTAAGTTTATCAAGGAGTTCTGTGAAAAGAAAATTATTTTAGTCCTCTAAGAACCTTTAAGAACAAACTAAATCTCCCATTTGATTAAAATTTAGCATCCTTTCAGAATTGCAAAGCTTTAATGAAAATTGTGCAGTGTCATTAAATGACTTTATTTGGTTTTCTTCAAGCTAATAAGCACAAGTGGGTACCACTCCACTTAGATGATATAAGACCAGACAGTCAAGAAAGACCAGGATCCCGGAACAGCTCAAGATGTCAACCCGAAACAAATAAATCATCACATAATAATAGGAGAAATGATACACGAAGTAAGTCACATTCTAAGAGAAAAATGACATTAAAGAACTTAGTGTTAATGTTCATAATTTTAATAACTATAGTATAAATGATTTGAGAATAAGTTGCAGACATTGTGCCCCTTTTAACACTAAATACCTTCACAGTATATATCATAAGAACAGTAATGTGGTGTGACTGTCCACAGGCAGATTTTCCCTGTGGTGTCCTTTTCAGTTTTTTTTTTCCTCCCTCCTTTCCAGGATCTAATCTGAAATCATACATTGCTTTTAGTTGTCTGTTCTGTTTAGTCTCCATTAATCTGGGACAGTTCTGCTTTTGTCTTTAGATGGTAGTTAGGTGGTAGATATCTCACTTTGGGTTTTCTGGTGTTTCCTCATGATTAGATTTGGGTTATGAATTTTTGGCAGGAATACTGCAGAAGTTAAATTGTTTTCTTCTCAGTGCATGGAAATGCACATGATCTTGGTTTATCTTATTATTGCTGATTAAGGTGATGTGCTCCAGGTTTCTTTATTATAGAGGTACTTTTTCTCCTTTATAATTAATATGTAATTTGTGAGAGAGACTTTGAAATTTTGGAAACACCCAGTTTTTCATCAGACTTTTCACATGAGCTTTAGTTTCCATTGATGATTCTTGCCTGATTCAGTTATTACTATAATCTGGCACTCCAGTATAAGGAACGACTTCTCTTGTTATCATTGTGGATTTACAGCTTATTTCTTTGGTGGATTATAATCCATTACCATGATTTTTTAGTTTGATGCTCAGATTGTCCCAGATTTGGCTAGTGGGAGCCTCTGATGGGTGGTTTCTGGCTCTTCTTTATTTTTTTTAATTTATTTTTTAAATTAATTTTTTTTTTTTTAAGTTTTATTTATTTGATGGACAGAGCTAGCGAGAGAGGGGACACAAGCAGGGGGAGTGGGATAGGGAGAAGCAGGCTTACCACGGAGCAGGGAACCCGGGGCTCGATCCCAGGATCCTGGGATCAGGACCTGAGCCAAAGGCAGATGCTTAATGACAGCCACCCAGGCACCCCTCTGGCTCTTTTTTAAAAAAGTCAACTTTACTGAGCTATAAATATAAATTATACATGTATAAAATACATTCACATTTAATGTTACTACTTAAAGATTATTTCCCAGATACATTATTTCAATAGAATTTCTCACATTTCAGAAAGCAGAGGACAGTAGGAGGATTTGTGGCAACAATTAGGTGAGCATTTGGTTTTATAGGTCTCTGCTGAAATCTTAAGTCTGACAATTACTTTTCTAGTGTGATAATTTCCAAAGCATACATGTTGTCCTGTGAATGGATGGAGAGGGCTTAAGAAAATTTTACAAACCTAATACTACATTTAAAAGTTTCCACTTACATTATGAAGAACTTTAAACACACAAAAAGTTGAAAGAATTGTACAGTGAATACCTGTCTAACCACCACCTAGATTTAGTAATTTTGCTATATTTAACTCACCTATCTATTGAATTATTTGAAAGTACCTTGCAGACAGTCATGACGCTTCAGCACTGCTGTCCTAAAAAAACATAGCATCCAGGAAAATCAACAATAATTCCCTAATACCATCTGAAATGTAGTTATATTTACTCAGCTGTCCACAAAATATGACTTGAAAATTAAGAAACTTGTCTACAGAAAAACGGACATTTTTTGCCTTTGTATCATTTCTCAAATATATCACTTTAATGTTAAAAAAATAATATATATCCATAATTAATTTTTTTTCTTACGAAGTATTGGGCATATAAGAAAACATGAAGGTTTTAAAGAACAACAATAATAATCAACACTGGGAGCTCAGCACCAAGTTTAGAAATGCATATTGCCTTTACCTTAGAACTTCCCTGTGTGCCCCCTGCAATTTCAACCCATTGCTTCTCTTCTCAGAAAAAAAGGCCTGAATGTAAGTTTTTTGAGTATTTTTTACATGCAATTGACATTCAGTATGACTCCATTAACATACTCTTTGGCACGAATTTTTTTCATTTTAGTCTCATTTTCTTAGATTCATGCATGTTGGTTGTATTGCTGTGAGTCCTTTTCCTTGCCAAAGGGTATTTCACTATTTGATAGAATTTGTTGTTGATAGACCTTTGGATTGTTTTAGTTTTTTCATATTAAAGTGCTACCATGTACATTTTTATGCATGTTTTCCAGTAAACATGTACAAGAGGTTCTTTGGGATAATTTCTTTAGACTGCAGCCCATGAGTGCATTATGAAATTGGTGTACTGGGTCATGATCAGTTTTTTCAAAAATTGGTAGATTCTAGAGTGCTTCACTCAAAATCTATTTTTCATCACAGTTGTGGGTTTTTTTTTTTTTTAAAGATTTTATTTATTTATTTGAGAGAACAAGCGGTGGGCAGGGGCAGAGAGAGAGAGAAGCAGACTTCCTGCTGAGCAGGACGCCCGATGCAGGGCTCCATCCCAGGACCCAGAGATCATGATCTGAGCTGAAGGCTGACACCCAACTGACTGAGCCACCCAGGTGCCCAACAGCTGTTTTGAAATTACAAAAAAAATTTTTGTATGTTCTAGGGTGTAACATACAGTAAGGCTTACTGTGGGTTGAGACAGATGTGTTGAAAAAGACTCTATTAAGATACTCATTAAGGAGGAATTGCAGCATCTAGGGCAGTGATTCTCAATGGAAGTGATTTTCCCCTATCCCTAAGGGGGCATTTGGCTTTGTCTGGAGATAATACTGTTTTAGGGGAGTGGGGGGTGAGTGCCTGCTACTGGCATTTAGTGGGTAGAGGTCATGGATGATGCTAAACATCCTCCAGCCCCCTATACTTAGAGAGCTATCTGGCTCAAATGTCAGTAATGCTACGGTTGAAAAAACCTTGGTCTCTAGGATCTATATATATGTACCTTCGAATTTATTTGATTATTCCAAATTGTTTTTCAAAGTGGATGTGCCTGGCTTTGCTCTCAATAATGGTATATAGTGTTCTACTTTCTTCTGTCTTGGTCAGTGTTTCAAATTATAAGACCTTAAAATTTTGTCAGCCTGGGGTAGATCAAATACTCTGTCTTAATTTGCATTTCTCATGACCAATGAGGCTGAATGCCACTTTATGTATTTATGGTCCATTTGTATTTCTTGTTTGCTTACCTATCTTTTAGCCATTTTTCCCATTGAGTTGCTGTGTGTGTGTACAGTGTATGTGCACTAATGAATTCTAAATGTATTCTGGGTATAATTCCTGTATTGTACTGCAGATATCTTCTAGTTTGTTTTGTTTTAAGATTTTATTTATTTGAGAGAGAAATAGAGAAGAGAAATCACGAGCAGGAGGAGGGGGAGAGGCCAACTCTCTGCTGAGCAAGGAGCCCAATGCCGGGGGCGGGGTGCACTGCATCCCAGGACCCCAAGATCATGACCTGAGCTGAAGGCACACCCTTAGTCCACTGAGCCACCCACGTGCCCCTCTTCTAGTTTGTTTTGTGTTTTCATTTCCTTTTTTCCTTAAAGATTTTCTTTTTATTTGACAGAGAGAGAGAGAGAGAGAGCAAGAGCAGGAACACAAGCAGGGGGAGTGGGAGAGGGAGAAGCAGGCTTCCCGCCGAGCAGGGAGCCTGATGTGGGGCTCGATCCCAGGACCCTGGGATCACGACCCGAGCCGAAGGCAGACGCCTAATGACTGAGCCACCCAGGCGCCCCTCTTTTTTTCTTTAAAAGGAATGTCTTTTACTTAAATTGAGACAACCTCTCCTTAAACATTTTGTGAAAAGGGTTTTTTTTAAGTTTTATATAATGCAAACTCAGTCATCTTGGAACTTCTTGAATCTTCAACAGTACCATCTTAACAAAGGATCTCTTTATCTTTTTAGTATATTATTTTGCTTATTAGAATGTCTTCTTTATATGTCAATAATTTTATGGGCCCTCTTTTATGCCAGGGATATTTTGACAGATTCCTATGAGATCTCTTAAATTTCTATCTATCTGAAGAATGCCTGGTTACTAACAGCTAGGTACAAGGTGGGGAGGGTTAGTTACCATGTTTTCATAAAAATAATCACATTATTCACCATTGCAAATTGGAATGTGTAAAAATATATTTGTTTTTAACAGGTTGGAGGCGTGATAGAGAAAAGAGAGACGATCAAGATGAAGTTTCCAGTGTGAGAAGTGAGGGTGGTAATATCCGAGGTTCCTTTAGAGGTCGAGGAAGAGGCCGAGGACGGGGAAGAGGACGAGGCAGAGGAAATCCTCGATGTAGGACATGTATTTTTATTTTGTTAAATTAGATGAGTTTGAAAAAAGTATGTAAGCCCTCTTTCCTCCAGTATCCTATATAATGTTTTAAGTAATTTTTTTTTTGGTCTGATAATAAAGATGGTTTTATATTTGTTATCCCTTGAAATACTTCACTTTGGATTTTTCTTTATGGTGACTATTTCTCTCTCTCTCTCTCTTTTTAATGTGTAATCACTTTTCTTTTTCTTACATCAAGTGAACTTCGATTATTCGTATGGCTATCGAGAACATGGTGAAAGGACTGATCAGCCATTTCAAACAGAACTTAATACCAGTATGATGTATTACTATGATGATGGTACAGGTGTGCAGGTGTATCCTGTGGAAGAAGCATTGCTTAAAGAGTATATTAAACGCCAAATGTAAGTTAGACATAGATGGGATAGTAACATCAAATTTTAACATCCTTGATAGTGAATACATTATAACACATTTTCTTTTTTTATTTTTCTTTTTTTTAAAGATTTTATTTATTTATTTGAGAGAGAGAATGAGAGAGAGCAAGCACATGAGAGGGGGGAGGGTCAGAGGGAGAAGCAGACTCCCTGCTGAGCAGGGAGCCCGATGCGGGACTCGATCCTGGGACTCTAGGATCATGACCTGAGCCGAAGGCAGTCGCTTAACCAACTGAGCCACCCAGGCGCCCTATAACACATTTTCTAAGCTGTTTATTAGTAAAATTGGAAAATTTTAAGTATTTTGTGTTATTTTTTTTTCTAGAAAATATTAGTAAAACATGAAATATTTTTAAAAAACTTATATTTGGTTCATGTGTTATATAAGACTCCTGCTTTGTCTACTGTTCAGGTATTTCTCTGCTTAAGGGGTATTAAAAAATATTATCGGATATAATACGAGTGATTAAATAAAAGAATATGAAACTGCTATGTATATATATGAAGTTGAACAAAGCCTGGCTTCTTATTTGCAAATAAATTTTTATATTGAAATTTGCAAATGAACATAAATGGCAAAACATTGTGATAGATATTTTTTTACTTTCTTAGCAAACGATTTCAGAATTCTAAGTTTATTTTTTAACTTTTAAGTTCTCTTTCTTTGTGACACATATTGAAGGGGAACTACCTCATCTTTTTTAGTTCAGACTTTTTACTCTAGTCCTCATAATAGTTGCCTTCTGAATACTGAAGTTGAAGTTAGAATATTTTATTGTCTTTAAGAAAAAAATAACCCTTGTACATATTAGTATTACAGGATGTTTTGCATATTTATATAATGTGTTTATATGGTAGTGAGAAAAATGTCCCCAAGTGATTTGCATAACCAGTTTGCTGAAATTTGATTATTTTTTTATTCTTACAAAGTGCAGGAAAAAGGCTATTTTTGAAAGGGTATAAGCATCTTAAAAACATCTTCCTTTATTTATGAAAGAAAATTTACTCTGTTACTAGAAAATAATTTCTTCATCAGCATCATCCAGGCATCTTCCTGGGATGCCTTCATGGTGGATTTGATTGGCTTACATACAATACGAAGCAACTTGTTTATTTTGTTCTTGCTTCTTCTGTTACAGTTGACGCAAACACTGAAGAAAAGGGCCTTTTTATGGGCAGAAAGTGCCTGGCATGTGGCTATCAACTTCAAACCACTATTCCTGTCTTTTTTGTAACTCTTGCTGCCAGGTCCCTTCTGAGACCTGACAGTGGATATGCAACTCCATGTCAGGATAATCGGCCTCCAATGTGCTCATACAAGTGAGGGAGGAGCAGAGCTACATCAGTGTTGACAAAATTTCTGATCATGCAGTGTAGAATCCAGAGCTTCTAAGGTAGGACATGATAATGTCCCCTAGGACACTGAACAAAATGTCAGACACAGCATTGGGCATGACTCCTTTTTTTGTTGTTACTGTTTTAGCAGTAGGATTTTTGGCAGGTGGTAGAGCACCAGGTTTAGAATGACTCTTAATGTTAATCGTTCTTTGATTAGTGGAGTCATGCTTTGAGGAGTCATACTTTTGACTTGGTTTTCTTTGAGGTTTCTCAAGATAGGCTCATTGATTAGGGTTTACATTTTTCTCTTTGAGAAGTTACTGAAAAACTTTCTTGCATTTGTGGAAAACTGTGCTAAATGTATTTTAAAGTAAGAAGCTTAACTACATTATGGATGATTGAATTTTTAAAATTATTTTAACTGAAAAATATATTAATAATTTGTCATTTTGGTGTCAGAATATTAAAAATTTAAGATCTTGATTATTTCTAGCTTCTGAATCTGGCATTTAGATTTAGAGATGAGTAGTTTTGTAACCCACTAGAAGTTTAAAAAAATACATACTATAGGTAATAGGGTGATTTATGAATTTATTCAGATACTAAGGTTTTCACAAAGTACTAGAATAAAAAGTCATCTTATTAATGATTCAGAAGTTTTTGTCTAAGAACAGTTTTAACGTATGACTAAATCAAATGTCTTAATTTGTGAAAATTTAGAATTTAAGTGTTTGTATTTTGTGCCTACCACGTCAGGCACTGTGAAAAGGACTTTTGACATGTAACAAAAATTAGAACACATGTATTATGTGCCCACCACATGCCAGGCACTGTGAAAAGGGCTTTTTGAGGTATAACAAAATCAGAATGTTTATTTCTTTAAGACTTAAGATTTTTTTCTTCAGTGTTTAAGATGAGTATATGATTTACTGGTGTTACTGGGATGTCAGTAGTATTTCAGAGATCTCTAAGGGAGCTTTGCACTTTGATAGTTGGATAAATATCTGAGTATAAAGAAACAACTTGAGTATTTACATTTCTAAAATAAGATCTTTCCTCCCAGTGAAAAGTAGCTCAAAGCCATTTCTCATTTATGGGTGATTATTTCTTCAAAGTTAGAATTTGACCTGAATACTTCAGGGGTATCTTTAGTCACCCAGTGTTAACACCAAAGTATATTATTTGGTATGCTTTCTCATAATTTGCCACCGATCTTTGCAAATTCTCTCTGATTTGGAAACAGAGGATTATTAATCTGTAGGCCATATTATCATTGATGTTATGTATTTCTTTTGTATTCTTTTGTACATTTCCTCCCATTTGTCCTTTTGGTCTCTCTAGAATTTTTTTCTTATTTTCCGATATGGAGGCTGTAATTTTATTTTATTTACTTATTTAGTTTTTAAAAGATTTTATTTATTTGAGAGAGAGAATGAGAGAGGGAAAGAGCACATGAGAAGGGGGAGGGTCAGAGGGAGAAGCAGACTCCCTGCTGAGCAGGGAGCCCGATGTGGGACTTGATCCCGGGACTCCAGGATCATAACCTGAGCCGAAGGCAGTCGCTTAACCAACTGAGCCGCCCAGGCTCCCTGGAGGCTGTAACTTTAAATGTGTTTCTCAAATGTCATTATTAAATATATCCATATTATCTTTGTATCTTGGAACTTGTAGTTATTGATTATACAGTTTATCCATTTACATTTCTCACTATACTTTCCTAGAGAAGATTAAGGTATTTAAGTTTTTCCTGTATTTTTACCCCCAGATACCTCATAGTATCATAGATGTTCCTTGTATAGCTATATATTCTGTTCACTCGTAAGGTCTTTTATGGTTCTCTCCAACAAAGAAAGAGGGAGATCTTGCAAATATATAATTGTGTGTGTGTGTACACCTGTGCTCATGTATTCATTAAATTTTTTACTCAGCATTGTGCTGATTACTAGGATTCAGAAATATATTAAACAATGTCAGTACCCTGTCAATTTAGAAAACAAAACAAAAACTAATCTACCCTGTAAACTTGACAAAGTATACTTCCAAATATAATGTTCTTAGTGATGGGGAATAAGTTGGAAGGCAATCTGTAGACCTGTTTTTAGTCATGTAGTGTTTAAATGAAGCAAGTTAAAGTAACTTTTAATGAAAATTTTCACTTCATTGACTCATTTTAAAAAAAACAGTTATTGAAAAAAATCAGTTATTGAGCTATTTTAAAGTAAAATGCTGGTTAATTCTTTATACTTAGGTAAAGCTGATCTAAGTAGAAGTTAATGTTAGGTTTTTGGAAGGGAATCAATAGTCTAAAGTTCTTTCTACTCATGGATAAGAAATTTTAAATTCAATAGGGTTTTGCTCTTTCTTGTATTTACCCCATATCTAAGTTGTATTAAATTTGTATGTTATTAATAAAATAATTTTAAAGCTGTTGATATATAAGTCATAGATATTTTTATTTCCTGTTGAATAAATGAATTAAACTTATGTTTATTTCTGTTTGTTTCTTTTTTTCAGTGAGTATTACTTCAGTATAGAAAATTTAGAACGGGACTTCTTTCTTAGAAGAAAGATGGATAAACAAGGTTTCTTGCCTATTTCCCTGATTGCTGGTTTCCACCGTGTTCAGGCTCTCACTACAAACCTTAATCTCATTTTAGAGGTAATTATTCATTTACAAAACAGTCTGTACTTTCCATTCAATTATTCTGTGAACCTAAAATTGCTCTAAAAATTATATTAAAAACTTTAAGGAAAAAAAAAACACAAAAATAATCTTTAGTTGCCTAAGGCTTAGACTCTTTCATGGCTTTTTTTTTTTTTTTTCATTTTATAAAACCCAAGTAAATGCCTGACCTTGGAAACCCCTCAAATGCGGTTTACTAATGATGTTTCCACCTATTTTTAACCTGATCCTTCAAACTTGGACCTTCTTGAGCTTGGTCCTGTAGTCTTCTCAGGTTGCTGCAAAATAGCATGTATTTCTATTTATTAAAATTTGGAGAATTTTTCCTGTGCTATAGAAACACTAATTTAAAAGTCTTTCCACTTGTATTCTTAATGTTTTCGTTAATTTTTTTGTCCTGTTCTAGAAATGCTTTGAACATTTTTGGTTTTCTGTTCCCTACATACATGCAATCAGATTTGCCCTTTTGCTATAGTTTTGCCAGACTTATATTCTTGTGCCTCTGTGTAGCCAGTCCCTTTTCTCATACACAACCCCTGAAACCACTGATCTGATTTTTGTCCCTTTAGTTTTGCCTTTTCTAGAATATCATATAAATAAGTTACATGTTTGTATGTAGTTTGTAGCCCTTTATTTCTGATTTCTTTCACTCAGCATAGTGCTTTTGAGATTTATTCATGTTGTACGTTATCAGTAGTTTATTCTTTCCTGTTGTTGATTAGTATTCCACGGTATGGATGTACCACAGTTTATCCCTTCACTTGTTGATAGACATTTAGATTGTTTCCAGTTTTTGGAGATTATGAATAAAGTAGAAAGGTCTTTGTGTAGATATGTTTTCATTTCTGTTGGGTAAATATTGAGGATTGTGGTTGCTGGCATGTATTGTAAGTGTATTAACTGTAAGAAGTATGTTCAAAGTGGGTTTGACTATTTTGCATTCCACCATTTTGTATGAGACTTCCATTGTTCTATAGCCTCATCAGCACTTGTTATTTCAGTTTATTCATGACTAATGACTAATGACGCTGAGCATCTTTTTTTATGTGTTTATTTGCCATCAGTGTACCTTTTTTGTTGAAATGTCTGTTCAGATATTTTGCCTATTTTTAATGGAGTGTTTGTTTTTTTATAATTGTAAGAGTTCTTCTGGATACAGATCCTTTGTGTTTCACGAATATTTTTTCCCAATCTTTGGCTCATCTTTTTATTTTCTTAACAGACTTCTTTAGCAAATTTTTTTGAACATGTGTGCTCTAGGCTTTAAAAACTAGCTATAGGAAGATTCAAGATTCCAAAAACAATAAAAACTAGTGATTTGTTATTTGTTGATGTGTAATTAATGAGGCTTTGTTCTATGAAAGAAATTACTTCAAGTACTACCATTATTACATTTATTTATAGATGCCATCTAAATAATTTCTGTATACTATAATTTGAAGAAAACTTGGTTTTTTCCTGTAAAGCTTAGTCTTCAGAAAAATATTATGATATATTCATAGTAGAATGAGTTTATTAACTACTGCCATCGTTTGTACTATAGCAAAGATCTATCTCAGTTGTCATTTTCAGTGAATTTGTTACTGTTTTTCTCCATTCTTCCGTACTTCTGTAGGAATCTGGTTGTAATTTCATTATCGTTTGATTTTTTGGTCTGTTGGTGTTCCCAGTGAGTCCTCAGGCATAATTTTTAGGTTATTGATTATCTGTTTCTTTATAACTTACAGCAGTAGGGAAGGAATATTTAAAAGAACTTTTGTGTTACTGTTAATGAATTTACATATAAGCACAGTGATTTAGAACAGCACAGGTCTACATTCACTTAACATTTATTATGTACCTACCATTGGTTACAGTGGGAAAGTTGTCCTTTCTCTGTTATGAATGTTAAGGTTTCACTGGGCGTTGCAATATAAACATTGATTTACAGTACAGGCTTGAGAACCAGCATACACATCCTCGTAGTTTTGTGACCTAGGGCAATGTCCTGAGACTTCTGTAAAGTGGAAATGGTAACAATACATACTTCGTAGGGTTGTCTTGAGGATGAAATGTGTAATGACAGCGTCTGGCACAAACAGTAAGCCCTAAATACGAATTTGCTATTATTGTTAGTCTTTAAGGATGCCCTTCTATTGTTCACTCCTTTTTTGGATCTTCATTTCAATTCTATCAATATTTTGTTATTTGTATTTTGATAGGCTCAAGTCTTCTTTCCTGAAAAACTATCAAAAGAAGCAAAATATACTTTAGTTCACACCTCTGTCCCAGATGAGGTTTCCTACATAGCTATTCTTACTGAATCTGTTTCTTCCCATTCATTTTCAGCTTACTGTACTTTTTTTTTACTTTGATACATACATAGTAATATGATTAGTATTGTAGTGGTATTTATCACATAATTATAGTACAGTATTATCTGTAGTCATTATACTGTGCATGAAATCTCTGGATTATTTATTATTCATTGCAAATTAGTACCCTTAAACAACATCAATCTTACCCGCCCCCACCTGCTGTTTTCTGGTAACCACCATTTTACTCTTTTTTTTTTTTTTAATGAGTTTCACTTATTTATTTATTTATTTTTTAAAAGATTTTATTTTTATTTATTTGACAGAGACACAGCAAGAGAGGGAATACAAGCAGGGGGAGTGGGAGAGGGAGAAACAGGCTTCCCGCAGAGCAGGGAACCTGACATGGTGCTTGATCCCAGGACCCCGAGATCATGACCTGAGCTGAAGGCAGACACTTAATGACTGAGCCACCCAGGCGCCCCGAGTTTCACTTTTTTAGATTCCACATATAAGCAATATCATACAGTACCTGTCTTTCTCTGAATTACCTCATTTAGCATAATGTCTGTAAGGTCCATCCATGTTGTTGCAAATTGCAGGATGTCCTCCTATCTCATGGCTGAATAATATTCTCATACATATGTATATCTGTGTATACATATATATATATATGCATGCCACATTTTCTTTAGCTCTTCATCTGTTGATGGGCATTTAGTTTGTTTCCACATCTTAGCTACTGTGAATAATGCTGCAATAAACATGGGCGTGCAGATATCCCTTCAGAATCCTGTTTTCATTTTCTTTGGGTATATACCTAGAAGTGGAATTGCTGGATCATATGGTAGATCCAGTTTACTGCATTCTTGATTCTTGCTCCATAGCTGAGAGCTGTTTGTGACTTCCTTTTTTTTTTCCTAAATTCAATTACTCAGCCATCAGAGAGGATGAGTACCCAACATTTATTTACATCAACATGGGTGGAACTGGAGGAGATTATGCTGAGTGAAATAAGTCAAGCAGAGAAAGACAGTTATCATATGGTTTCACTTACTTGTGGAACATAAGGAATAGCATGGAGGACATTAGGAGAAGGAAGGGAAAGGTGAAGAGGGGGAATCAGAGGGAGAGACGAACCACGAGAGACTATGGACTCCCAGAAACTGAGGGTTTTAGAGGGGAGGGGAATAGGGGGATGGGTGAGCCTGGTGATGGATATTAAGGAGGGCACATACTGCATGGAGCAATGGGTGTTACACACAAACAATGAATCATGGAACACTACATCAAAAACTAATGATGTACTGTATGGTGATGAACATAACAAAATTCAATTAATCCTTGATCTTTAGCTAATCAGTTGTGTAACTATTCAAGTTACTTAACCTCCTCATGCTTGTTTTCTCATTGTTAAAATAGGGCAAATAATACTTAAACTATCATAGAGTGTAAGGGCTTAAGAGAAGTAATTAACATATTTGTAAAATCCTTAGAACTATTTTTGCTATTCTCACCTGAAACTGTTCTCCAAATTGTCTTACTGTGGTTCCTCAGAATGTGTGCTGCCATCTTGTCTTTAAGTCTTTGCACATAGTAAATCTTTTCTTTTAGTACCAGGCATGGGACCAGAAGCTAGGAATACATTATCTATGTATTCTAATATTGGTATTTGTTCATAATAATAGATACCATTAAGAGAAGGACCAAAATTAATAGTTAGAGAAACCTTCAGGTATCCAGAAATATTAACTGTATACTATAACTAATTGTTCAGAAGTTGAAGATAATCATGGTTTGGTTTTAATAAAACTCTTATTTTGTCTAGATCTTTTCCTTAATTTTTTTTTTAAGATTTTATTTATTTTTTGACAGAGAGATAGCGAGAGAGGGAACACAAATAGGGAGAGTGGGAGAGGGAGAAGCAGGCTTCCCGCCGAGCAGGGAGTCCCTTGCCGGGCTCAATCCCAGGACCCTGGGATCATGACCTGAGCCGAAGGCAGATGCTTAATGACTGAGCCACCCAGGTGCCCCTCTTTTCCTTAATTTTGTGTAAAACATAATTTTTGTATGATGTTTTTCAGGTCTAAATCACAACATTCACTTCTGTTCTCTTTATTTTCTTCCTGAAGAATTCAGGAATTCTTCACATAGTGAAGAATTTCCTTCCCATCTTTTACCAGTAGTAAACTAGTTAAACCTTTCTTGGTGACAGTCTTACTTCTTTTTTGTGTATTATTTCTCCTGAGATAGTACATGTTATACTACATAAATTGTTAAGCCCCCTTTTTATTAGGTTATTCAATAGTTGTATACAAAGAACTTTGGGGTTTTTTTTCCCTACTCATTTTTTTTCTTTTAAATTGAGGCATAATTTATACACTATATATTAGAAATCATAGGATTACATATGACTTTTCTCAGTGTATAAAGTTGTGTAATTGCCCTCCAGATTAAGATATAAAACATGTTCAGCGTCCCAGGAAGCTCCCTTGTGCCCCTCTCCTAGCCTGTACCAGTGCTCTCCTCATAGGTAATTGCTTCTCAGAGCTCTCTCAATTTGTTTTTTAATTTCACCTAATCAGAGGTACGTGTACTCTTTTATATCTGACTTGTACTTATCATTTCTGTGAGGTTTATCCATGTTGTTGGTGTGTAGCAGTTGTTCATTATCTATTTTGGGGTAGTATTTCATTATATGAATGTAACACAATGTATTTTTCCATGCTGCTGTTTGTAGATATACATGGGTTCTTTCCAGTTTGAATCTGTGGTATGGTTGTGAACATTATCATACATATTTTTTGATGGTCATAATGCTCTTATTTTCCTGTGACATGGGTAACGGGATAAATACACACACACACACACACACACACTTAGCTTTTGTAGATACTGCTAAACATTTTTTCCAAATTATTGAACCAATTAAAACTACCACCATTGAGAATTTCACTTGCTCCATTTTCTATCATCATATTGGCAGTCTTTACCAAACACTGTTCTGAAAAATTTAAGCTGTATAAGCCTGCCCCCAAAAAGATTCAGCCCATTCCTCTAAGAACTTCCTTAATGGCCCTTTCCAGTCACAGTCAATCTACCCATCAACTTTTTGCCGCAATCCAAACCACTTTTCTGATTATATTAGCATAGATTAATTTTGCCTTTTTATTTGTACACATTTGTGTAAATGGAATTTTTCTGTCTCCTGGCTCTTTTTTTTTTTTTTTTAAAGATTTTATTTATTTGACAGAGAGAGAGACAGTGAGAGACGGAACACAAGCAGGGGGAAGTGGCAGAGGGAGAAGCAGGCCTCCAGCAGAGCAGGGAGCCCGATGTGGGGCTCGATCCCAGGACCCTGGGATCATGACCTGAGCTGAAGGCAGACGCTTACCGACTGAGCCACCCAGGCGCCCCCCCTCTCCTGGCTCTTTCATTTGTAGTTTTTGAAATTCATCCATGTTGTTGCAGGATCTGGATGCTACGTGCACTGAGGTTTGCTACTAGGGTGTCATTGCTTCTAGAATGTTCAGCAGACAAAACTAGGAAAATATATGTTAGAAAAAAAATACAGCTATCACCAATTCAAACCCCTTATTATTGGCTTCTTCCTTATTTTCTTTATTCCCTATTTAATACTCTATTTTTTCAGAGGGTATCCTCATTCCCATCAAAAAAGTTTGTTTTTAAATTTTAATAATTTTAAAGTCCTGTCCAGTTTTGAAAGTATAACTTGAAAAGTGAGTACTATACTAACACTAAGGGCATACAGATGTAAAAGTAACACATACGATACGTTCTTCCACTAAAAGATAGTGAGTTGTAACTTTTATAAAATAACAAGTACGTATGTTCAGTTTTTATATAATATTTGTATTTTTCCTGATTTAATTTCTAAAAGGTGAGTACCCTTGAATTTCAGATAAAATTCAGATGAATAAGTCCTTTATTTTGAGGAAATTTTGTTCTAGTTTTATCATTAAATGCAGCATGTTTATTTTTGCAAAGCACTATAGTCTAGTGACTAAGACTTAGTGGTGGACAGCTAATAAAAATTGAGCCCTAGTATTGACTCATACTAAGTCTATGATCTTTATTTATTTTTTTTAACAATTTTTTTTTTTTTTAGGATTTTTACTTATTTGAGAGAGAGCAAGCACGAGCAAGCACCAGCGGGAGGTGGGGGGAGGGGCAGAAGGAGAGGGAGAAGCAGACTCCCCACTGAGCAGGGAGCCCAATGCGGGGCTCCATCCCAGGACCCTGAGACCATGACCTGAGCCAAAGGCAGATGCTTAACGACTGAGCCACCCAGGCGCCCCAGTCTATGATCTTTATCAGATTATTTCTTTGAGCCTCAGTTTCCTCATCTGTGTACATTATAGGGTATTGTGAGGAATGTATATGTCTGTTTCTTATCAATTAATGGTGGTAGTTATTAAAATAGTGACTAAATTTTATTTGGTGGTATTATATTAAGGTAAGATAAAAGGAAATAGAGAAAAAAAATTAATTATGGTAAAAGTAGTTTGATTCTAGGTGATGTAATGATCCTTAAAGGCCTATTCTGTTAAAACCAAATTATCTGCTGCGTGTTATGTGAGGATATGTGTTACCTATTACAGGGGCAAATGATTTAAAAATTCATTCTAAGTAGTTAATTCATTGGTATTTTTAGAAACATTTATTGTAATAATGTCTGCTAATTTCAGATTTAAAAAATTCTTAGGTTATTAGAAGTATAGGATGTGCAATTACAGTTTTTTGAATGAAAGTTCTTTAATAGCTCAAAATACCTATTTGTAGGCACTGAAAGATAGCACAGAAGTGGAAATTGTGGATGAGAAAATGAGAAAAAAGATAGAACCAGAAAAATGGCCAATTCCGGGCCCTCCTCCACGTAGTGTGCCACAAACAGACTTCTCTCAACTGATTGATTGCCCAGAGTTTGTACCAGGCCAAGCCTTTTGTTCACATACAGGTAACAACTTTTCTTCTAGAGCAAGCAGTGTAATGGTGGGCTGTTTGGTCCAATTGACCTATCCTTTAAAAAAGTTTATTTAGGTTGTATAGGAAAATTAAAGATTACAAAATGACTTTTGATGCTCTGAATTATATTCATTTTGCCCCCCCAGCCATAAATTAAAAAGGGATTTAAGAATTATGGGTAAATCTCTGCTCTGTTCTTAAATTGTGTACTTTGTCATGTACGGAATTTCTACCTATCTTCGTAATTTTACCAAATGATTATGGATATGTTGTGCCAGTTTCCTTTTGTAAGATTGGAGTAGTCTAGTAGGATGAGTAGTTTAAAAGTCTTATACTCAAGAGGGGGTGACTTTAATTTTGCTACTAGTGTGCTTCAGTCCTGTCTTGTAAAGACGGGTTGACCTATATTCAAAAGCAGCATTGGGGTACTGTTATGAAATTATTATAATTACAGATAAAGAATTGGTGGTAATTAGAATTTCCAAAAACTGCTTTGATATTAAGAATTTTTTCCTGGATCATTTTTAAGACATTCCCTCTTGGGAAAAAATGTGTGTGCTTAAACTTTTTTCAGTCAGGGTGATGATCTACTGATGCTTGGATGTCATTTGATCGAATATGCAGAGGAGTAGGTGACTCACTGAAATATTATAAACACTGGAACAAATCGTGCTGCAGAAATGAAAGCGACCAGACTTCTATGCAAGAATGTCTACTCCCGACTCCTTGTGGAGGAGGTTGGGCCACCACTACAATGGAGACAAACACCTTTGTGATGATAATGAGAGAGAGACCAGAGGACTGCTGTTGTTTTTATAGGAGCCACCCATTTGTGTGTAATTAGCCTGAGCTGCATGTGCTACTTTTATTTACGGTGGGAGAGTTAATTATCATTCTGGAAATATTGCAAGATTCTGTCTTTTCCTTCCAGACTTATGTACTTGTGTCCAGATCAACAAAACAAAAATAGAGAGGCTTGAGTGGCATTTCCCATATTGTTAGGTCCTTTGCTATTTGATTTGCCCTTCAGTGTAGTGTACAGTGTACAACTCACATGTTGTCATAATATTTCACATGGACTATAAGATGTGTTAATGTGGACACTGAGGGATAAGACATTTGAGAAATGAACAAGAATATTTTTTTCTGAACTCTTCAAGATATATTTTTTATACACCAGTACGTGAGACCTGCCATCAATAAAGTACCAGCAGACAGTCTCACAGATATTTTTATTTAGTGTTTCTTTGTCAGCCCTCTATGCCTCTAGCCCTAGCAAACAACTTGGGCAATTGTTTTAAAAGTTGAAGAAAAATGGTATTTTTTAGGTTTTCTTAAAGACTTAATGTCTGATTGTATAAGTTAGATTAATTTATTTGTGTAAACTTGGGGTCCAAGGTGACATTTTTAACCTGCTTATGAACAGGCTTTAAGTGAGTTAGATAAAAATAGAAAATACTTTTCCCACAGGGTAGCTAGGATAGGTCAGTCAAGTTGGTGATGCCTGTTCATTTAACCATTTATGCATTATTAATAAAATTACAAGAATAAAATCACAATGCCTTGTACATTTTTGTATTTTTTTAAATATACACTCATTTACATCTCACATACCCATTGCCAAAACAAGTCACTATATATTTAAATGTCAAAAATTTTAGGTTATTTAGATTATACATCTGTAACTGGCTGCATAATGAAGGCATATAGAAAGAATGTTCTTAGAGTTAATACAGATTTACCTTACACCATAGGAATAAATACATAAATTCAGCCTTTTCCATGAATGCCCATATTTCTGACTTTAATAATTATCCTCTGATGAGAAAGCCTTAGGTCCTAAATTCAGTAGAGAGTAGTATGTCACCAAAAATTTGAAATGGATATAGGAATCGGAAAAGTAGATTGTGTTTATCTGTACCTATAGATAAAGAAACTTTTATCTGTATCCTTTTTATCTCTAAAGAGAAGACTTTATATTTCAAAAAACATAACCATTGATGTATACTTCCTGAGGGATTTATATGGTAAAATATTTAAACATTTTTGTTTTTTTCATCAAAGAAATTAAAATGTCTATTTTTCCCTCTATGGAGGTTGAATTGTGTAACATGAGTTCACCTTTGCACTGAACAGAGGACCTCAATGCACCAGAAAATGTTGATTATGGGAATGGTAAGATGTTAATTTTAAAATTTAGGGTTTGCAGTTCAATGGATATAGTATTGCATTATCAACTCTTAAGTAGTAAAAGGATTTCATTCATCAAAATTGAGAGGGTCAGGTACCTGACCATCTTGGGGTTTTTTGTTGTTGTTGGCTTTTTGAAAAATATGTAGGAGCATCCCTAATGATTTTTTAATAAGCTGTGGGATTTCCTTTGGAAAGTTGCAGAAGTATTCCTGAATGTGCAGCACATAAAGTATATAATCCTTTTAAAGCAATCTGTGTCATTACCTGGATTCAGGGTGGATAAAGAAGTCAAACTAGATAGATAATCATGGAACATATAGGGTGATTTTACCCCTGGAGAGTCATGTTGACAATTTTTTCAATTAATGAAAATAGCAAAGATAAATTTTTTTCTATGTTCTCACAAATTAGAACCTATAAATGTCAAAGTGTGTGTCTAATTTCTTATCTGTAAGTTGAATGTCCAGTCATCCAAGTAATATGCAGACTCATTGGTTTTTGGAAGATTAGGGGTTTACCGTTACCCTTAAAATTTACATACATAATGTTTGAAATTTTTTCATTGTAAAAGAAAACAAGTCACACAGCGTATGTGTAGGTAATTATAAGGTGAACATTTCCCTTTAAAAACTCAGACTATTCTAAATTTTCTTGTCTTACTCAAATTCTTTGGTATTTTAATGTTTAATTTGTAAGCATGTGTTGTAGATATCGTGAAACACTTGACTTCATGGTAGAAACATTCAAGCTTAGCGAGCATTTAGAGATGATTATATAATAAACTTAAGTAGGTGTTTAAGATTAGATTTCTGTGTTAAAAATAGTAGTTAACTGATTTCCCTACCATGTGCCATTCTAATCATTTATACATGAACTATCCGTAGTAATTTGGTTAATTTTTACAGTTGCCAGGGTGGTGGTTCTTAGTCTGTTTTTAAGGCTTTATTCACTTTATGAGCATAGGTGATTTATAGTATTAGAAATAGGGTTCTCTGCTGATAAATGTCTTCCCATTCCTATAACTTTAATATCAATACTTGCAGCCCAAACCTAGCATTTCACCTATACTACCTCTGTGGGTCAATTGATGATACATGTACCATTAATTAAGAAAGTTGTAAGCAGCAATGTCAAATAGAAATATAATGTTTGCTACACATGTAATCCTAGTAATTTTAATAGCCTGAAAAGCTACAAAACAAATGAAATTAATTTTAATAACATTTAAAATATTTTAATATACCCAGATATTATAACATTAATATAAAAATTACAGATCCATTTTACCTTTTTAGATATTTTGTACTAAGACTTTGAAATCTGGTATGGACCTTAAACTTACTAGCACGTTTTAGGACTACCCATGTTTTAAGTGCTCAGTAGCTCCATATGACTAGCGGCTGTGTTCTGGACAATGCAATTTTAGAGCCTTCTCCATTATGAAGCAATGTACTTTTAAAAAAAAGTAGTATAGTAATTTGATATTTGAATCCTGTATCTAATAGGTGTTCATAGAGAGGATAATAACTCTTACTTGTTTCTAGCATGTAGTAGATGAGAGTAAAATCTTGGAATATTCTTCTCAAACCCAAAGTCCTGGCATGTGCCTTTGCATTTTCATTTAGTAAATAAAAGAATTGTTGCTGTTAATTTATTTCAACTTTCTCCATGTAATATTCAGCTTTGCAGTATTTTCAAGTAATTGGCTTTTGGGGACTAAATTAAATGATATTTAGAATCTTAGAGTATAAATTTGTATTTAAAACTCTTTGTCCAGGAAGTACGTATTGCATTATAAATTAAAATAAGTATTCTTTTTAATTTTTAGAAAAAGATTTGTAAAGGAATCAGGATTTTATTTATAGAGGATGTAATTATTTTGATTAAGAGATAGTGTGGAGAAAAGCATTTTTAATTCCAACAGAGTTTTAAAATGTTTTAAACTTTATTACCAGGGCAGTGCACTTTAATGATGTGACATTCTACTCTTTACAGTATCCAATAGGAGCTAAGTGGGCACACTGCATTTAGGTAAAACTCAGTAAGCAGAGGAAATGTGAAGTGTGAATAATGATTGCCTTGCTATAGATTGTAGCAGAATAGTGAAGGACTGATACTGCCTTGAATAAAATATGCATTTACTCTGCTTAATAGCATTTGAGATTCCATAATTTCATTATAATTGATAGATTTTAAGATTTGACAGGGAATTGACCCCTAAATTAAATGTATTACCACAGTTAGTGACTCAATTGATATGCTTAAGAAGTTTGAATGAATGTGATCTGTGTAAGAGTTGGTGACATTTCTTTTATCTGTTAGTCATTGGCTTCACTCAAATACATCTTACATTACATCTTTTCAGGTTTGAAAGACATTGGAAAAATTGTAATTGAGATTTGATATATCGTGTTTTTGTGGGAAAAAAATCAAGCCTAAGTAAAGAAAAAGAAGTGTTTTATAAGTAAGAAAACCATATTTTAACTAAGTACTAACTTAAAATTTTAGAGTCTGCCCCAAATTCTCCAAGAACTGGAAGTCCACTGAACCCAAAGAAAAATACTGAAACAAGTAATCTTCAAGCAATGTCTAGAGGTTTGTCTACAAGTTTGCCTGACTTGGACTCAGAACCTTGGGTAGAAGTTAAAAAGAGACATCGTCCATCTCCAGTGAAATTGAAGGTAAATTGTTATAAACCAAGTGAAGTGTAGTACATTCCTGGGTTGAGTGTAAGGCCAATGTATTTTGTTTGTCAAGTAAATCTATAAAATTTGGAAAAGTTTAAATTGTAAAAATTGGCTATAAGTGAAAACTTCAGGTATACTCAGTAGTTGAAAATAAGTTATATTGTGTCAACTTTAAAAATTTCTCTTCTATTTCTGAATATGATTTAAGAATATTTTGATGTGGTCTTTTTACTTGTGACTAATTTAAATTTGAATAACTTTTTTAAAGCTGACAAAATTTTTCTAAATTGTGAATTTATATTATAACCGTGTTATATTATTTGTGACCTGTTAATTATTTATAAAGGGTACAGATTATATGTGTTTTTGGTGCTTTTGTGTACAGTAAGGAAGGAAAAGAGAATTGATTTCTTAGGGGCACATGAGGGAGTGGGATGTGTGGTTATGAAACAGCAGAAGAGATCCTTGATGGTAGCACTGCTATATTTTTGACACATGGTTGGATACACAAAATTTGAAGTGTGATAAAAATTGCTCTGATCTAAACCATAAATAACATGAGTACAAATAAAGCTGGGGAGATCTGAGTAAGATTAATGGGTTATTACAATGTTTATCTTGTTTGTGATATTTTGCTATACTTTCACAAGATGTTACTATTGGGAGAAACTAGGTAAAAAAATAATGTAAGATTTCTATTATAACTGTATGTGAATGTACAATTATCTCAAAGTAAGAAGTTTACTACAAATAAATGTGGAAACAGTGATACTCAAATGATTCAAATATTGAAAGTCAGCTCTGTAAGGAAAAGGTTACTGAAAAGAATTGGGAAGCATAAAGAAGGCTATTATATTGAAGATTATTATGAACCCAAGGCGCTTTATCCTTACCATCACAGCATGAAGAAGAGAGCATGAAGGGTTATAAGAGTCGTTCTCCATTGGGGGAATGAGGGAGTGATGAAATTTTGCTTCGTCAGGGGATATTTGGCAATGTCTGGAGACATTTTTTGGTTGTTAAAACTGGGAGAGTGCTATTGCATCTTGTGAGTGGAGGCCAAAGATGCTGCTAAACATCCTACAGCGCACAACGCCCCCCCCCCAAAAAAAACCCCAAAGAATTATCAAGCCTAACATGTCAATAGTGCTGAGCTTGAAAAACCCTCATCAAAGATAACTTTTTAATTAGCCGTGGGGGTTAAACACAGCATATTTAAATGTTAAAAGAGGTGGTCCCCCCTCCCTCCCCCTCCCACTGGGGACATCTTAAAAGCCTGAAGTAGCTTTCTAGGGGTGCCTGGGCGGCTCATTCAGTTAAGTGTCCGACTCTTGGTTTTTGCTCAGGGTGGCAAGATCCAGCCCCATGTGGGGCTGCCTCCCTCTCCCCCCTGCTCCTCCCCCTACTCATGTGCTCACTCATTATAAGTAAAAATCTTTTAAAAAAATCCTAAAGCAGCTTTCTCAAGACAAGATTTTCTGAAGTTCTTGATTAATTCTATGATTATCATCGCAAATAACATACCTGTATAGGTAGGGAGGCTAAGGATGGTGTCCTGAAAACACATACACACACACACACACAGAAAAAAAACCATAAAAAGGATCGTGTCCTGGATCATTGACAAAGATTTGTATAGTATTTTATTTATTCTAAGATCTACATTTGTCCTCCACATTAAAAAAAATCTCCATTTCAGTATTTCTTTTAAAATAATGGTTCCTCCCTTGTATGGTATTGGTGGGGAAGTAAATTGATACAGCCACTGTAGAAGATAGTATGGAGTTTCCTTGAAAATTTAAAAATAGAGGGGCGCCTGGGTGGCTCAGATGGTTAAACGTCTGCCTTTGGCTCAGGTCATGATCCCAGGGTCCTGGGATCGAGCCCCACATCAGGCTCCTGGCTCAGCTCCTGCTTTTCCCTCTCCCTCTTCCTCTCCCCCTGCTCATGCTCTCTCTCTCTGTATCTCTGTGTCTCAAATGAATAAATAAAATCTTAAAAAAAAGAAAAAAATTTAAAAATAGAAATTACCATATGATCCAATAGTTCCACTAGTGAATATTTATCCAAAGAAAATGAAAATACTAATTCAAAAAGATATATGCACTTCTATGTTTATTGAAGTATTATTTACAATAGCTAATATGTGGAAGCAACCTAAGTGTCCATTGATAAGGAAGATGTGATACACATATATAGTGGAATGTTACCCGTAAAACAGGATGAAATTGTGCCATATGCGACAACATGGGTGCGCCTAGAGGGTATTATGCTAAGTGAAATAAGTCAAAATGAAAAAGGGAAATACTATAGGATTTCACCCATGTGGAATCTAAAAAACAAAATGAGTAAACAAAAAGCAAAGTCAGATCTGTAACTATCGAGAGCAAACTAATGGTTGCAGAGGGGCAGGGGTGGGGGGTGTAGACAAAATGGGTGAAGGGGGAGGGAGATACAGGCTTCCAGTTATGGAATGAATAAATCACAGTAATAAAAAGCACAGCATGGGGAATATAGCCAATGATATTGTAATAGCATTACATGGTGACAGATGGTTGCTACACTTGCGGTGAGCATGGCATAACATAAAACTTGAATTGATATGTTGTACACCTGACACTAATGCAGTATTGTGTGTCAACTATACCCAAATAAAAGAAAAAAGAAAAATTTTGCCTTTCTTACAGGAACTGGCAAAGGAAAGTTACTAAGTGCCAGAAATTACTGCAAAGACTAGTTAGAGAGGTGCCAAGCAACTTAAAACTCTCCAAAACTGATTTCTTTTTCTTAAGGGGCTTAAATTCAGGAAATGTGCTAATTAATAAAGCACAATTGTGCAAATTTTAAAAAATAAAAATAATGGTTCCTGTTAAAATTGATAGCATCTTTGGCTTGGTTTAAAAAAAGTTTTTGGAAGGGTAAGTGTGTATAGGGCCAGCAAATTGGTAATGGAATCTGGTTTTAATAATGGAAAAAGAATGATATAAAATCTAGGACCTTCAGTTTTATGGCCAAAGAATGTTGGTGCCATTAGTAAGATCTGAAATGTATTCTGATACTACAGAGTGAGGATCTGGCTTGGAGGAAAGCTGACTGTAGGTTCTGGGGGCCTAGATATTTCAGTGATACCTCCTGAGTTGGGTTACTTAACAACATTGCCAACGTACTTTTAAAAAAAAATGATCTTTTAAAAATAAACATTCTACAGTAGCTATAGCTTGTTTGGAGATAGATTTCTTTAGTAATCTGAAAGAATTTTTTTTTTAAGATTTTATTTATTTATTTGACAGAGACAGACACAGCGAGAGAGGGAACACAAGTAGGGGGAGTGGGAGAGGGAGAAGCAGGCTTCCTGCAGAGCAGGGAGCCCGATGCAGGGCTTGATCCCAGGACCCCGGGATCATGACCTGAGCCGAAGGCAGACGCTTAACGACTGACCCACCCAGGTGCCCTTGAAAGCATTTTTTCTACTGTCATCTTGGTCAGGTTCTTTTTCTTGTGAAATTTAGTCCCTTTAGATTTTTTTGTAACAAGTGATTTTGTTGTTGTTGAGGTTTTAAGAGTATTTCTTCATCACCACTATTGAAATTTCAGATGATATACCCTGGAGTTGGTCTGTTTTTATTTATTGTGCTGTGTATTCATGTCCGTTATTTTGGGAAAATTCATGTTTCTCTTTTTTTCAACTTTTGGTGTTCCTTTTTATCTGATGTTGGATCCCCTAGGACTCCCTGAATTGATCATCTGGCTACTGTTTTTTTTGGAATTGGGGATTTAAAAAAGATTCTGTTTTCTGATATTTCCATCAGTTTTTTGTTTTTGTTTTTTTTTTACAGTCCTCTTTTAGGGTGATGATTATTTCTTAATATGTGGTGATCTTTAGTTGATGGTTCATATTAGTTATTGATAAATTGGTATGGACTTCTTTTGTGGCCTTGTAGATTGCTCATCCAGAAAGCCTTTCTCCTGAATGTGAGATGTCATCATGCACACTCTTGGTTAGGTGTAAAGGTCCTGTTAGACTTCTAGACCTTGGCAGAGAACAGTCATGCTAGTTCTGAGTCTTCAGAATTGATAAAATCAGTACTTTTCTCTGGGAAGTAGAATTCCTTAGTGTACTTCATTCATTGGTAAAATTACCTTCTCTTTCTTCCCCCCAGCTCTTTTTTAGAAGTTTAGAATAATACTGGGATGTGTTCAACCTCTGTCTGGCTCCATGGACATGAGCCTTCTCTTGGCAAATCCTTCATTTTGTTTAGAAAGCAATTCTTGGGCTTTAAGTTGGGAGCAGATTTTATAGTTTCATATTCTCAGGTAAGGGTGTGGGACTGACTGTCTAGCTGTATCCTGTAGTTTGGTTTTCCAAATATCCATTTTGATGGCTGTCACATAGTCCATTCCTGCTCACTGTGCTTATCTCAAAACTTTTTAGGGCCCCGGTGGAACCAGTGGTGTCAGTCTTTATATAGATTCTAGGTTGCTGTTTCCTCTAGTCTTGTTTATTATCAATACAATCCCATTTGCTTTCTGCTTTCCAGAAAGTCAGAACAATTTCTGATTTTCTGATAGTATAATACTTGTTTTCATATTGACATGGATTTATTTTTTTCATTACTGTGAATCATTACTGCAAGTAAGTGTGCTCAGTCAAGTCCTCTTCAACTCAAATCTCTTGTTTCTTCCTCACAAATTAAAAAAAAAAAAAATCTATGTTTGAAACAAATTTAAATACAACTGATACAAAGTAAAAAGTAAGAAACTCTGTCCAGGGTTTACCATTATTAACAGTTCGGTGTTTATTCTCAGACTTTTTTTCATGTACTTGTAAATGTGAATAACAAGGTATATAGTTTTTTTAAAAATATATTCACAGTTGTTAAAACTTATTTATTTTTATTATGTTTTTTTAGTAAAAACTTATCATGGACTGTCTTCTATTTAGTAGAATGTTAGCTCTGTCTGGGCAGAGTTATTATTGTATATCCTTTCCTTGAACAGTGCCTGGCTCACCGGACCAGATAATAATTGACTGAAAAGATATGTACTACATTAATAGGAATTCTGAGAGAGGGGGATTGTTTTATTCTAGGCAGAGGAGAGTTAACATTTGCTGAAGGATAAGGATTGGTCAAAGGCTGACATTGGAAAATGACATTGAGACATCTGTTTTCTTGTGTTGAGAGTTATGGAAATCTAGAGGAGGTTAGATTTTAGAAGATCTAGGATCTAAAGTTTTGGACTTGTTATGTCACCCAATAGGAAGCAATTTAAATTTTTTCAGGAAGGACAAAGTTCAACAGTTCAATGCATGTTAAGGTAAATTTAATATGAAAACCTGGCCACAGTGAGTGAGGCTGAAGATTGAGAAAAGGGATTAGCTAGGAAACCTAGCTAATGGCATTAATGTTGTGAGGATTTGGACTAGGAAGATCATTGAATTTGGAAGTCAGAAAACCTTGATCTAGTCCTGACGAATTCTGATATTCTGGACAAATTAACTTCATAGCTCTAAGCCTTTTTTTCCCCTCATTTGTAAAATGAGTTGGTGTGCTATAATGGATTAGCTAAGCACCATTCTTACTCTAAAGGAGTCTTTAACCCTCCTTTTACTCAATTTTGTGTTTTTATTTAGCATTAAACTTAGTGTTTAGCAAATTCTTTGTATTTATTGGGCCAGAATAATACTGGCTTGATTTTCTTTTATAATTTGCCTGCTAACTAGTTACTGAACACACAGGCTTCATATTACTAACTTGTAACATTATTGTGATATGTTTCTTTTCAAATGATTAAAAAAAGTTTGTATATAAAATACCATTTTCTTCCTTTAGGAATCATCATCTCTACCTGAAGAGGCATCAGATCAGCTGTATCCTTCAGATGAACAAGAGCAAGAAGAACTTGATTTTTTATTTGATGAAGAGATAGAACAAATAGGACGAAAAAACACATTTACTGATTGGTCTGATAATGATTCAGATTATGAAATTGATGACCAGGATTTAAACAAGATTTTGATTGTAACTCAGACACCACCTTACATGAGAAAACATCCTGGAGGAGATCGAACAGGCAACCACATGTCTCGGGCAAAAATTACATCTGAACTTGCTAAAGTCATTAATGATGGCTTATATTACTATGAACAGGATCTATGGGTGGAGGAAGATGAAAACAAACACACAGCCATAAAGGTAATATTTTCTGGGTAATATTTCTGCTGATACTAGTTTTTTTATTATGTTGCTCCCTGTACTTTTCCTAAACTTGAGGCTTTATTTTATTAAATTTTGAATATAAATAAATTTAATTTTGAAAATTCCCAGAATATGTCTGATAGTCACAACCTGAGAAATAATTTTATTAAAATGACAGTGAAATGAATAATTATAAAAAATTAGCACTCATTTACTAAAACCCTTTTTTCAGTGAAAATAATAAGGCTCTTTCTAATAAGAAGAAAAAAACCTGAAGTTCATGGACAGACTTAGTTTATATGCTCATTCCTTACCCTGGCCTATAATCACCCCAGCTAAATGAGTAGGGTTTTAGAGAAGGCTTACTTTTGTTGTTCCCTTCCATTGTTCTCTCCTTAGTCTATGGTGAATGCTTTATGGTTGTGGACAAGGATAGAAGATTAAAATGGCTGATTGTCTCTCCTTGTGCAATCATTACTGTGGTGTTAGGGGTGCTCTTTGAAACCTTGTTCCAGTTTTTTATCTTCTTGAATTTGACCCCACATCCTGAATACCTATCCTAGTTATGAGGGTAAAATATGAGAGAACCAGAGTATTCTACTGGCTATCTGCGTTCCTTTGATATGAATTTTAATGATAAAGACAGGGACTAATGGGATCTTTTTCTGCCATTAAAAAAAGTTAAATATTTGTTTTTGGGACAGAATAATGAGGGGGAAAGTTGTGTAACTATACTATGCCAAATAGAGGAGAGATCTTGGTCAGAAATAGTTAACAGTTGTAGAAAAAGAGTCTGCCAACTAGTGATTGAAATCAAAGGGACTGGCTGTCCATGGAGGTTCGTTATCATTAGCAAGAAGTGTGCTTTCCTCCTTCGCTCTTCATTTCTTTTTCTTTCTGGAATTCCCATCAGTGCATTCACCCCCTTACCTTCTCTAACCATTGCCTTTTTGGAGACCATGCCTCAGGTTATTGTAGCTTGTCTGTAACTTAAGGTCTGAATAGTTTTCTCTGTCCTACTACTGTGAAAAGGAAGTATGTTTTTATAGTTTCTTGGTTTAAAATCTTTCCTTGTGTAAGCATGGTTATTTTGTGATACTTAGGTTCTATAAGTAATCTCTAACTTAGATCCTTTTGGAATAGAAAGAGCTAGAAATAAATTTAATAATAGGTTAAAATTACACTCCCTCCATTCCCTATCTCTCTACCCTGCTTTGTTCTTCACCATCTACTGTTCTGTATATTGCACTTCTTTTCTGTTTTGATCACATGGATATAAGATCAATGAAGATAGGAATTTTTATCTTATTTTGTACACTACTATATCTCCACTGCTAGAACAGTTCCTGGCACATAGTAGCACTCAATTCATATTCATTAGGTGGATAAATGAATAATGGATTAAACATTATGAACTAACCAACAAAAAGCTAACCACTGTATATAATATTGGTTCTATGGGGAATTTTTTTGAGTTCCAAATAATGAACTTTCAGGCCATCTTGAGAAACATATTTGTAGGTGATTATTTATTTGCTTTAACTAAAGTGTAGACAACAATAAGGAAAAGCCATGTATTGAGTTAATTAAAAACCAGCATCTGACCACTTAACCATGAAACATTAGGGGAAAGTAATCTTGGCTATATGACTCTTAAGCATTATGGGTCTGTTCATAAGTATATTGTATTTTAGCCTGATTTGTATGTACATTCTTATCACCTGACTTATTCCCCTTTTTTCTAATTCTGTGTTCAACATGTAATTTCTGATTAGAATTGTACTTTTCCTGTGGGTCTGCTTAAAAGGAAAGAAAACAATGATTTAATATATATTTGTTAAACTCCTACTATGAGCCAGACATTGTGCTAGGTCCTGGGCGTGGAATGGGAAGATAACAGTAGGGTCTCTACATGCCTGGTTCTTACAAATAATTGGGAGGACAGACATTAAAATAAACCCACAATAAATACTTAATCACAAATTAAAAATTATAATAAATGTGCTAAAGGAAAAGAACAGGATGCTCCTGGGTTGGATTGTCAGGGAATGAATGCCTGTGAGAAAGTCAGTTATAGTGAGATCTGAAGTATGAGTAAGATTAAACCCTGCAAAGACCAGGTAAACCATATTCTAGGAAGAGGAAACGGCAAGTGGCAAGGATCTTTGGGAAGAAAGAATTTGGTGTATTTTAAGGACTGAAAAACAAGTCCATTTGTTTATAGTATTATTATATAAGGACAGTTATGGTAGTATATAGGCAGAAGTCTGATCATGTATGGTTTTGTGGGCCGTGCTAAATTGGAATTTTTCTAAAGTTCAAGTAAAGTACCTTGGAGGGCTTTACACAGGCAACAGGGCTTAATCTAATTTTTCTTTTTATTTTTTTCTATTTATTTTTTTTAAGATTTTATTTTAGAGAGAGAGTGAGCAGGGGGAGGAGCAGAGGAAGAGGGAGAGAGAGAATCTCCAGCAGACTCTGCACTGAGTGTGGAGCCCGACATGGCACTCGATCTCATGACCCTTAGCTCATGACTTGGGCTGAAACCAAGAGCCAGATGCTTAACCAGCTGAGCCACCCTCGTTTTTGTATTTAAAAGATAACTCTAGTTATTATGGTGGAGAATGGATTAGATAGGTACAAGAGTGGCAGAAGAAATCCCCTTGGGAAGCTATTAAAGTAGTCTAGGAGATGGGTATTGATAATTTAAGGTAACTTGGTAGCAGAGGAAATGTTGAAATAAGAAAACCCAGATCTGAGCCCTGAGGAATCATCACTGAGGAGTTGTAATAGGAAGTGGTGCTGTAGAAGCCAAAAACCAACTTCAAGAGGAAAGAATAATCAGATATGTCAGGAACTGGACAGATTGAGTTAGATGTAAATGAAAAGAATGCCAAATTGATAGGGTAGTTTAGTGATCTTTTCTGACTTCACAAAAGGATTTTTTGCTGGATCCAGAAGTTATATTGAACTGCACTAGACTGAGTGTAGGCTTTCTGTTTCTGCCATGTTCTTACTGCTGAAAACAACTCAAATGGCCTTTTAATAGATGAGAAAACATCTTAAAATCCTTGAAGATTGGCAAGGTAAGTTGTTATCAGAATAAAGCCATAGAGGAGTGTGGAGTATTGAACCCAGTGTTGCCCTGGAGACCATTTTGGAATTTGAGGAATTCAGCATTCCAGAAGTCCCCCAAAAATAAAGGGAAAAAAGCCATAGCCACAAACCTATGGCTCAGCCAAAGTTGGGGATTTGAGTGAGTCTTCTATTAAATTGGTACCTAAAAGGAATACACCCTAAGTGAAAGAGAACTTAACTTGCTTTCTCACCTACTCCTCTGTGGGACTACAAAGAAATTTCCCTAGTTGTGCTGAACAGACTAAGAAAAATGGCTTAGAATTTATAATCATGCAACTTAAATTCATAGTATCTAGATGACATGACCACTAGTCATGAATTTTAAGTGATTATGACCTGTTAATTTCCCAGAAACCTAGCAGAAGCCAACATAGCTCCTTTGTGAGGACATTCACTTTTATCCTAGACCTTGAATAATTTACTCAAATTATCTTAAAAGGAACGTGAACAATTCACAAAATTAATAATAAAACAAGGAAATATGGTAATACATGTGAGACTGAGCAAAACCATACCCTGAAATAATTTAGATAATGGAATTATTAAACAGAATATGGAATAACTGTTAACTCTGTTTAAAAAAAAACAGTATATGCAGGGAAGAAGTAGTAAACAGTAACATTCCTAGAATTTCTGCAAGTAAAAATGGTTAATTAAATTAACTCAATTAAGGGGATTAATAGATTAGATACAATTAGAGAATCAGTAAATCAGAAGACAGCTTACAAGAAACTACTCAGAAATCAGTACAGAGAGGCACAGAGAGGCAAAGAAAATATATGAAAGGGTATGTAATGATATTTTGGAGAATCTTTGCTATTATTTACTACATTTCAAATCAAGTTGTAGAATTTAACATCTGGATTTTATTTTATAGCTTTTTATTTTGAGAAAAGGTTTAGAAAGGCAAGAAATGTGGAATACAGAGTGATAAAAATGGTCTAAAATAGACATTTAATCAGAATTTCAGAAGGAAAGATTAGAGAAAAGGGGGCAAAGTCAGTATTTTAAGAGGTAATAGCTGGGACTTTTTCTGAATTGAGGAGCAGTTAGAGCAGCCAGGGGAAAAAAGGCAGAATACATTTAAAGGTAGGAGAGTGCACAGCTGACAGCTGACTTTCCAACAGTAAACAGTTGAATGCAACAGACACTGGAATTATTAATATTATTAATATAGGGAAAATAACTATCAACCTATAAGTGTATAATTATCAACCTATAATTGTATAATTGTATGCCTTGCAAAATGTCTTTCAAGTAAGAGGGTGAAATATAATGAGAGAAATTGTAACTTAAGAAAGCCTCATCAAAGGAAATTGCAAAGGTGGAATAAATGATTTCAGATGCCAGGTATATAGAAAGCATTGCAGAGCAAAGCAAGAGATATGTGAATAAATCTAAATATTAACTGTATAAAACAGTGTCTTACAGATTTAACATAACATTAACACAGACTTGGAGAGAGCAATTAAATGAATAGTATTTAAGGGTTTTTTTTTGTGTCTAGGAAAAAGATACTGATTAGTTTTTAAAGTTTTCATGTTGCAGTTTGAAGGATACCCATTCAAAAATAAAATTAGAGGAAAGAACTGTGAAACTAGGAGAAAGGGAAAATGTAGAATAAGGAAGGGGCTTCCAGCACAAAAATAAAGTGGTAGGTTTGTTTGTTTATTTATTTCTCTGAGAGCAAGCCAGCGAGCTGGGGGAGGGGCCAGGGGGCAAAGGGAGAGAGGATCTTAAGGAGATTCCGCTGAGTGCAGAGCCCAGTGGGGGGCTAGATCTCATGACCCTGAGATCATGACCTGAGCCAAAACGAAGAGTTGGACACTTAACTGACAGTCACCCAGGCGCCCCTAAAG